GAATGAAAAACTGTTGGTTGGGTTTAATTGTGTTGAAATTTAATTTACACATGGATTTTGTTGACTTTTTTTCGGTGCACATTCAATCTTTTTTTTGTTTGAAAAGGACCCGAAAAGCTTGCAATGTTTCTTTTTTCTTGAAAAATCTGAACATCAATGCTTGTGTGAATGGGTCGTATGATATCAAATGTAAATGGATTTAGATTTACTGCTTATCGTTATCATGACAACTTAAAGGGATCGGTAAACTTCGATTTTGATGCTGATGGCAGTTGCCGCTCACACTTTTTCCACAGACATTCGGTGGTAGACTAAATGAATCGGTCGTTGTCTTTTTGTGCATTTTGGTATCGCTTGCGGTTTTGAGCTCAATTTTTTTACGGTTGTTTGCTTTTTTAGCTTAGCAACGAGGTTCATCAACCAACATCAAGCACGTTTTCAAGCTATAAAATCAAACATGCGTACGTGGGATGGGTTCGGTTTTTTCCCATCTTGCGTTTAGCTCAGCCATTTTTCTGACAACCTGCTCCGCCATTTTCAATCTGATTCCATCGATTTCCTTAAAGTCAAAAGTGTTCACTAGATCCCATCGGAAATAAAATGTAAACCTTGATTTTTTTTTCGGGCTATTGGCAATTGATGCAGGTTGCGAATAAAACACCCACAATTTTTTCCCTGATCAAGATACAAAAATGGCAAACAATTTTTTTTCGCAATCAATTTGTTTTTATAAGCACACAGTTTTATCATTCGATATGCCATTAAGCTTGACATAAAACTTAATTGATTTCTGGGATACGTTTTATAATCAATCATTAAGTGCCGCATAACCAGTGTGATTGATATCTTTTCAAGCACCGTTTTACTTGGTGCACAAACAGCAGGTTTTTCGTTCGTGTTTGAATTTTCAACAAATAATAAATTGATTAAAATGAATTGATCTCTATAATACCTTGGTCATTATGAAGTTGAGCAAGCAAGCGTACCGCCAGATGTCACAAAGCAATTAAAAAATCTCTCAAAGGCCGCTGCATTTGTTATATAATTATGTTGTTGATTAATGAACTTGAAACTTGGTTACTGACAAAGCGGTTTCAACCATCAAAGCTAACCGTAAATGAGTCTGTACCAGACGACGTACCGGCAAAAGACGTCGATGTCTGTTGATAGAGATACAAAACAAGTATGAATAATATTTGCAAAACCCGTGGAATGCAACGACTTGTGAGAATGTTAAACAACCAAACGGTTCGAATCATGCAAAAGCATTCCGAATGCATAGCTCTTTGGCGAAAATCAAGTTACCAAGAATTTGACACACAGGCATTCATAAACTTTTTCTAATTCGGCACAACTTTGGCTGGCGTGCTTTTGTGTGCGAATTTTTCTCTTCACGCAAGTTTTTTTTCTGTTCACATTCTTCTGGCAAAGTGTCGCAATTGTATCGCAGTTGCGAAGGAATTTTCGTTTTTAGATTGGTTTGATTAACTATGAATTCTCGTCAAAGCGAGAATAAAAGTCGTCGCATATTCGAATCAGTGTCATTTTTCAGTGGATGTTTTAAATGGAAATGGTGACAGAGATGTTCATTATTATTATAACGAGAGATAACGTGTTACTCTGACGTGTTATTTTGCATAGAATTCTTTCTTTCGAGTCTTTGCTTGTAGATGGAAAAATGAATCAGGTAAAGAAGAATGTTTATCATGGAAAATTCCATAAAGCTTTCACAAACACGGTGCGATATGCAAATCACTTGACAAAGGCAAATATATATGTCTGGCCTTGTTATGTCGGAGGCTATTTGCAATGTTGAGAGCGAATGATTTTGCTTAAGAAAAATAACGGAAGATTCGTCTTTTGCGTAACGACTGCATCAACGAGTTTCCCACACAGTAAGAATGTGATTATCAAGGTAAACCAGAGAATCATTTCAGCATAGATATTCAATGCGCTTGAATGTAGAGCGCTCGTTCACTCACAGCGACGTTCGCAGTCACTGCATTCAGTTACTGAGATCTCATCAGAAAATTGAATATCTGTGCTGAAATGATTCTCTGAGATAAACGCTATGAAAAATTAAAAGTCGGTGGATATTGGATACAGGGTTTTCGTCTGGTGACGCGAAATTGAGAAATTTCAAATTTACACGGCAAAAACCGTGTCTCACAGCATTGCTTGGCATTCGATTATTTGTGCAATCATTGGGTTCTTTAGGCAGCCGACATGTTATGGCTTACTGAAAACGATACCGACACTCACGTAAACAATTGCACGCTTTTAGTGGGTTAGACGCTCATGATTGAGGCATGCGAAACGTTTCCAAAATATCAACTACCCACCCCGAACAATGGGTTTGTCGATCACACAAGCGGCTGTCTAAGTGATGTGACACATTGCGTTTTTCGAGTGGTGACGATGACGGCGGTGGCGGCGGTGACGACGACGACGACGTTGGTATATCAAAAAATCAAGCACAGCTTCCATGACCTAAAATAAGCATGTAGCAAAAGCGATACGTAAGCAGAAAAAAGCGAGCATTTCCATACAGTCAAGGCACAATGACATGAGCACAATTTCGGAGAAAACGGCATATCAAAAGCATAAATAAAGCAGTACGAATCAAGCAATGAGGCCGAAAACAAAAGTTGAGCACACACACACAAAAAATAAATCGCCAAAGTTCTTTTCTGTAAAAACGCGATTTTTACCCGGCCAGACGTTAGTTCCAACAGCAGCAGTAGTAGCAGCAGCGATACATAAACATAACAATCTATCTTATAACCGTTGCTGTACTCAAATGCCACTGGAACGCATTGCAAAGTTTTCAACTACACAGGATATTTATACGAAATGTCTCCAGCGAAGACGAGAAAAAAAAGACTTTTGAAAGAGATTTTATGTGTGTTTGTGTTGGCAGTGGTGCGATGATGGTTTTCGCATCGTTTTGATCGTATTTTGCTTTTTACGACGCACAAAAACTTCCATAACAACCTTCATCATTGATGACTGAACAAGGTAGCAAGAAATGGTGGAGAGAAAAAACCCAACAAAGATTGTCTGAAAACCGAAAAATTGCAATATCAAGTAGTTTTCAACGTGTTCTTTTGCTCGCTTCATGTCTCGGTGTGTACATATTTTTTTCCCCATTGATAGCATAGCACACGGGGAAATAATTCGGCACATATTTTACTACATGCCATCGCAGCAGACCTACATGCTGTTCTGCGGAGACTGTTGTTTTGTCACATGAACAAACAAAGGGAACGAGACAAAAAAGTGTATCAACACGTGGAATTGCTTTATGAAATTTATTTAAGTGGCACATATCGCAAATGCCATGTGAGCATTTCATAGATAAAATGGTGTTTTTTTTAGGTTTCGTTATCGATGCGCTTCAGTCCCAGTGGAGAAATTCACTGTGTACTGTGAGATATTTTAATTGGGTACAAACATACAAAATCGGCCAAAAATGCCCTTCTTTGTTCAACAACTTATCACTTTTCTCAACAACCGTTTCCGTACTGAGCTCTCCGCTGGGAGAATCAACAACAATAACAGCAAAATGTGCAAATGATCGATTGACCGAAAATTGTGTGTCAAAGTTCCAGTTGAAACTTTGAGCGTTGGACTTTGGACTTTCTTTTCTTTGTTAAGGAAAAAAAGTAAGTCGATATTTTTCTTTTAATCTCGAGATGAGGAAGAAGAAGAAAAAGAACAAAAAAATGAACAACCACAAAAAGTCATTCCAATAAACTTACCTCTGACATACTTTGACTCTTGATACAATGGCATTCGATGTGAATACAACGGTTTGAAATGAAAATCCGGAAAGAAACAAAGCTCTCGGTTACTTTACGATGTGCACGGAAGTGCATCGTAAAAGCAAACTAGAAGCAGTGGAATGGGAAAAATTCCGATGTCGCCTTCATAACACTTTTATTACTTCAGACAAGCATCACAAATCACGGCATTAGGAAGTATAAAAATGTTATTTTTTTCTGTGTTGTGTCTTTGCAACGCAAATAAAATCGACAGTTGTGGCTACGGTATAAAAATTCGGTGAATGTGTTTAGCGTGCAGTAAGTGCCAGGGGGTGTTGTGTTAGACACTGACTTCCGACATTGTTTGAACTCAGTAAATAATTTATTCAGAAATTGACCCACCAAGTAAAATAAATTGAGATGCTTTGATTCATTTGTTGTTTTATTCGCGCAAAGAGAATGGATGTTACTAACATTCAAAGTCGTAGTGCTTTTTCTTTTGCTTCGATTGTAGCTCCATTGTAGCTCAATTGTTCTATTTGCAAAGTTTTATTTCAAATTGTAAATTTTTTCTCTGTGCCATCTATTCGGTATTTTTATTTAGTCGTAAATCCCCGTATTTACCTCTTACATCTCGATTCAGTGCCCCAATTCACTTTTTGTGCACTTTGCTCTCTTTTTTACACAAATTATACCAATTCGTCGGTGGCTACTGGAATAGCGCCATCTTTTGCATCATAGTGAAACTAAACTACGGTGTTTGGATATATTTCGGACGATTGCCTGTAATAACATGCACATTCACGGCGACAATAAAAATACCTTAGCATGTCATTATTTTCTTTGTTTATCAACAATTCGTGCATCTGTTTTCGCAAATGACTCATTTTAAACTGTAAACAGAAGAATGTCTTTGTTGTAGCAATTTTGCAACGAAAACAAAGTTGAAGTCAAAGACAAGTTAGATCGAATTGATATTAACATAATGGGAAATACTAATTTATTTTTCAGGTGACACCATTAAAATTTAATGCAGAATAAATTGATCGAGCATGAAGAGATGATAGTCTAGTTTTAGATTACGCAGAGTGAAGGAAAAATAACGAACTGCAGTCAGCAAATTTGTCCATTGAATATTCAACAATCAATTAAATGATATAAGGATAGAGACTCTGTCACAGAGTGCATTCAAGTCCCATTATATTCCGAAATGCACTTGAATAAAACACAATTTCGTTTATTGGTTTGTTATGTATTCGAATAATAACTTATATATTCTAATGTCCCGTGGTAATTGATGCATGTTTATTGCAAATATTCTATTTATTTTTATCATGGAAGCTCAAAAACTATACAAATAAATAATATATGATTCATTTTCAATAGATCAAGATTATGAAAATGTAGTTTAAATGGGGAATTGTCTGAAAATGTCGAATAAAAACAATAATTTAAGTACCAAAACAAATGTGAAATGTTGACCGTTGCAATTGAATGTATATCAAATCATTGAATCAATCATAAATATGTATCGTCCCTTAATTCTCATTAAAACAATTCATTAACTCTTTCTCCCACATAACATAAGGGATGCTAAATTTGCACATTCTCTAGTAATAATACAATTTTATAATTGCTACGTAATATATAATACTCATAAAATTTGTTCGAAATAAACACACTTGTCCAATACATGTCTACAAATTACAAACGAACGAATTCCACGTTCATTTTGTCAATTGAAATGTGTTGTCTGTATGAAGTCTTATCTACAATATGTGTCTTTCAAAGCCATCAGTTTTTTTTTATTTTGTTGTTGTTGATGATTTTACATTCTACGCCTCTGCTAATCAAAGAGAGATATCAACTAGTCTTTTTTTTACTTTTCATCTACTCCGTTTCACACATAGTGCACGCTATGTGTCTCACTTTCGAGTTAAATATTACGTTTTTCATCGTTATAATAGCATTTGATGGAAACAAACGGAATTCCCAGTTCGAATTCGTTGACAGGCCAATAACGGAGATCGGGTATACGATTTGTATATTCCTCCTTGACGGCATAGTATGCGAATAGGACACAAGCCGTGTATGACGAGATGAAAATCAACACATGCCACAATGCGTGCAAGTATGGGAATTTTTCGCCGAGCACAGTATCACAGAAGAATTTATCAAGTAACCAGCACACAATGGCCAATGCCATTACCAGCGCACTGCGCAATCCAAGCCGGTAGACACGCTGCGAACGCTCTCTGACGAAAATGAAAAATTCAAAGAAAACGAAATATTAAAATGTCATTATCATTATAAGTATTTTCAATGAGAAAGAGGAAGAGAAAGAGAGAAAGAGAAACGTAATTATTTTTTGTAATAGTACGTACTGTTTGATAGCTGAGTACAGTAGCATGAATGTTGGAATCACCAGCAGCATTAGTGCAAATGCATTGACCGCCGGTTCCCAAAATGTTAACATTGTACAAACGGCAGCACACATACCCATCACTGTGCCGAATATTTTCCTTCATTTAGAGAAAAAGAGAAAAAAAAATCAATTGAAAAATTCAAGTTTTTATTTATGAAGGAAAACCAAATCAATTTTTAACTATGAAAAAATGAAATAAGAAGAAATAAATTCCATTTAAATTACCGGTTTCCGTTGAAACATCGTGGAAAGAATTTTTTTGGGAAAAATAGTGAAAAAGCGGCGGCACACACCCACAAAATAGCTACTTCGTCAAGCAATTGACCGATAAGACTTAGTGTTGCGTGGAAATATGCGGAGCTCAGGCCAACTACAATCATAAGTACCCAAACCAAATGGATGCCAGGATTGATGAAATGGCCATAGTCTCGGAATAAATGAATCAAAAGCGGTGGCAACAACAAAAACAAGAAATTACTCAGCTGAAAAACAAAGAGCAAACAAATATGAACATTTAATATTTGGATTCATAGCTGTAAATAGTGTGTTTGTACAATCGGTCTGATGGATCGATGATAAGCATAAACTACAAATAAACCGAGAATAAACAGCGATAGTTTTTGTTATTTATTCTCTTTGATTTTATCGGACGAATATAATTGCCGTGACTGTGGAGTTTATTGAAATTTCGAAACGGATCCGTGAAAAACGACTATGATTGAGTCTATATAAAGTATGGACAAAAGTATCCCTAATAACCAATAATAACAGTCAGAATGATTCTATTTTTATTCGACGCTTGCGTTAAATCGTAAAGCTTGTTACGTGTTTTCGTGTGTTTTCTTTTTGTATTAGTCGGTATAAGCGCTTATTAGTCTTATCTCTCGTTTCAACATGAACAGCTAAACTATTAAGTCGAATTGAAGCCCGTTAAATGAATTGCGTTTCATTTCGTCCCCCTTTGTTGATTTCATTGTTTAATTCCTTTGTGTGTATCCCGTTTAATTTATTCATTTTCAGATGTACACGCTGTACACAACTTGATGAGAAAACTCACTACTTGATACGAATAAACTAGATTTGTATGACGTTTAATTTGAAACTGTTCTTTTTGTTCGGTTATTACTCACTGTGTTTACGAATTCAGCAATGTTTGCTGAGACTTGATAGTTGCCTTCACACCAATCAATTGGTGATGAGCCTGGTTTTAATGCACTCAACTGTTTTTCCCACATCATTGGCTACTATAAATAGATTCAATTAATTAATTAATTAATTTTACTACAATTTTGATTTTGTAAAAAGAAAATCCCAGAGAAAAAAAGTCCAATTGAAACTACAAAGATTTTCGACGGCATAGAAAATAAATAGTTCTTCAAATTGAAATTACAAAGCACCTTTCTTTCGTAGTTTGAATATTGATCGTTGAACTTTGACTTTTCTTTGGCCGATTTGAAAATAGAACCGAGAATAATTGCCCCTCAAATGCCAGCAATATTAGTCAAACATTTGGTAAAACGATAAAATCTGATTTTTGCGGTTTTTCTTCGATTTTTTCCCTTTGATTCACGAAAGTTTTTTCTTTCTTCTGATTCACGAAATCGGACGAATGGACGTTGTCGGAAAACTGACTCGTACAGCTGCTGGCAAAGTCTTGATATTTAAAATTCATTTGCAATTGCATGTAACACAACTATATATCAATGTTTAAGAATGCGATAGAAAAACATCTAACGCTCAAATACAGAGAGTAAGGCGATAAGTGTTCGACAAATGAACGAGGTCAAATTTCATCGGTTCAAATCACTTAAGAATACTGTACTGATGGCGTGATTGAAATGGGAATAAAATATTGATAGCAATTTGGGAAAAAGTTTTCTATTGGTTTAATAATGTGAACGAAAGCCGAAAATCTGGTTGACAGTTTCAATACGGTTACACAACAACCTGTCTATTGCCAAATTGTGTAACTTGCATTCAAATTTGAAAACTAGTGCACTTACATTTACGGCGTTGTCTTTTTTTGTGTGTAAATTTCTTTCTCTCTTTCAAATCAATTGCAAAATCGATAGGATTTTACCATCCTATCATTTTGATGTAGAAATGGAAAACAATTTTTGTGGATGATAATGTTTACAATCAATTTGTCACTTTTCACTCGAATCTATCGTAAAATTTGTTTTGTTATTTTCTTGTCTTTGTTTTGACACAATAAAATAATTTTACATCAAAAATTACACACAACACGTTCGAATGCAACAAACTACTAAGAACAACTGAACAAAGACCCGAGATATATTCACGCGAAACGATACTTGTAATTTGTTTGTGTTTTCAACCTTTGCTTCATAGTTTAATTCGTTTTTCTTCTTTCATTAATATTTCGTGTGCTTGTTTTGTTGACGATTTGTCGCGTTTTGTTTCTTTTTCACTGCAGTGCAGCAGTAGTGGCAAGTCACAGCTGAAATTTCTTATTGGTATTGTTTGTGTACGAATGTGTGCATGGATTTGTATTCGTGATTGTGTGCGCGACGTAAGTACCACCGTACGTCGTTTCGTTGCCAACAAAGTCATGTTCAAGTATTGGTGTATTGTTTGTTATTGTACATGAACACGAACTGTCAATGTGCTCTTCGTTGCTCGCACACAATACATCCCAGTGTGATTCTGTAGTATCGATGTTGTCTCTCTGTCTGAAGCTCTGCTTTCGCAGCATTTGGGCCGTTGATAAACAAAGAAAGCAGTATGAAACAACTCTATAGTTGAGCGGAAATGTGTTGATCATAAGTAAAATATAGGACAAACTAAATATGCGTATGAGAAAAAATATCATGCGAGATGTGTTTCAGTTATCTCTCCGGAAAAAAATCCCAACGACTCATTTGAACGATAACGACAGTGACAGTGTCGATAATACGTAATTTGATACGTAAAAGCATGTGACACCGAGGTTTGATGTTTCGTAAAGCGGCTAAATTGTTTTACACTTCATATTGCTGCCATATGAAACACATCTAGTATTCATCTGGCAGCAATATGAAGTGGTGTCAAAAGTAACCTTACCATTTCACAAACTTGAAATAAAATAGTTTCTCTTTTGTTTAAAGACATTTGCGCCGTTTTCAATAAGTATTTGAACGACATCCTCCTGATCCTGAATGTTTATTATTAATTCACACTCAACACTTTACACATTATATTTAAAGCAGTAAAAAATTTGTGAGTAAAATCGTGTACGTAAAAATTAACATTTTAAAGTGTTACATTGGGACAACCGATTCCATAATACGCAGTGATTGTTTGTTTGAAAATAAAACAGAACAAAAAATTATGAGTGGAGGCAAAAGGCCGAGACTCGATATGCAAGTGGTCTCTTCATCAGGAGCCGATGAGGAGCCATCAGCCATTGTGAGAAACTTGATTACAACGTTTTTAACAATGAACGATGATTGTCTGGAGGCCGTACTCGATTGGTTGGACTGGGACGATTTGGCATCCATCAGTAAAACATGCAAACGACTTCACGTTTTGGCACAAGAATTTTTCCAGCGAAAATACCCGGCGGCGCACATTAATATTTGGAATTTGGGTGGAGGTGTTGTGCTCATTCCGCGAACACCATGGGCCAGAACATTCAGTCATCTAATCAAAGATGCTCGCGTTTCCGGTGAAGACATCAACATATATCGCCGTTTGTCGCAAAGTGTGCACAAAAAGCTTCGTGCTTTGAACATTTCATCGCGATCATTGACGGAGGAGAACATCGATTGTATCGTGGATCAGTTGTATCACGTCGAAACAATGACATTGGACGATTGCATGGTGACAAACGAACTGCACTACACTGTTTTGCAATATTGCAAAAACATGAAGCGGTTACACCTAAAAGGGTTTATATTCGAAGACCTCGAAAAGAAAGGCTTAAAATATCAATGGCTACAACATACTTATCAGCATTTGGAATTGCTACAATTGGACGATATAAAAAAAGAGCAGCACAACAATTTGATCGAGTTCCTACGACGGAATAAAACCATCAAAGCATTTCTATCGCGCGACATGCATTGGTCAGCCGTTGTTAAAGTGGTCACCGAAGCCGAAGCAAAGCTTGACGATCTATTATTAGGTTTGAAAGAATCTGGGTCACGAATTGTGGCAAGAATGACGAAAAAATTTGATAATTATTATGGCACCGATACGTTTCGATTGTTAAAATTTCGAATGATTGAAATGTGTGACCGGTTGAATGAACTACATGAAAAAGGGAATCTCAAGCGATTATATCTGAAAACTTGGCATGCTTCCATTACATCTGATTTTGCCGATGTATTTAAATCGTTACGCGCATTGCACGGCATTGACTTGAGCTCCGAATCAATTGATGACAAGGATGTTGCCACCACCATTGCATCATTTAGCCAGCTGAAGTGTTTAAATTTATACTTGATCACAAAAGTCGAATATGCCGAAATAATATCCAAAGGACTTGTGAATCTGGAAGAACTTCAGACGCTAATTGATTCATACAAAACAATGTATCCATTTATACGCAACTCGCCGAAACTTCAACGAATGTACTTTATATGTGTTCGAACCAACGAGACGAACATTAATCTAGCAAAACTGAATAAAGAACGTTCTAAACTACCCGGAGCTAAAAAATTAACGTTATACATAGACCATCACAAATATTTACCATTGAAAAAGGCATTGGGACAGTTAAAATATCCATTAATTGAAATTGAAATTGCTGAAACACAATTTAAAACAAATCCTTCATTTTGAATAGCTTTTTTTATATACATTTTACTGATAACAAAATTACATTTTTTCCCTTTCGTATATATATAGTCTTTCTGTCCATGAAGCATTTCGATAGTTCAACACATTTATTGTATACGTCCGTTCATGTTTCTTTCTTTCGTAATAAAATAGAATGAAGAAAAAATTTTAAGTTTTTTTTCGTATTATTTTTGTTTTAAATACCATGATGTCAAAAATTTCAACCCGAGTCAGCAGCGATAAGGTAATGAGGCAAATGAGATTACTTTATCCATAATCTCTCCGATTTAGGCTATTTCAGATCTTGATTCCATCATCCGGTAAAGCCGGATGCGCGTCAACCTTGCATGCTTTGTGGATATTTTGAACCAAACACTAAATCCAAAGCACTTTTTCTCTCAGCAACGAGCTAAGCAAAAGAAAAGTTAAACACAGATTTGTGTTTGTGGTTAATATTTTCTATGGAATTTATTAAAAATTCGATTAAATTATCGCATATCAATTGTGTAAATAATAGATCGGTTTTAAGTAAGTAAATAAGTTCTGAGAATGCGTGTTCTTAAAACCGTTCTCGTCGATCATTTTTTTTCTGTCTCTCTGTGTGTATGTGTGGTCGGTTGATAGGTTGGTCGAAAAACAAAGAAATAATCACCAAAAGTGATTTGTGTGTATGTATTTTTTTTTCATTGAAAGTCTTACTTATTTCTATAAATTTAAAGAGATGTTGTTTTACAAACTATAATTCGAGTAAAAAATACACCTAAGAACTAGGACAATGTCGTGGCAGAAAATTTGTTATTTTGATTTGAATATTGAAAATTGTTTCACTATTTTCAAATGTTCAGCACTTTTGATCGTTGATTCAATAACGAAACAAACAAGGACATACAATGCAAAAAAAACAGGAAATTATTCTTTAGATGGGCGGCAGCGGCGTTGCCGCTTTGTAACTGGTCTAAACATTTAACACTCGTTTCTCTCTCTCTCTTTCTCTCAATCTCTTAACAGTATACGTGAAGCGAAATGATGATGTCGTGTGTTGTGTGTGTGATGCAAAATAAAATAAAATGCAAATGATTGAGAAAAAACAACGTTCATTGATTGGGTGGGGAGCGAGTGACAATGGTTTTATTTCTTCTTGCGATCCTGTGAACATTTCGGACAAAACCATTTGCCTTTCGGTTTTGTAGTTAAGCCAACACATGCGAAGTGGAACCATTCGATCGGGCACTGAAAATGAAAACAATACGCGATGAAGTGATTTTTTCCCTCTTCTGAGATCAAACTGTTACTAACCTCTGTGTTATCGCATCCAATCATTTCACCATACGATACTTGTTGGCACACACAATAAGTCGGTTCATTGGGATCGACTGGCATATCGAGAACATCACTTGGATGCGGTGTTGTGTGGCCGGTTGTTTCCGTTTTCGGCTCTTCTGTTTCGGTTGTTTTCTACATTTTCACAAAAACACAATAGCAACAAGCAACGAATTAGAATCATTTTTTTCGGATTAATTTGCGGACACGTGTGTGCGAAGCAAGTGTGAGCAAAGCATGAATATTAACGATATCATATGGAATGTGAGCGATTATTTGATGGAATTAACAAATGGATTTGTGTTGCATGGCTATTTGAATGTTAGCAAATGACAATGCAGATAAGAAAAAAAATGTCAAACTTGAAACGATTAGAATGAATCATGAATATGATGAATAAAAACATCTGGAGCCAATAAATACTTGGGTCATTCATATGAATCGTCAATAACTCAACAAACTGAAAATTTGCTAAAATACTTGAAAAAATCAAAACGTAAACGTGTTGTTGTTTTGTTTATGTGTTTAGAAAAGATTGTTGTGATATATAGTAAATGATGATGATGATGATTTACCTTTTGAGTTTTGCGAGTCTCTTTCTCTTGAATTACCTTCTGCTTTTTCGTACTCTTCGGCGTTTTAACAATGGTTTCTGTTCGTGCCTCATCTTCGGAGGACAGTGCACTGGCTGCTGCTCGCTTTTTCTTACTAACAGGCGTCTTGACATCTTTGATACGTTTACGGCCCCCTACAAAACAAACATATTTGAATGGATAAATGAAGAAAATCACATTGGAATGCATCGAATGTTTGGTTTACGTTTTGGTGGTTCTGCATCTGGTTTGACTGTTTTAGCTACGGCCAATGTTTTATCTTGAATTTCACCCTCAAAACGCGCTAAATCGGAATCCAAGCGTCGAATGTGTTTATCCACCAATTCGTATGTTTGAATCGCCAACTGCACCTTATCGTCACCGTATTCTTTTGCTTTGTTGAACATATCCTGAATGGCTTTCAATTTCTCTTTGCGCACGTCCTCTGGAATGGACTCTTTGTCTTTCACCAATGTTTTCATAAATTCATCGGCTTTCTCATCGATGTTCTTCATTAGCGTTTGTGCACGTGAATCCAATTCTCGCATTAGCGTAAAATTACGTTGTAATTCATTTGGCAGATGCTCCAAACCTTGAAAAATAGCAACAACAACAATAAAATACCCCAATTTCATGGCCATTAGAATGCGGTTTCAATTCATTTTGCATAGAATGTTATGATAGGTTTTCATTCTTAGATGCATCAAACACCAAACAAAGCAACTTAACAGAGACAAATAAAAATTGCACCACAGCGACAACAACAACAACAACAACAAAATTGCATACCATCCAAATAATGCTCAAGGTACAGTGCAGAAGTCATTGCATTCAATTTTACACAAACGATGAATACAATTCGGTTTTTCGTGAAACAATATCGTTTCAACAAAACATCAATGCCACAATTGGCCCTATATTCAAGTGTGTTCTTTTATTTCGAAAAACGAAAGACACAAGCGAATAGAAATTCAGTTTTATTTATGGAATACTTTCGCTCCAACACACAAAACAATGGTACAAAGTGAAAATACATGAAACTGTCAAAGAAATGCTTCGATTTTCATTATTTATTTACTATTTCGCTTTTTTTCGGCGAAGCTTGCAAATCGTTGGCAACACTGCACATTCAATGCGAGTTTTTGAATTTGGGAGATTCAAAAATGTGCAACAATTTCATATCCATATTTTCGACGATTCAATGCCATTTTATCTCATTAAAATTGAATTTAATAGAAAATATTATTTTTGATACGGTTTTTGTTCATATGATTTGTCGAAAAGTACTTAAATTTATGTCATTCGTTTCAAGTTTACGGGTTTTTTCTTTCTTTCTCTTTCGCTCTCCCTCACATCCGAAGTATCGCATGAAGTTGGCTCAAGTGTCAACACTGTTATTTTATTACGTATGTCAAATGAATCTAGCAAATTCCCGACGTGAGCATAGCTTCACGCTGAATGTGGACGATTTTTTTTTGTGGCGGATTCTGATTTCATCATACTCATTCGTGCTGTCATTGCTTTCAGTCTGATGCAAGCAATTTCACAAGTCGTGCGTATGGGAAGTGTAAAATCATCATACACAGGCAGAAGTGAATAATTAACGAAAATTTTCATCGCTTTGCTTTGTCTAAATCGATTCGTGATTCGTCATTGACACAAGCCAATCTATGTTCGAGTTGTAAGGCGAACGGTTTTGATTTCAGTTAAACATTTGCATTACAATAATTGGCGAAATAGTGGACAAGTGAGTGTGTGAGAGAGAGGCAGAGAGGAGCAAGGCAGCAAAAAAACAACCAACGTGTGGTGATAAAAACGTCTACGTAATTAGCAAAGTGCGGAAGAGAAACGTCGAAATCGTACGGGAATGACATCAAATTGGGAATATGAAATAAATATGTACGCAATTTTTTCAACAACAACCGAAGGAAACAAAGTCGAAAATGTGTTTTTAGTGTCAAAATCTTGACGGAAACTTACTTGGGCCATGCATTGAACCAACGCAGACCAACACTAAAACGTTGTTAAAAGTTTGTTACGGAATAAAATACAACAAAAAACCGTATTTGTTTCGGTGTTAAAGAATTTCAAGGCTCTTTAACAAAGAAGGATAAGAAGAAGAAGAAGAACGAGAAAAATAAAAGGCGATTTGTTACGAGTAGGAGGAAAAGAGAAGAAAAATTCGCAGAAATCAGAAGAGTTTAAACAGCTGAACATCAAAATTTAAAGAAAAAAACCAGAAATTATTCATCAGAGACGCATTCTATCCATCCAGTTAGCCAGATCAACCAAACAGCTAAAAAAAATTCCAAGTTCAACCCATGCAGTTCAACAGTTCATTTTGATAAAGGGGCAACAAATCAGAACCAATTTCATCATTATGACTATGGATTATTCAACAACTACATCAGCAATATCCAAGCCATTCGCATCGGCTACGCAACCTTTGGATCGTGATATCAAACAACAATACAAGTATGTATTTTTATCTGAGTGGTTTTTTTTTTCTCGGGTGACATTCGATCGATTTACTGATACAAACCGTTTATTTCGGGCGAAATGTTTAGACAAAATGTATCGGTATTTGTTTACTTACGCGAGAATTCAAAGCGATGACTTCGCTCGGTATCGTTCACAACGGGTGTGTGTGACGCACATTGTCACCACACGTCTTTTCAAATTGAAAAACATCTATCGTGGCGATTATTTTTTTTCTATTCATTTGCATCACAACTCTGCGGTTAGCTTAGTAAATAGGATTTTCTTCACGCGAAGAAGAAGTAAAAAATAGAAAATGTGTTAGACGATCACATCAATAGAATAGAAAATGAATAGTCGCTAAAGTCACCAGAGTAAACAACTAGCCTGAGCGAAAATCGTCACTTTCATATTGTTGCTATTTCGTTCAATGTGATTTGAAAATTGCGGACGAATGATTCAATTTAGAAACCGCTTTGTGGCGAACAAATCTGAATTTCCTTTAATTAGACCACAATATTTCGGCTACCATCCGAAAAAATCCCGTACAAATTGATTTGATACGAATCGAGCGTCCATGCGATGCAGAGAAAACTAATCACGTATGCATAATTTTAATGATTTCGATTTGATTAGAGAGGAAAATGTGTGTGTCTCAAGATATTTATCGTCGTCCTTAAACACACTCAGCATCGCACTAAAAAAACCAAAAAAATACGGTGTGTATGTTGACCAATCATACGTAGCAGATGTCAAAACGTAAACGATATTTTGTTATTTTTTTTTCGTTTTGCGTGTGCTAACCTCATTCAACCAGTTTAATCTGGATTATTTTATTGACTTTTTTCCCGCGAGAGAGAGATTATGTGTTCGTGTGTGTGTGTTGATAAAACAGAGCTTGCGTGTTTCGCAACGCATCTGATGCCGCCGCCGTCATTGTCGGCGGTTTTTCGTTCCGTGTACTAATTGAAAATGGTTTTCGCTTGTTTTCAGATGCGTCTACAATTTGTTGAAACAGTTCGAACAGGAAAAGCAGAAGATTAACTCAATTGATGGCATTTTTGATGTTCGCATTGAAAGTCTGCGCAACTCGATCGTTGACCAGAGCACCGCGCTAATCTATCAAACGGAGTTTGAAGTCATCGGTCGAAAGTGTCGTGAGATTCTTTGGTTCAAAGGTTACTATGATTTGATTTCGCTCGCCAAGCGCTTGTGGAAGAAAAACCAGGCAAACAGCAAACGAGCCGAAGAGCAAATCAGCAACCTGATCATCGAAGGCATTTCACACTTTAAACTAATTATCGTCAATTTGGAGCGCAAATTTAGTTTGGACTTGCGTGATGTGGTGGACTTTTCGTTTCTGGATACGTGCGAAAAGAACTTGTACACGGCGGTGGCAAGCCAAAACAGCATTTGCCACAATGAAAATCGATCCCAAGACGAGGTCACCAAGTATGCCATGGAAACAATACATGCTCTGCTCATTTCGCTCGGCGATTTGCATCGTTATTTCATCGACTTTGATTTCACCATGCCGAAAATTTCCAAGGTAAGACTCTAATTTTCTGTTTCTTCTTTTTCACTTTGTAGACTAATCGACAATTTTCTTTGGTTTATTTTCTACAGGATTTTGCTGCCAACTACTATTTCGAAGCGTTCAAGCTGAACCCAAAAACGGGAATGGCACAAAATCAACTGGGAACTCTATTGGCCGGAACCAATTACAATTTGGATTCCATCTATCACTATTTGTATTCGTTGACGTGTCCGGTGCCGTTTGAAGTGAGCGACAGTCGTGTAACGATTCAATTCCAAAGCAACGCTAGTTATTTGGAAAAAACCGAAGGGGCAAATGAGAAATGCGACACGATTGGACTACGTGATTTCATTGCACGCTATCTGTTGGTCATCGATGTGTTTTTCTACGATAAGGAAATCAACGATTTCAACTCGCTTTGCCACTGCATGCTGCTCGATTTTCGCAAAATGCTGCAATCGAACCGAATCGATTTGTCCGGCGATATGCTCTACAAAATGATTGCGATGTTTTTCTTCTGTTTGATCAAACTAAAGACGAACGGTTCGAATAAAATACACAGTTTGAATGCATTCTTGGTTGCGCTATGCTCGGAACTTGTCAGTGCTTGCATGATGAAATTGAATAAGTTTATTGCCGGCCGTGAAACTCAAAATGCGAAATTTCAAGCGAAATACTACAAACATTTTGAGGAATTTGAGCAAACGGTTCGTGACGCACGCGATAAACATAAACGCTACATGGAATCCATCGCATCATCCGCTTCGCATACCAATGACGAAAGCAACGATGCAGCCAGTGTTAAAGGTCATATGAACGGCGGCAAATTGATGATAAACAAACTGTCGGATGAGTCGTTTGGTTTGAAAAATGGACGCAAGTTCAGTTTGAATGGGCATGATGATATGGCAACGAACAGCAGTGGCCGTGAACGTGAATCAGATGCTGGCAAATCAACAACGCCAATGTCGTCGCAAACGCGAAATCAAAAACGCCGTGGCAATCTACGACGTCGACGCCGTCGCATCGTTTCCGAGCATTCAAACAGCGATTTATCGTATTTTGAAGACAGCGAATGCGATATGGATACTGACTTCAGTACAGCCGACGAAGATAGTGCTGATGAAAATGGTGGATCATGGTATTCATCTGAGAGTGAAGAAGAAGAGGAGAAGGGAGTAAATGGTTTGGAGGTGAGTATGATTATAAAATCCAATTTAATCCGGCAATTAACAATTGTTTTTGCTTAACAGAGGCCAGTGAATGGTGGGGTGAATCACAACAACCAACCGGGTTCAAACGTCAACCACAACGACGACGATGACGACGATGATGAAGATGTGATCATTGAAGACGAGCAAATCATCTATCCTTCGAATGGAACCGAAGAGAAGCCAAAGAGTTTAAATGGACAAAATAGCTACGAGAACAGCATTTTTGGTGACTTTATGAGCACTTTCAAGCAGCTTCAGATTTTCGATGAGGAAAACAAGAATGGCCAAAACAATTTCACATTCGATCAGGCCAATCCATTCGATTTTAAATTCAATTTGATTGAGCATGTTGAAAATACATTGGGTAAAGAAGAATCGGGTTCGAATGCAGCTACAGCTCCGGAGAAACTACGTTTCAAGCAAAAGTACAACAAAATTGACCCAAATATCATCGTGGATTTCTTCGAGCATGAGAACACAATGGTTGCACTGAAATTGATGTTTGATTGGTTACGCGGGAATAGCGCCATAATTGTCAATTGCTTCACCACCAATCCAGAGTTCATCGACAAAATCTTTGATCTATTGAATGCTATGAACATTGATATTTTCACGCGAAAGGTCTACTTCGAGCGATTTTACATTGAAACGGAAAATGTGCGCGAGAATTTGCGTTCACTCTTCGATATTCGTCAAACGATCCCATTGAAAGAGGATGTTCTGCTGAAGGAATTCTCCGTATTTGATGTGTGCCAACGTCACATGGACTGGACTCTACCGCTCAAACTGAAAATAACCGAAAACGAGGAGACCATTCTACGCATTTTCCTATTCGTTGATTTTGGATTTTCACTATGTAAAATGAAAAAGTTTGACTACAACTTTTGCTCGCGTAGCCGCAACTTCATCAAAGTGGTGTCGACGAAACAGCGCTCAGTGAAGCGTACACGCAAACGAGGTCGTCGCAATCGACGAGGACGTGTACGTAATAGAAGCCGCAATCGACATTCCAGTGGAACTGAGATGAGTGTTTTGTCACGGAATGGAGAACAAGCTGGCCGAAGCAGCACTGACGATATTGATCAGGCTGAGGATGAGAAGAAGACCAGCCTGAAAAAAGGATACTTGAAAAATCGTCAACAAAACAATCAAGTTGCTGCATCGGCCGCAAATGGCGAGAAAAGCAGCCCTAATTCAGCCACCGATAAACATCAACTGATGGGCAAACTGTGGTTAAAACATGAAATCGAAGTGCTCGAGGCGAAAATGTCGAAGAACAATGCCATTCTGAGTCCGTATTTGGTTGTCGATTCCAAAGTACTTTCCAACCATTTGGACACTGTCAAGAAGCTGGTTAAGGCCAAGAAATTCGTTGTTCTAATACCAAGCGCAGGTAAGGAGGTTAAAATTAACGTGTTCCACGGGGAGTTAGCACGTTATAAGGTTTTGGACTTCCATCGAAAGAGATGGTGAATACAAGTTGTATATGTCCATCTTTCTTCTTCCTTGAAATCAAATTAAAATCTTTATAATGTACGTCTTGTTAACTCCCTGTGACGTGTTGAATTTCAAATCAAACACATACATTGTCAACTCTATTAAAATTTTATTGGTAATTTTCTCAGTCCTCGCTGAACTGGATGATCTGAAGAAAACATCGGACGTTGTTCGTAACACGATTCGTTGGTTGGAACGAGAATTTACTGGCGGTAGCCGATTCATTCGATTGCAACGTAACAATGAAACGAAACCGTTGACTTTGATCAAGGTTCCGAAGAAATTAGGTAATTTTTCTACTACTTTTTATAACTTTTTACTTTTATTTAATGAAATCTATTCCAATTTTAGATCGCGAAGCATCAACATTCATGCACACCGTTCAATTTTGCAATCACATCAATGAAACGCACACTGGAAACGGTGAAAATATATTGGATGAATCGATGGCAAAGCCGAACGTGGTAACTTTCCTTACGGGCGAAAAATTGGTCAACAAGAAATTGAGCAACATCAGCTATTGCGGTATTCTGGATGCGATCGGTATCAATTATGAACAAATCAACGAGTTTTACGCGAAATATAAAAAGAAATGAGCGACACGTTGAAAGCTTGTTAAAGCGGATTTTGGATAAAACTGAGCAAATAAAACTGCGTGACAGGGTTCAAATTCAAAGGAAATTATATATCAGTAAGGGATAACGTTCGAGTTCATTCTCAAATGCTTCAAAAACAAGAACAACAATAACAACAACAGCAGCAAAAAAAAAATTCACACGATGTGTGCGGTGTCAGGTTATTTGAAACAAAAACAAAAAAACGATTCATCGGTTTTGGGGGAAAGAATCTGTCACACACATGACGCATACAATTTCATTGGCATTAAAGAGAATATCGATACGGAATCAATTCGATGGAAGTTTCAGTTAATTCACGAACATGGAACTCGTTGCAATGCAGCCGCCGTTGCGAATTCAACACAAGTAAACATAAAAAAATAACAAAACCATCGTAATCATACTATATAAAAAAACAAAAGAAAAATCCACCAAAATAGCTACCAGAAAAACAAGACGATCGTGGTAGTAAAAAGAATGGTGTATTTCACGGGAAACACTGTTTCATGGAATTCTATCGTGACTTGAGGTGGTGATTTTAGAGCGTTTTTTTCTTCATTTTCAGTCTCTGCAGTTGACCTATATAACAAATATTCTTCTAAATGTTTTAAAATAAAATTTTGATTTTGCTTCCCTTTAAACAAAACAAAATAAAAACGTGTAAATCATTTAGGCCTTGTCATTCATTGTACTGGATCTATGTTTAACAATAATAAAATATCCAAACACATCATTAGCCTTGCTGTATTTCTTTCTTCTTCTCTCGGTTTCATTGGCAAATAGATTTTTTTACAGCGTACGTATCACGTCCTGACTAAGCAAATATAGTAAAACGTATACAATATCGAGCCTAAACCATCTAAACTGTTGTAAACAACAAAATATGATACGCACGTGTTGTATCGGTGTTTGTGTGGCTCTAATTCCAAACATGACTAGAGCTGTCACACACGAACACACATGTGTGCCTTATTTGATTGTGTGTTAAAGTGTCAGTTGTGTCAATGTTTGTCGAAACGTCAGTGTTCGTTTAAACAATTTGTGTTCGGTACTTTGTAAATTGTTTTATGTCTGAATCCGTCTGACCTCAATTTTTCCATTTGTTCTCTGGATTTTCTGTAGACAAATAATTGTCTTTTTATTTTCCAATGAAATTATCAAATGCTTATAACTTCACACCACTCGTGTCATTTTTGTGATAAGACAATTGATGAAAACACTTCATAGGCTTCTGAAATATTTGTGGTCAGTCAGTTTGCACAAAAGATAACAATTTTTTTTTGTTCAAATAGCGAGTCGACAGATCAATTGCAGGTACACACTAATCGAATTCAGTTCTATTTTTCTTTTCTTTTTTTCTCTTTTATTGGAAAGAATTCCACAAAATTGCAATGAATTGTCTTCCATATTTCTGCACTGGCCCAATTGTAAAGGGTTTTGGCCGAGGCTCCAAAGAATTAGGATGCCCAACAGGTGAGGGATCTTATCGACACTTTTGAAGATCAAAAAATTATTGTAGAAAAATTCACTTCAAACCATTTTTTTCTCATCCGTAGCCAATGTTCCATTGGAGGTCGTGCAACAATTACCAGATGAACTACAAACGGGAGTTTATTTCGGTTGGGCAAGCATTGAAAACGGTGACGTTCATAAAGCTGTACTTAGCATCGGCTGGAACCCATTTTATAACAACAAAGAAAAGTCTATGGTTTGTGATTACAATTTGTATTTATTTTTTGCAAAAAAAATAACAAACATTTTTTTTATTGCATCAAGTGATGAAATTATTTTGGCCTTATCTCATTTTATCAACATAAACATACACATGACGCCAAAATAACAATCTCTAGTGGGAAATATTTTGAATTCCTGATTTGTTTGTACGGATTACAATGATTAACGGTTTTTTGTCATCTTTTTTTCTATTTTTGCTTTGATTTACAGGAAGCACATATAATCCATAAGTTTGATGAAGACTTCTATGGAAAGCAGATGAAGTTATGTATTTGTGGCTACCTAAGACCTGAAACAAATTTCGACTCATTGGATGCGTTGAAAGCAGCCATTAATGAAGATATCAAAAATGCCAAGAGCCAATTGGACACCGAACAATTTACCAACTACAAGTTCAACGATTATTTCAAACAATGATATGTAAATTTGAGTGATTTGTTGTACTTAATTATTTACAATGTTAATTAGCCATTTTTAATGTATCAGACAAATTGTTTGGCAAATTAAATGCACATATTTGTAACAATGATTGCAATGATTGCATTTACAATATAAGTTTACTTACTCTTTTTGATTTGATATTTGCCTATTCATTTGGTTTTGAGTCACGTAATTTACGTGTTAGTATTGTATATTATATATATTTAAAAAAAACGTAAATCTTGAGCTTGTTTGGACAAACCGAAAAACAATGAAAGTATCAAAATATATCCCATTAAAAAAAAAAAAATCATGGCTAACTCGAACCAATTTCCAAATTATGTTGAATTTTTTGGAAAAACCCAATTATTTAGGCCGAGAAACCTGGGCAGCTATCCAAAGTACCCAAACACTGAATCACTTGAAGAGTACTGTAAAAACCTAAGGGTTTCACGCAAACTCGAAGGCCGAAGATTTTACTAAATAGCTGGAAATAAAACCATTTTATGTGTAAACTATAGATATTGCTTCTTTTTATTCATAAACTCGTATTTTTTAGAATTTTTTTAATCTAAAAATTCTGGAAGTGGGTTTTGGTGGATCCTCAGGATTGTTCAAAACCGCTCCTGGTTCTGGAAGTGGATCCTCAGGATGGACCAGGGCATTGTCAAACCCAGTCTGATCCATCCTGAAGATCCACCAAAACCCACTTCCAGAACATAATTTTCAAGGTGAATGTTGAAATATTTCGAAATAAAACGGATTTTGGTGAATCCCCGAGAATTTTGGAGAAAAGAGAGAAATATTGAAATTTTAGATGAATTTTAAGTTGCGTGAAACCCCTAGGTAAAAACTGATCAACTCTCCGATCTCGTCGCACCATATCATTCGGCCGTATTTAGTCAGGAACGAAATGCATTTACTAATGATTCCTGCAAGCTGACTTTTTGCGACATAGTACTCGGTAGTACTATCCAGATGACCAAGATTAAATTCAATAAATCTGTTTTTTTAAGTTTCTTTCTTGAAGAAAGATGAACGCGCTTCTAATACAAACCAAAAATGGCGTATCTTGGTTATTGAGATTACAAAGCTTACATCCGACTCAAACGCTAGTGAAGAACATATCTAAAGATAAAATGAAAATTTCAGAAGAAAAAAATTGTGGCGTTCGTTACATCTCTTTTGGATATTAAAATTATGATTTATTCATTATGTTTATTGTATCCGAACATTTGCACCGCAAAACCGATGGCATTTGTAACCGAATAATCTTGGGTTAGTATGCTTCTGGAAAGGTCTCCAGACCACCTAACCATTGCATCGATCGAGCGATCGTATAAAAAGAAATAACTTCACCGATTTCATCGCACCATGTCATTCGACCGTATTTTGTCAAGAATGAGACGCTTTTATCATTGACCTCCTGTAAGTCACCGCTTGTCAAATTCGACATCTTTTCTTGTAAGAAGCGATAACCTGGATCTGACGACAATTGCTTGCGTTGCGACTTTAAAGCTGTTTGACCATCGCATCGTTGGCACTTACAAGTGATGTGATATTGGCGCAATGTTTCATGTCGTTTTTGTTTTGGTTCCAACAAAAGAACCATTGAACGTCGCAGAGTTTCACCGCTCTTGATCGGTCGAATTGTGTAATAAACAAATTTGTTGTGTACCGTAATTGAATGTACATTTGGCGCACACGAATGGCCGAAATACTTTAGTATCGATCCGGTCATGGTGTGAGTCATTTTTGGTTCACGATCTGACTGCGTTTTGGCGCCTCTTTCCACTATTGTAGTTCCCTGCAAATTGTATTCGGTGACTAGGGCATGTTGACCGATGAGATGCATGAGAAAACGACGCTTGTACTCGGTGTCGAACATTGCGCCAATTTTTGGAATGTCCAAAAGCACTTTATACACAGGATAGACTTGCAGTACACCAAGATAGTGTAATGATTGTGCGGAACCATCGTATGTTGATTTGAGAAATGAACGGTAGTTCAGTTTCGGATCCGTTAAATTTGCTGGTACATCGGTCGGATCATCCATTTTAATTTGTTCAACGAAATGTATCAGCTCATCAACGTTCGGGAACATATTGATGGCTTGCAAAACGCTGCGTAGGTATTCCATATTTTCGACGCGTTTCAAATTCACACCACACTCGTACTCGTGAATTGAATCGCTTCGGCAATCATCAGAGCAAAACATGGCGATTGTACAGTTCGGACATGCTGTCAAGTTGGTGTCAGGTTTCAGGCAAACTGTACATTTCGAACCGTACCTCATATGCAAGCACGTAGTGAATGCTTCTTCGATGGCAATTGTTTGACCCACAGCAATGTCTTCTTTGGCGATTACCGAACATATTCCATCCTCATCTTGCTGCAAATTTACCACATTGGCCAAACATGGGAATGTTTCGTTCGGTTCGAAGTTCAACTTTGGCTCGTATGCACCCGATTGCTCGTTGCCCTCCGTTCCGATACACTCCATGCAATCGGCTCGTCGCTTTTCCAATTTTGACATCAAATTCTTTGGGTATCCACATTCAATGGCCATGTCGATATCAATCAGACACTCGTTGTACTTTTTCATCTTCAGAAAGCAACTGGACCGATTTGCATATGCCAAACTGATGTGCGGTGATTTTGGTTTGGCGAAACACAAGCTCTCGTTGTACATTTCCATTGCATCGGCCCATTTTCCTCGACCAAATAATTCGTTTCCTTTCATACGCTTTTGCAGTGCGACCGAATCGTTTTTGTTGTGTGTCGATGACGTGATGTTGGTTCGAAAAATGTCAACCACTTCGACTCTATTTTGATTTCCCGCACTTGGCAGATTGATTCCAATTCCTTTCGGACCCGATGAACAAATATCCACATACGGTGCATCACACCGCCCCGACTCCTTTTTCCACAGCATGACGAAATCTTTTGATTGTTTGTGCAAAAAACTGCGCTCTGAAAATAAAATGAAACAAAAGTGTTGTTGAAACAAATGACAGAACTGTCGGAAAACGAGTATCAACTGAATATATATTAACGGTTTTACTCGAAATTAATAACGTACAAAAGATCAAAACTATCAGTTTCGTGACAGAATAATTCAAATGTCCGGCAATGAATTGAATAAAATGTGCTGCAAAAGAATCTTCTTTTCAAATGATGAACACACTTCAATTGCAAACTAATGAAATGGCGTGGCGTGGTTAACTGTGATGAATTTTCAGTTTTGGTTATGTCCGAATTTTTTTTTGATGCTTATGTGTGTGTGTGTTCACTAGGGTGTTTTTGATATCAGTCGAATGAAAAGTGCCTATTTTTGATATAAAGAGCACCGAATTCTGCGTACATTGATGACATTAACACAACACATCGATTGCTATTCACACTTCCCGAAGCAAAAAATATGTGTAACAAATACTTTCATCTCCATTTCGTCGATGTTAGTTTCACATCAATTCTTTAAATTCAGATCATCGAACAGGAAGTCAACTCATTCCTAATATACGCTTCATTTCATGAAATAAACAAATGTTCAACGGAACGAACATATTATTTGTTTATTTTTCCAGTCCAGCGTTGTGCTGCATGCGTACATTCTATATTTAGGACGAACACGATGCCGCCGGTTCGTTGCAAACACATACAATAAACCGTTTCACGAAAAAAAAATTCCATGCGAAACACCAAAACACAGATGTGATTCAGTTGACCACAGTATGAATTCAATGTGTTGTTTTGGCAAGGAACAATGGCAGTTCACAGTTTTAACGCTGCTACTGTGTCGATTGCACGAAAAATGGATTTAGCCACTGTGGTTTCTGTTTCCGTATTCATTTTTAATGAAAGATCAGCAAAACTAGTGATAATCGTTTGTTCTTTTTCCACCGTAAGACAGTGAGTGTATACAATGGGACGATTTTGTGTGCTAAAAAAGCAAAGACATGTTTGCGGCGAATTTTGTTCATGTTACCGTTGTGATACAAAACTAACTGGACATTTGCAAAGTGGCACTGCTAACATTTTGACACAACGAAATTAGCGGATCATTTGACAGACTCGGTGACATCGATGAGTCGATGTGAATTTCATCATACGACCGCAACGAAACACAACGAAGCGAATCGAATTCAGTCAGACGAGTTGCATTGCCTGCTGATGTAAGACGTGACTTTGATACACTTTTCAAATTACAATTTCTCTTTCTGTTTCTTCGGTGTTTTCAATTGTTTTTTTCTTTTCTGAATTGCATTTTCAAGTGGATATATCTTTTTCATATTTTCTATAATTGTTTTTTGTTGTTTTTTTCTTCTTTTTTTGATTTCATTTCAGCCAAAATGCCGAAGAGAAAGGGTACACCACTTCGCGGTAACCAGCGGAAAAAGAAGAAAATAGTCAGCAAAACGGGTATTGAAGGAGAAATCGGCATTCTAGCGATAAAAATGACATTGAAGGCTATCGTTCGACCACAATATTATCAACAAGTGAAAGATTGGTTCACCCAAAAGTCGATTGAATGCACCAAAATCTGCGCGTTAGCTTCGCTGCTCTTCCTGTACAAAGTTAAGAGTGCCAACGAAAGTAATAATGCGGACTTCTTCAGTGGTGATGGCAACAAGGAAATTAAGGATTGTTTTTATGCAGTTTTACAAAAAAACAAAGAGAAGGAAGAAATGGTTCCAGATTTTCGTGATTTCGTGGAGAATATGGAGGCCGAAAACCGATTCAGTTGGCCGGGTAATAGCTTCTTCGGAAACCAGATGCAATACCTCTACAAGCAATACACCACGAATTTGCGCAACAATTTGGAGATGCATGCCGAAAGACGCCTGTACCAATATCTCATAATGCGTGCGTGGCAATTTAACGCTGTTTCAACTGGCCCCACATTACGCAACGATGATATCAAGCGTGCCGTGCAATGGACCATCGATCGGTATGATCCCATCAAAACAACCGACCGACATTGGGAAGTAAAGTGGGAGAAGCGCCAATTGCTTCTCGATATGATTGCGGAAATTGGCGGGCCAGAAGATAATGATGTCGCAATATACACAACATCGGAAGGAACATGGTTCAAATCAATCAACATGTGGTTGACTATGCAAATGGAGGTGGACAATTTCCACATTTGGGCTGAGGAAAATGGCATTGAAATTCCGAAGATCAAAAATCTCAAAGTCATTCCGATTCATCAGTTCATGCGACAGCACGTGAAAATGGAGACGGACGTTCTCATTCGAATGATGTCCGAAATGCGATTCAGATTACATGGTCTAATAATCAAGTACGAAATTGTGGAGGACCCCATGACGCAGTGTTGGGATGAGATTTTCGATATGCCAAAGATACATCGCCTGTTGAAATCAAACAAACGTTTCCGGCCCTACATTGCCTCGAATGGTCAAGCGGTATCCATTATGTACGAAGTACCGAAGAGTCACCTGGATCGTTTAGTAGACGATGAAATCGTGCGGAAACGGTATCGTGATGGTGTGTACGTATACGAGATTGGGATTGATCCCGGCATGCGTACCTGGAACGCGACAGTCAGACGGAATATCAAAACTGGCAAAGAGGTGAGTTGCATTTTAGTTTCAATTTGTGTTTGTGTTGTCTCAAATCGTGTGATTGAGTGCATTATTTCATTTTTTATCATTTTCCCACAGATCAACTTCACGGTCAGCTCGAAGAGGTACCATTATCTGGCCAGGCAGGGTGTTCGGGATAGGAAGGCAAAGCGATGGACAAGGCGATTTGTGGCCGAAGAACAGCATGACCGTGAACGCTATCAACGGATGCCATCGCCAAAAGGTGAAAATTGGGGGTCTTACATCGCACATCGTTTGACAATGCTGAAGAAAGGAATTGAGACGTATACAACAGAAAAATACGCCCGTCTGCAATTTGACAAATACATCCAATCAAACCGTGCAACCGATAAGATTGCTAATTTACTGGTAAGAATAGATGTTTTCATATTGGCATATTTCGTTAGTTGGGCGATTGTTTTGAATGAATAATGTGTTCTTTGTATTTTCAACAGACAAATCGCAAACCATCCATCATTCACATGGGAGCCGTTGATATGCCGGCGAATTCTCCGATCCGAATCAAGAAACATGTTCGTTGTCCAGGCAACCGTAAGTTGGCAAAGAGCTTCAGAAAGATTCCGAACACCGTCGTGCGACAAGTCAACGAGAACAGAACATCACAGCTTTGCGGTAGATGTTTCACCCCGTTCGACATAGCAACACAACGTGATCGAATGAAAGTATGCGAATGGTGCCTGCCAGATAACGATGATTGGCCACCAAATTTGCAGTTACCAACGAAAATCGTGTCGAAGAAGAGCAAGCGCACGCTGATAGCGGATCGACAACGAATGCGTGAAGCAGTGGAACAGGATCCAAATCAAGCTGAACGTTTTGTGTCTAAGGTGATTTCATACCAGAAAAACTGGCAACAAAGCGCAGCAATCGATGAGGACGCGGACCCTGCCGAGCAAGAGGATGCAGCAGAGTCACATGATCGTCGCATTTTGAAGACTTGTTGGCATCGAGACATCACTGCTGCGAAGCTGATCTTATACAAAGGTAAGTCATTGTGATTGAATTGGAATTGGATTCGGAATTAAAATTTAGAATGAAAGTGAATGAAAGTGAGAAAATATCGTACTAATAACTTATTTTTGTGTTTTTTTTTCTTTTCAGGCCACTGTCACCTCTTCGGAATTCAGCTGCACTTCATGTTCACAATTGAACGAATCAGATAGAATAAGAAATAAGAAATGTCAATTAGAATAGAATTTTTTCAAACAACATTTTTGTAATAGCGTATTACATACTGCTGGAGTCGACTTTGTGACCCAGAACTTGAAATGAGTCAGAAGAGCGTATATATGTGTTGATCGTTCCATGTCTAGTGGACTTTACGTGCTATATGCGTTATTTCCCATACACTCATTGAGAGATTGAGCACGGGGGGTTGATATCATTAAATGGGTGTCTGTTTAGTTTAAAGAGGAAACTTCCTGCACTGTTTGATGACAATAACACATACACAGCAATTGATAGTCAGACTTTACAACAGTTTTTTGTTTCGGGAAGTGTGAATAGCAATCGATGTGTTGTGTTAATGCCATCAATGTACGCAGAATTTGGTGCTCTTTATATCAAAAATAGGCACTTTTCATTTGACTGATATCAAAAACACCCTAGTGTTCACCGTGTCGGACTTGTATACGATTCAAACATGGAACAGTAAGAGTGAGAGAAAAAACAATGCTTAGCATTGCTTACCCTTCATCTCATTGAATGTGACTGTGTTGAAGTAGTTTCAGATGATTTTATACAATATACATACCTTTACTCAACAGCAATGCGTTCCATTGCGGATGACATTCGATGTCCGTTATGTCTAAATTTATTCGCATCAAATGAGCAAATATAATAGCGAATTCACATTTGAATGTGTTGATACTTCAAAGTCTCGTTCCAACTGCAGTGTCGATTAGAAATATCTCAAGATTGAAAAAATTCCAAAGAAAATAAGCGTTGCTACTTCAATTTCCAAGCGATTCATTCACTACAAACATTTACATTAAAAATTGCTTATTGAACATCACATAACCGCGTTGACATTTGTTTCAAATATTCACAGGTTTTGTACAAAATAATATATGATAACAGCAGAATTTTTTTTATCTTCATTGATTCCAATAAAATCTATACAATTCAATTCTATTCTATTAAGAAAACGAAGAACTTATTATTTATCGACATTCTCCATTGGAACGCCAGCATATTGATATTCATCGCGAACGGTATCTTTGCGTCGTTTGCCAAAGCATGCTGCAAAGAACGTATCTCCCTTGCCAAATGATTCACCGTCAGCAATTGTTTCGGGCATGGGTTGGTTATTAGTTTCTGGCAAGAACAATACCCAAGAACCTGATAACAGAGTGATTACACCGAATGTTACAGCCGGAATCGTTGGATCGAATGAATCCAACAGTGTTATAAGCGGTGTCAAAGCGCCCGACAAACGAGCAGCCATTGAACCCAAGCCCATGGCCGAATTTCGAACAACAGTTGGGAAAAGTTCGGCCGAATAATTATAAATAACAGCAAATGACCCGGCAATCATGAACTTGCCCACCATAACCTACAAAACAAACGAAACAAAGAAAACGGAGATGTAAATCAGCACGAATAATTACTGTAAGGGCTTGAAAAAAATATTATGAAATATAAATTATTACAATGCTTGTGGCTAGTGTAGTTCCTTGTTGTATGTAGGCAGCAACGATGCAGCACACGCCACCAACTAACATCAATGCGCTGGTAATCGAGCGTCTGCCCAACAAATCCAATGTGAACACAAGGGCAATATAGCTAGGCAGTTCGACGAGACCCATGATGAATAGAATCAAATATGGATTTCCATTGAGTTTGCCGGAGCTCAAACTCAATCCATAATAAGCAAGAGCATTGGCAAACCAACATAAACACACGTTCAATGTTTTCATGCGAAGATTTGGCGTTTTAAACAAATCGCTCACGCCAACCGATTCGGATGTGCTGTCATCGGTGTTGGTCGACATATACTTGGCTTTGGATAGATAATATTGTTCATCCAATGGAATTCCGTTTTTATTCCATTTAACTCCTTTGGCAACGATTTTAACAGCCTCCTCCCGACGTCCTTGAGCCCATAACCATCTTGGTGATTCATCCATCAGCCAATAATGAAATAGCAGCAAACAGCTATGTAACCCATAAATAACTTGTAACCATTTGCGGTCTGGAATTATGGCTCCCCAAGCAGCCACCAACATGATACCACCGGCAAAAGCAGCTTGAAACGAAATTCCACATGCCGTACGTTTACTCGCTCCAACCAACTCCATCGTTAGCACAAAACCTGTTTGAGAGCAGAGAATAAATGTTTTTGCTTATTAAACTGCTTTTAAATGGATATAAAATTTATGTCTCTCTCATTATTAAGGTTAATAGGATGTATTTCTTTCGAAAATACATAAAAATCAAATCGATCAAGTTTTTACAGTAATCAAAACGATAAAAACATAATGAATGATTTGAGTGGAAAGTGAATTAATTAGAAATTAACCTGTGATATAACTTCCAGCGCTTCCAAAAATACCGTATAAGTAACGAACCACCAAAAAGGGGATATAGCTTGGGATGAATGCAACGCCAACGCCCAAGATCAATTGCAAAACGGCTGACCAGCAGAAAATTGCTTTGCGACCGACCTTATCTGCTAAACCACCCAAAGTAATGGCACCCGTGAACGTTCCAAGCATATAGAGCGATTGAGCAATAGAAATCATCCAACGTTTATCACACACGAAATCCCATTCAATCGTTCGAGAACTTTGGTAATACGTTCGATCATAGACATACGATCCGCACGGCATACTTATATTATTTGCTCCGTACATTTGGCATGAACTCAACCCTCCATCAGCATCTTGAGGAATTGCCGATTTAATTTCCGTAGAATTCCACAGTGCGTATGTTGTATTTGTGTCAATGCCTTCAATGAAGCAGCGATGTTCCGGAGTTGCCCCAACGGTGACGAGTGATAACATGTGCATACCAGCCGTAAAAGCCGATAAAATGTGTAAGAAAAACTGAAATCCTTGAAATCTCCCAAATTCACCTGCGAAAAGAAAAACAACAATTCAAGAGAAATCATTATCATCCGATACAAAAATATTATCTAAATGCAGTTGCTACTAGCGAGTCGGTAGGTAAACAATTTTATTGATCTCAATCGCTTAATTTGCATTTGATTGATCATAATTGATTGGGCTTGTATCCGTCGATGATCATAAAATTGCTCGGAAAATCACTATGTTTACATCTTTCATCGCAGTGAGAGGTTTAATGAAACGAGTAAATAGACGAGTGTTCAAACAGCGACACCGATGTTGCCTTGTTTGCATCAGAAAGATTGACATGCACTGATAAATCTCATGGCCAAATAAAAATAACTGTATTAAGCCATACACTTAAAAACGAATCGTTGGCCCCGCCGTAATAAAATGGAGCTGACCCATTTGTTTACCGAAATAAAGCCATAATCTCTGTTTAATTACTTTTTTTTCTAGGCGGATTAAGTTTCATCATGCAGAAATGTCAGCAAATCGACAGATCTGTGTTTGCGTTAGCACATCAATGCTAAACCATCTGTAGTCTATATTTAATGCCAAAAGTGATAATTTAATCTTACTACCTTTTTTTCGAATTATAGTCGGTCGATTTAGAAAATATCCGAAATCATTTTTGCATCATTTGACAAATGAATATAATTAGCCATGACTGTGTACCAGTCACAAATGGTTCAATTGAAAATTTTCGCTCGAAAATTACTCAAAAATAACAACCAAATTACCATTTTGTTCTGTTTATTTTCCAAAATGTTATACAGTATTGCTGTAAGTGGATGATAATTATTATTATCATTTGCTTGCATTTGTTTTGTTTTTTGAGAGTTCAAAGTACTGATTTGAGAAACACACTCACAGCATAGACGAATCAAAGCGTTTTTTATATATATATGGCCAAGATAATGGGTCTATATCAGATAAAAAAGCGAATTTGATAAAATACTCATCTGCAAAAAAAATAAAAGTGCGTTTCGTACAAATGAAAGTAATGTTGCATATTTTGAGCGCGTAATCTGCTCAAGAATAATAAAATGCAATCTACGGAAAATATTGCTGTGCGCCCATCTTCAGTAAATGCATGTGAAATTTACGTTATTTATAAAAACACACATTTTGATGGCAACAAATCTTTTTAAAATCGTTAAATTCAAGTGCTCGTATTTTCTCTCTCTTGCATTGTGATTGGCAATAGCCGTGCTGTTAACATGCGACCAAAGTGTCGCCATACAATATTTATTCCAGCTGAGCTACCGGCTCACAAAAATTTAGTACTCTTAGCAACATCGCTAAAATGTTTTTCACTGACGAGCCGTTCATTCAAAATCTATAAAAAAAATATGTCTGGCTTCGCACGTCAAGGGTATTGAAATTATTTTTCATTGAATTTGAGCTTGACAATACTTTCGTACTACGGCATTCAATCTTGAATGATCGATCCGATTAGGATGTGTCAAATTACAACATCAATCTAGATCGATCAGATGCAGCTTTTGCACATTACGACGAACTATGACGTTAGTTTGATCTAATTGCAAACGTCGCCGATGAAATTTCAATTGGAATTTACTCCTATAAATACGTTTATCATAGTGATGTACCCCGGCTGTGAATACCTTGTATGGAATACACGTGTTAATTCAATTACAATTGCTAAAACATGCAAAAATCACTCACACAAACACATAGCTACGTTGTGTTCAATACAGTCTCTGTAAAAACGCTCATTAGCGATACAGCACATTATTGTGGAGTTACACATAGTTCATTCAAATTGTTACTTTTTTTTTGTTCAAACTAAGCTGAACTTGATAATTTGCTTCGTTTATCAGTAAACGATTTACCAATTTTCTACTCTACTTTTTTCCAACTTTGTGCTGTGGTCACGAGAACTCCCCCTATCGTAAATTCCGACAAAAACATTATCAATTTTTTGGCATTGACCAATCGGCTCGGGGAAACGGCATGACTTTGAATGAATTTATGTCTATTTTTTTCGGTTGATTCAATATAAAGTTTTAAGGTAAGACTGTTTTGGAAGAGTGACGTATTACAAATATTTATAGGTTTTGGAAATGGAACATTGAATGTGCGGTGTTTTGACAGCTTAAAATAAACTGTAAAATCATAACTTTCAATATATTCCTTATTTACATTGCATTGTGCTGAATAATGAATATTTAAAATTGACATTTATCTCCCTTTCTGGCGATGGAGGTCTGAACGGTCGGTCGTTCAATGGCAATATACGCATTTAATAGGTGATTGTGCCGCTTCAAACAAAAGAAAAATACTACGCGTCATTGTGCGAAAAAGAATTTTTCCGCTTTTGTTTTCGAATAAATGAAACAAGGTCTCGGCGCATGCTCATCACTGTAAATCGGCGTTTCGTTTTCTTCATTTGTAGAGATAGAGCGAGAGAGATGCGTTGTTTTCCACAGACGATTGCCGATTTTACCCACAACAAAAGAGCTGTAGCGATGGAGCAGAATTGAGAAAAATTATCTGTTGACGGCAAAAATAACAACCGTAGAGAGGTTTTGTGATGGCCCCAAAAAAAAAACAATAGCAATACGTTTAACGTATTTCAAATTGATCTTAAACGCGACAAAGTATATAATGAGCATGTAACCATTGAAAACGCAGAAAAATTTGAAATTTTTAATACTGCCTATTTGTTTATCCCACATTGTAAAATATTGCTAATGCGATTCTTCTGTCTTTCAATTAGGCAAAGTATTATGATGCAATAAATTCACTTTCTCATTCAAAACCGTCTAAAAAAAGAAAGGAAAAACAAACGACTGAATAGTTCCATACACAAGTATTGCTAATTTAATCGATTCAACTCATTGTTATCAACTTGTTGAAAACATTTCCGCAACTTGGTTCACTCGTTTCCATTTGAATTTTAAGCGATGACAATTTAGAGATTAAGAATGTTACTTACCGAGCTGTCCCATCAGCTCCTCTAGCGTATGATCGAGTCCCATATTGATAACCTCTGTTTAAATTGACCTCTTCAATCGAATGCAATTACCTAAAACGTCATTGAACTGACGAAATTATGCTGTGATTTTTTTTTAAATCGTTAATCACACTGTTCAGTTTCGATTGCACAAGCAAAGTACGGATTTTAATAAAAGCAATTCAAAAATCGTTCCAGTTTTTAATTTGTAAGGTTAATGAGTTTCCGTTATCCGATATTGAATACCTACAACAACACCAACAATCACAACACGGAATTGAAATACAAAAATTGGGAACACCAAATAATGTCTGCTATAAAGAGTAGATTTAAGTGATAAGTCATGAGTTTGTGACCGATCGATGCAACTTAATAGAAACTACACGTGACAAAAGTCCAACTAAAATCATTCACACGATAATGAAAAGTTATTCAAAATTATTCCAGATAATGAGTTTTCACTTTGTACACTATTCGCTTTTTGTCTGGTATGTGGCGACTGTTTGGTTTCGCTAGCAAAAATGTTTGTTGCGTTGAAATTGGTTTTTGTGCGGTGTGCGGTATGTGGTATGTGCTTTTGGTTATTAAAAACTGAAAAAAAAAATCTCCGCTAAATTGTTTCGAGGACAACGTTGTTTCAACGCCGTTGCTCACAACGAAGTGCACCTACCGATGGTAGGGAATGAATTTTATAAACTGTAACCGATACACGTCAGAAACACCGATTCCAAATTGTGCCGATTCGTCCACTTTTACAATGTAGTCGGACGTATACTGATGCGATGGTAACGCCAGTTGCCACAATGTGCGTCACCACCATACTTTCACTTACAAACACTGCGTTTGCACAAAAAGACTTGTGGTATGTTCTTTGCAGCTTTGTTGTTTTTTTTTTTCATTTTGTCGTCATACACACACAATTCACGCAAAACAATTATCGTGCATTTTTCTGATAAGATACACAAGATGTCGGTGATGATGATTTTGCCGCGTCGGTTCTCAAATTTCTTGACAATTCTCTGTATACTGAAGGTGTTAAATCCTCTAGACAGACAGTGAATGCTACGCTTGCATTTTAAATCATTTTTTTCCCTTTCAAATTCAAAACCGTACCACAATCACATAAACCGGTGAATGATAATCAAGTCACAACAAATTGCGAACGTAACCATGAAAATTATGTACACCGCATGAAAATGACGAAAAACGAAAAAATTGTGTCACGCACTTGAGTCGATGTGATTGCATCAGAATATACAGTAGCGAAAATATGGTTGCGCGCAAGCAATTTTTCTAAAAACAAACTTACAGGATCGAAACTGAGTAAATATTTATCGCATAACGAATACCAACCGCAGAGCGAAGCACATGTGGTCAAATATAGCTTATATGGAATAGCAATACACGGACGTCGTATCGCTTATATTGTGCACACAATATATCATATCTCGGTGCCAGTCAACATGCTTACAAGCCATGAGCGCTCTTACGCAGAAGTTCACTGCGAACGGCTCGCAAGCATTGCCACACTTTGAGTCGTTATCACACACGAAGAGAGAGAGAGAGAGAGATAGATAGATAGATAGAAAACTAACGGTTTTGCTTGCCGCATGTTTCTGTGACTATCAACCACTTTCAACTACTATTCACATTCGTACGCCAGAAGTTAGACTTTCCGCATATTCTAGTTTTCCACACGATTTCAACACATTCTATCCTCGGAATTAATTTTTTTTCTTTTCACTTGGAATTGATATGGTTGGATACAATAGAATATGATACGTGCAAAAAAATGAATGACTTTATTTGTTGTCGCCAGTATTTAGTTTCAAGTTCATGTAAGTTTTTCTCAGAAATTACCGTATGTCCAACGAATTATTTGCACTTACTATTTGCTCGATTTCGGGACGATCACATCGCTTCTCACCGTGTGCCAAAATGCGAATGCAATTTCATTAATGAGTTTGCAGTTGTTTTCTCGTTTATTTGATGAATATAATGATAATAATTGACGTGTAAATATCGAATATAGCAATTTTCTTCTTAAACTAATATATGGTAAAATACGTATCTAAATATCGTACTCGTTTCACGCTGTGATTGATTAGACCAATACATTTAAATATAAATGTGTGTGTGTAAATTTTAGGCAATGTCCAAGACAAATTCGTATACAATAACATTTAATTTACCTAACTAGAAAATAAGACACATCTGTTTAAACAATACATCGAATCGCTCGTTTCGCCATTTGTAAATTTGACTAAATTTAAAAAATAGAAAAAAAAAATAAGTTTCCGTATAAACAAATTTCACGAGACACTTAACACTTAAAGGCGAAAATGAGTAATCCTTTCTCGATATAATTTCTTCTTCTTCTTCCATAACTTTTTATGTAATAGAAACAACAACAACAAAAAACAATTTAAGGTGGTTGCTGCGATGCAAAAAACAAATCGTTTCATCGAATCACATGACTCTTTTTAAAGCTTGGTGTCTTGGCCATCGATTTGGAATTCTGAAATGACAATTGAAATACCCAAAGATATAATTTATGAACACAATTTTAGGAATTTGGAAAACAAAAACATATAATTGAAATAGCCATAAAGTATAAAACCAACTAACACCCAATTTGTAAAAATACTTCCTCTTTGAAATTGGTTTTATCATAAAACTACGAATAAATTAAGAATATTTGCAAGACTACATACAATTATAATGGTATAATATGGGATTTTGCTACTGTATCATATCGCAGAGATGTGATAATGAAGAATGTTGATGTTTTGATTAATCAATCACAATGTTCTCTTTACGATTCAAGAAGTTCATGGATTTCATTCATATCGAAATTCAAACGAATTTCCAGGTTGAATTTTACAGTGTAAAATAATGGATCATTTGAAAATGTATCGTTAGTTTTCTTTGCTGAAATCGTTTCATTCCTTAGCACATCTCTGGTTTTTTTCCATCACCTTTGTGAAGTATATATTTCATTTTCATGTTATTTTTGTTCTACATTAGGGTTTTGCTATTCGTTTAGTTGTGTGTTTGGGTTCAATATTTACAGCAAGCAATTAGGCAAATGCAAATGTATTTCCTCGAAAACTCAAACCATCAGCCACTGCATACACAGGTAAAATTTACTAATCGTTCACAATTGCTTAGGTGTAAAGGTTAGCGAAAAGTGCAAAGTGCATTAAATTCTTCGAAATATTGGAATCATAGTACAGCTAACGTGCCGTCCAAATAAATGTTGTCTTTGAGATAAGCTATGTACATCTTATAATGTTTAAAAATACAAACAAATACATTCAAATCATTTCCCGTTAAAATTTGAAAATAAATAAAATCAAAATTTAAAAAATTTAAATCATTAAGCATAAAAATGGTAATAACCATAGCAAAAAGCAAAATATCGACCAAAATTGCCCGTCGATTTATCAGTTGTTAAAGACTAGAGCACAAAACCTAATACACTTTTTTAGTGTATCAATATTTACAAAGAAATTTAATTCTCAATCGATCGAATAAAAGTAGATAATGAACAAATTCCTATCAATCAGCTAATGGGATCTACAACAAAGCTAAAATGCTATATAGATAAAATGGCATTATGAATGACATCAAGCAAATCTTTAATACACATAAACACCGAAAAAATAAATAAATTAAAATACACTATAGGTGTATCTACGTTTAGGTGGCATTGGCAGTGAGTCGTTTGACATATAAGCTTCTTCCGTCAAAAATTCAGAAAAATTTAAGCCATATAGTAGCGGTGAATGGATACCTGTAGTTTCGGGTGTAAGCACCGCTTTCGGTTGACCGTTCAACATTTTTTGGAATGTATAAGTGTTGCAGTTTTTCTCTTTAATATCGATTGCAATATCTTGAAGAAAAGAAAAGTTACAAAAAAATGATTTCCATGTTTTTATTTGTCTAATGAAATGTCCTTTCTACTTTTATCCTACCTTCGGTCCATGCTGGTTTATTAAGTAGCTTGTGGATTTGATCTTCGGCTTGTTTATCACATACTTCGGCCCGTCGTTCGTCGCGTATGAAGTGAATGAATGTCATTAATGAAGCACCGATCAATGCTGGAATGCCGGCCACAATGAATGATGTGCGATATGATTTGGTTTCGTCGTACAAGAAGCCGGCAATTGGTGCGCCTGCAGTAATCGGTATCGAACACAAACCAAGCAAAAATCCAATCGCCTGAGTCGCTCCCTTAGCACCACACAAATCTGCAAACAAGACAAACGAATATTTTGATTAAATGAGATTAGTTTTGCGTTTAGTCAAGCTTTTAGCGATCACATTACCATAGGCAACAGGTCCCAATACAGAGATGAAGCAACCGTCGACAACACCCATACCAAGTGCAATCACCAGAACCAAATTGAACGAATCGACGAACGGAATGGCGATGGTGAACAAGCCCATTAATATGAACGACATTTGCTGTAAGAAAATGCGATTGACGCATTTATAATCGGCAATGTAACCGAAGAACAATCGCCCCAAACCAGATGTTAGGCCAATACACATAATTGGCAAATTTTTATCACTATCTGGAAATGTCTTTTCAACGTAGTTCGGCACATGAACGTACGGGACGAAGTATCCAAGAAGTGCGATTGGCATTGATAGGGCCCAAACAATGTATCGCTTACGCTTAAAATTGTCGACATGAACAAGTGATTTCAAATGCATTTTTGCGGTACTCATCGATGATTGGCCGGGCTTACGTTTTGGCGGCGGTGGTGGCAAAAGTCTGGGCTTATAAACTAAAGAACATAGAATGACAACAATTGTACTTGTCCCAAGAACAATACATGTTGTCTGCAATCCATAATTGTCGAGCAACCATTGTAATACTTTTGGTAAAATTATGGTGAAAATACTCGATCCAGATGTAACAAAACCACTGACTAGTCCCAAATAGCGCTTAAAATAGTGTCCCAAAATTGCGATGGTTGGAGTGTATGCTAGTGCAGCGCCAAGTCCAAACATAACTCCGTACGTTAAATACAGCAAATAAATGTTGTGATACAGCTGTGATGAAAGTATCATTCCGACGGTCATAAGTACGCCCCCAATGAATGTGGTGGTTTTAAGTCCAATCTTATCGGTTAAAATTCCTGAAACCGGCGATAGGAGGAACGTTGTTCCAATCGTCAATGAACCGACCAAAGCTGTGATAAAAGGAAAAAAAAACCTATGAGATAAACATAGAAATATAAATCAGAACGGCTTACATGACTAATCCATTATATGAAATATGATAGCGCTTTGAATGACCGGTCAAACAAAACAAAATGCATTGCTCGTTATTTCTGTGTGTTCTTCTTGCTTGGAAAGTCACATTCGATGAATAAACTACACTACATTAACAATTCATTTTCGAAATCAAGTTTTTTTCTTCTTCTTCTGTTCGCGATTACTCCAGTTTCGAGCGGACATTGATGTATCGATTCGTATCGTTATAACACAAATGGCACCTCAACTAGTGGATAATATGTTGAAATTTTCCTATATTTCCTAGGATTTCAATGAACCGAAACCAACAAAGTGTTTGCATAGTTAGAAGAAAAAGCATTCCTATTTTTGTGACGACTTCATTCCAATTTTTTTTTGCTCTTCACTTCTATGGTATTATATGTCGCGGAACTTATGGTGAACGCTTTAAAGTGTACTCTGACATCGGAGCGTGATCAATCATATCATTCGTTGGCATGACCGTTTCATAGCCACTATTTGGGGCCTATAAACGCTATGTGTGTATAGTGCATGGTCAATTGATCCCATTTCGATGCTTCATTTTGTGCTGAGATATGCTCAATTTAATTAGGCGCCAAACACTAACCACTAACTACCATATCAATAGCTCATTTTTCAAAACAGATTAAAGGCAGCGAATTGAATCAACGTCAACAAATTGACTAGCTACTATAAATTCTTACGATGCGTCAAATAAAATATTCCTTCGACATTTTAATCAATTAAACTGCAATCGCAGTCAAACAGGAATTTTCCATTCGGCGAATAACAATCGTTGCGCTCAAAGAGAGTAGTAGATGTCAAATTTAATGTAACTTGAGTATAAATCAACATAATTTGCACACCGAATTAAGGAGAAAAGAAAAAACATGTTGATTTGTTGTGTTTATGTGTATAGAAAAGATTGGTGTATCACAGAACACGATATATTGCTGTACTCTTTTTACGTTAACGCAGTTGTATGTGTTACTGTTAACGTAACGTGAACAGAACGTGCACTCCGACGGCTACTTTTCCATGAGATACTCGTATTTATACGCGAACGCTATAAAAAAAAAACATTTCTACTTTTTATGGTCGAACGATAACAGCAAAAAAGAGTCAATACTATTTGTTTTCACTTAATAAATCATTGAAGAACAAATCAACAGCATTAACAGAGTTACTACCTGAAACTTTGTCTCTTGTAAAGCACCTCTGGTGGTTTTATTTGATTTAGTGTTTGACACAGTGTTTGCAAAAACACCCGTTTCTATTTCATTTGCATGAGTTGCTACTTCATTTTGTATGATAATAATGTTGAAATTGTTGATAGACAATGGGGGAGCTTCATTAATTTTACGTCAATAACAATTTTCCATTACTTATTATTTTGGGCAACAATTTCTCTAGTTATCACATTTGATTTGACTTTGATAAACTCGTTGAATGATAATTGCGTTGTCTTTCCAAAACAAGCCGGTTCCGAGAATATATATGGTACGCATAAAATTCTGTGCGTCACTCGATGGATTAAATGACAGCGTCCCTGTCTTTACCCTTTGCCTCGTCGCTGATAAATTTCAGTCAAAATGAACTACGTCTCAGCCAAAGATGCAAATTAAACTGCATTTTTTTCGCGGGCTTCGACGTGTGACTTACGAAAGAAAGAAATTTCTTGTTTTCACACATTTTAATTAAATCATTTATCTCCACACAGCAATGTGTCACAAGCAATGATTATAATCATCACAATGATTGCACATCTGAAATGTTATAAAATGAGCACATGCCAATTTGGATTCGCTTCATACTGTGTAGGTGATCGGTGAGTATGAATAGTTATCAGCAAACGAGATTTTTGTAGATTAAATACAACAGGGAATATAAACAGAACGGGAGAGTGTATGCATCAAAGTACACCTGTATGAGATAACGGCTTTTTTCGGGCGTTTTTTTCACTCTCAATACTGAAATAAAACAAATGCCGGAAATGGAATACGTTTTTCTCATCATTTTTTTTGCTTGTTTAACTTCAACAGTTTGATCTGTTCTGAAAAATTGTCTGTTTTCGAATTTAAATGCTGATCTAACCAATTCAATTCATCTAGCCTATTTCTACGACTTCAGATACTTGTGATCTCAATGGCAATGAGCTGCTCAAATCTCAACAGCCCGAGTTGAATTTAATTGATAATAATATTTACAAATAAAGCATATATAAATGGCAGCGATTCGTGCCGTTGCCAATGCCACACGATAATCTTTGGGCTCTCGCAACGAGATGCATTCTTGGTTCTCATGATTGAATTATCTAAGTAGGTGTGGATTTATAATGATGAGTACCAAATAAGAATTAAGCCCGCTAAGCGAAATGATAAATCCAAAATTCACCGTTATAGCCTCATTTAGAACAATCATTTCAAGGATCACAGTTTGAGATTAGTGCAATTTTTATTGGTAATTCATCTGAAATCGAAACAGGGCTTATTTTAACCGGTAGTTCTACCGGATTCCGGTAGTTCTAAATCCTAATCCGGTAGTTCTCAACGAGAATTGCGGTAGTTGAAAATTTACATATAATTGAAACGTTTTTCTGTACATTTTGCTTCTAACGATGCTAAAAACAGATTTTAAGCCGGTATTATTTAGAAGCAATATTATATCGTTTCTATGCATTTTGACGAGTATTATTTTAGATAACGGAGACCGCAAAAATAAACATGAATTAAAAGTGCTGCATCTGCTGGAAAGAAATCGAAGCGATTTATTAAAAAAATATGAAATGGTGATTTTTTCCGAAAAGGTTCTACTTTGCAATGCTCAGTAGAATACGAAAAAATAATGCGATATTGGAAGTAGCAAATCATTCGTGTTAATTTTTTTGCAATGCACGTGAAATTGATAGTTTAATCGTGAGCTGAGAATAAAATTCGTATTATTACAGTAAATTTGTTTTTTAAAAACCTAACATCGTCGCTTCAATAGGTTTCTAACAAACGTAACATGAAATTTTTGAATTTGGAATGTGCTTTTTTTTGTTTTTTTTTTTTTGCGAAAATGATAAGAGATAACGAATTGTTATGCTCAATAAAGTTATAGAATTAGTTAGACTCCAAAGCTTTGCTGAACACACTAATTCACTATCTCTTATCATTTTCGCAAGAAAAACGCATTTAAAATTCATATTTTTCATGATCGATCATGAGCTATTTAAATGTATATGCCCATATAGGCCAAAGTAAATTTTTCTAAAAAAAATGTGTGCCTTGCCTATAGTTTGCCGCATTTTCATCTTTTTTTATTTTTCCGGTAGTTCTAAAAATTCCTTAAAATATGCCCTGAATCGAAAATCAAGGTTAGTTACTCCAAGCAGTAAATAGTTGGCTGGTTACAAAAAACAGTCTAGGCAAAATACCAAAAGATATATCATATGAGGCTGTGAGAATGACATAGGAGGTTCATGGTTCACTTTTGCGTATTCAGAACTCATGATTCATTTTTGCGAATTTTTTTTCTTGATGCGTTTCAGAATATTTATTCCTGTATTGCCATTTTCATTCTCACAGCCTCATATGTCACCACGAGATAAAGTTTTGTTGTCAAACTTAAATGCAACAGAATCAATGGGATGATTCCATTAGTTTTTGATCGTGAGCGCGCAGTGCAAATGCTCTTGGCATAGTACGAATAAATTAAATGATTGCCAGATTAAAGACCGATTCGAGCCCATTTACAAGCAATAAACATCTATTTGGCAATGTTTCTTTCATCGCCTGTCGCGTTCTGTGTGTTAATCGCACGCACTGAAACACAATCAAACTCCATTTAATTGACTGACGATATATCAACAATAAAACCAAATTGAGCTCGAGAACAGACGCGCGACAGAATCATCATAACAAATGTGTCGTTTTTGATAAACCGTTGGATTTGCTTCAATTTGCGTACGGGAACGACACTGTGTGTGTGTGTGCTCTTATCACTACTGGCAATGTACACAATTCACGGAAATGAACACTTCTGAACCTTTCGCTATTTGAACCATTGAATGAAGTCGAAAGTAAGAGAAATTGAACATTGAAAACAACACACAACACGTTCAGTTAAATGAATTTCGTTGGGAAAAATTGGCTTTATCTTCAACCGATAAGAAAAAGGTTGGGCCAAACCGTAGATACATCAACACGTTATTATCAGCTAATAAAATTCAAAAGTCTCATAATTTTCATTTTTTTTGTGTAATTTCTTTGCAAAACACTTGAAATCCGTTATTCCGAGTGTCATTTTGCGCGACTTGAAAAGAAAAACCTACAAATAGCGTTGTAAGTTTGAACGCATCCTCTCTCTACGCTACGACATGATGTCGTGATCTAAATATAGCTGACAAATGATTTCGGGCTTAACGACCGCAAAAATTCGGTCGTCTTTTTTCTCTTTTAATTTAACGTTTGTCAATGTGAATTGAAACGAACATCAACTTTAATTGCGAAAATGAAATAACCTATACGAACTCTCTATGGGTGAACTTACATGCTTTGCTGGCCGCCTCCGGATCCCCAGTTTCGACTAAATACTCAAATACTTTTATGTAAACGGTGCCATACGTATTGACAATGCCGAATATGATGGAGTTACAAAAGAATGCACTGATCATAACGCACCAAGCACGTGCGCCACCATCAGGCGGCGGTTCACATGACGGCGTCTCGCTGATATTTAAATCAGCAATAATTTTTGTGCTACCATTTTTTAGATTAATCAAATTAGTGCCGTTGACGTCGCCGTTGGAGCAATTTTTTAATTTAGTACAAATAGCATTGTGATTCGGTTGATTAGCTGTACCGGTTACAGCAGCAACAATGCATCCATTTGGTTCGCTATTTTGTTGCGATAGTAACTGCTGTTCGGCCATCGTTGATGAATCACTTGTTGTGTGTTGTTCGCAACGAAAAATGTAGAGTAGAAATAGAGTATAGTTTGGCTAATTTTACATCAATGTCATGACCAAATGTGTGTCGCCGTGTAATTCCCTAAATCGGCGTTTGCTCTCTGTCGTCGCGTACTCTGTGTGTGGTCTAACCTCATGCAATCAACGTTAAATTGTATCAAATTGATTTTACAGACACTTTGATTAAGTTATTTGATAATAAATCATGCAGCCCAAAGGTTATTGAAATAATAAGCACACACTTCAATCTAACTGCATTGAGAGAGAGATAACAAAAACAAATGATCACTTTGGTCAGAGTTTGCTGCGATAAAAATATTTTTAAAAAAATGTGCACGAATTATCTTCTTGGAACTTCAATACACATAATAGCAAAAGATTTGATTGAACACAAAAGTGTCTAATAACTTCTATGATGGTGCATATTTCTGGATAAATGGTAACAAACTAGTTGATTGCTCGACGGTTGTCATGCGAATACCGAGGCATAACCACCAAAACAGAATTATATCAGGGAAAACCGTTCGGCGGTTGTAATTGCCTGCGAAAAGCAAAAACTCTCGTCGAGAGAAACGTAACGCGACGACTAAAGCAAGTGATCGGACAAGAGACGCTGGGGTGTGCACGGTGTAGAGAAAAAATTGAAGTGTCTATCTCTTTCTATTTTTTTTTTTCGTAGTAGTCGTCGCTACACATCTACTGGCACACACCGTAACACACTTGGATTGAAACGTGTGTATCGCAAAATACTCACGCGCAAGTTGCAACACTCACTCAGCAACGGACGCCGACAACAACAAATGATAACACTACTCACACTAAAATCAACTGATGTACACATATTTGGACAGAGGAAATGAAAAATCGTATCGAATTCTATTTATACTAACGCGTAATTATATTGAGCGCACAAGAGAGCGCCGTTAGGTCTTTGTCGAATCTACTGAATACACATGCACACTCATCAGTCACCACATTGATTTTTTCTGTTACTCAATTGCTCGATTCTTGAGGTCGAACCGGCAATACACAATTGGCACTCGCATTCGAGAAGAAGAAAAAAATGCTCAAAATAGCAATTTTACTTTCCAAACGGGAGTGATACATTTTTCGGCAAGTATTGCGTCTACGTATCGAAATGCCACGCTAATCATTTGCGTGTAATATAATCGCTTCGAATTACTTACAGTCATCGAAATGCAATTTAATTGACATAAATTATCACACGCCTAACAAAGTAATTATCGAATTGTATGCGATCAAGTACACTGGATTTAGCTTATAAGCAAATATTTTAATCACCTCAGCAAATTGAGTGCAGTGTTTATAATCATAATGTTCGTTTTGTTTATGGTTTTATTTCATCGTGTATTAACCGCAGTTGCGGTGATTGCCTTCTTCTACTTTACACATTTCTTTTCTGCCACATTATCCAGTATACACTTAGCGCCGTTGCTATCTGGCTATCTATAGAATGGAATATTATTAGTGAGTCTAGAATACAGAGGGTGTGAGTCGATGCAAATTGTCTCGATAGCAGACGGTCCTTGATCATCACCATAAGCAAGTATCGCAAGCGAAGACAACCTCATAAGATTTCTTGGTTTGTGACTTCGTCTGAACGCTGTCGCATATATCGACATGTTATGACTCGGTGTGCCGCAGATGAGTAACTTTTTTTTCATTTTGGCTGATGAAATTTTATTGTTGTGTTTCGATAGACGCCAAGCGTATCAAAAACTTACAAAAACTAACACAGTGTGTTGAAGACACACGCGATAATTGAACACAAACGCACACACATGAAGAGTGGAATTTGAATAAATACATAGAAGCAGAAAAATTGTGCGGTTGATATTTGAATATGCACGAACATGCGAGTGTGCGACGAATATTTTGTTTCTGCTTTCGATTCGTCTATTTTTTTTTATATATATGCATGCACGTGCTATCGATTTTTTTGCTTTTGAGTTGCAATTTCATCTGCGTCGCCGTCTTTCGTTTGGTTCTTACACTTTTGGCATTTCTCAGCACATATTTTTGTTTCGATTGTGTTGTGAATTGTGTAAAAAATGTGTTGAGCAACCAAAAAATGATGTATCGATTTCGTTTGATTTGTTCATTGCAAAACAGTTAAGTTTCGATAGAAAGCGTTCAAAGTGCGTTCTGGGTGATTGATTTATTAAAGTGATCTGAACTCATTTGAGAATTGCGGAAAAAGCAATTAATAATATCAATTGATTAAGATGTGAATTTTTTTTTACTCATTATACTGATTTGGACTGTTGTCGTCGTCGTCGACGCATAGATTATGAATGATTCGATACAAAAGTGTCATTGAAGACAAACAATCAGAAATAATAAATGCAATTCGCTTATAGATCCACTTGGTTGCGCCTTTCGACAGTGTCCCAAATAAATTTCAGTTGAATTTTAATCAATCGCGAACATCCATTTGTGATACAATTGTTTTTTTCATTGTTGTGGCCGTAACGGAAAAGAGGACGGAGTAACTGATTAACGATTCTAATTTCTATTTGGAATTGTGTACGTCATGTACATGACAAAAAGCAGTTTTACGCTAAGCTACGTAGCAAAAGCAGTTCAAGCGAACTAGTATGACCGACCTTTATGGGGTTCTCGATAATTTTCCCATAAGCGCATTCTGAAAATGTCACTGAAAAGGAAAAAACAACTCAATCAAGGCTCAATTTTCGTTGAAGAAAAAAACTGCAAACAATTGCAACGGCAATGTTTCATGTGACTCCCTCGTTAAATGACGTCGCATAACCAAGAATTACTGGAAACTACTTTTCTATTTGTTCATCTAATTCAATGTATACATTCTAAACATAGTTGCTAATTTGCTGAAGACTTAATCATTATTGTCGAGCAAATAATGCTCCGCTTTGGCACTAATTTGCGAATTAATTGTTGTTTTATTAGAGTGAAAACACGGATAATTAGAGCAATTATTTATTAATTTATCCAATCGATTTATGCAAATTTGTCTTTCAATCATGTAATTAAAACGAGCAAAAATTGATTTATCGCGAAAAAAATGCCAAAACACTTTATTTTTAGCTACATAGCTTAACTATTTCGATCACAAACTTATTCGGAGGCATTTGATAAATGCCAATGGAATGTACAGACTCGCTTTCAACTGGCGCTCGGGAAATAGAGATCAAGCCGTAGGGTTGAATGGAATATTGGAACCATACATTGATTATCTCTACCACGTTTGTTCAACACCTCACGAATTACCACCGTTAAAATGTCGACAAAATGTTTTCTGCGGGAGGAAAAATGCAGAAAAAAGAATTAGTACCTATAGAGTCATGTTTAAGATGAAGTATTTCATGAGTTTTTTTTGTTAAGGAAAAAATGAAAAAAGTGAATTTTCTTACTGATCAGCAAACTGCCGTAGTTTATCGCATAGCGTCTGTATGAACCAGGATCCATCCTGGGTGTGACGAATCGATGTGAATCCCGGAACCGTTGACACACAAGTCAAAAAGTCACTATATACCGGAAATGTATTCGATGGACCGTCATGGCTGAGATAATCAATCTAAAATGCAAGATAAAATCAATGAAAATCCATACACACATCAGAAGCAAAGCAAAGCAAAGCAAAAGCATTCATCCGTTACCTCTTTAGCTCTTTGCGTCTCTTCTCCTTGACACGCTTGAACCACAAGTATTTTCGGCTTTCCGATCAATCGATCCGATATGATTAGCTTTTCAATGTCCTCTATTTTAACTGGCACGCTGTTTGCACCGTAAACAATACCCTTGTACCCGTGCGACAGCACACAAATGATAACTGAATCGTATTCGATGCTTTCGTTGATAGTGTCTCGAACATCATTCAGAATCTCCGTATGCAAACGATTGGTTTTTATGCGTGTTTCATAGCCAAAGCGTCTGAAAACATACTGTAAAGCCTCAGCATCACGATCGGTACCATGACGTGTTTCCAATCGACGTTTCGGTAAAAATTCTTTGAACGCTGGATTTGTATCGAAATGGAAGCTTTTTTGGTTTATAATCAATATAATTCCAGCCGATGCCTTTCGAATTTGATAGACCGTTTTTGACTCGGGCACTGACGACAAACGTAGACTGTCGAATGGTCGTGATGTTTCTTCAACGGTTGTCGCTTGTTTGTCATCGGTTTGCATTTTGCCATTGAATTGCTTTGTGACATTCTTAACGATGTCTTTGAGTGAATCGAATTCATTCTCTTTCAGCCATTGGATGATCGGCACTAAATTGCACGGCAAATTACTAGCTTGGTCACTATTTCGGGAAAAATAAATCAGAAGATATTATTGAATTGAAAAAAAATCACTTTCATTTAAACGAAATTTTTGGATTTAAGCAAAATTCTGCATTTGCTTACTGTAACGAGCTGTTAGTTTGTCCAATGTCGATTAAATTTTCCCACAGCCAATTCATCAGATAAATTTCCAAACATTCCCCATTGTCTGAGTAAATAAAATTCCGAATACTCGGGTACTTTTGTTGCATAGAATCAATGAGTTTTTTGCTTTGTCCTACTGTCAATTGTTCGCAAACATAATAGAGCACCTTGACAATCACATGAATGTGTGACGCAGTGTAATGGTTTGTTGGGAGAAAACGTTGTTGCAATTCGGAATAGTCCAGCCCTAGTTTGTGAACGACGCATTTTACCTGAATTAAGCAAATCGCTTCGAGTAGATTATTCTTCCAATCAGCCCCAATATCCTTGGCCCATGTTCTTAAAAGGTCGGTTTCCTTCGACTTATCAAACGATAGCACCAATAGCTGTGGCAAAATTACTTTGTATTGATTTCGGTCATTAGCACACAACAAAAACATTAATGACACCTGTTGATATAAACACACAAGTGATTAGTGGAAGTTGGAAGCGTTCACATTTCAATCGTTCAGTTTTATATAACGAAAAAAAAACAAATACCTTTTCATAGAAATCCAAATCCTTCTCCAAATAAACTAAATCATCTAATTGCAAATTTCGAATTGCAATATTATTTTGAATGATTGTTTCTGTTGAAATTTCTTCACGAGCACAAGACGATGCGTCTATTGTATCCATGTTTGACGTTTTATGCTTTTACAAACCTTCGTTTGTGTATAAATCCGCCGTATAAAATACTTATCAAGTGATTCCCCGCATCCATACCAATTAACATGTTGATTTGATAACATGCGTCATAAAACCAATAAAATACATGTACAAAAAAAATCTCAAATGATATCAGCAAAAAAAATCACTTTCAAATTACCAAAGCATTGAATGCATTCACCGCGACGACGACGACACTTCATTGAATGCACTCCGTTCTTCGGTTAATGACTCGTGGAGGCGCTGCCAACCGTGCAATGCGAAACCAAGCCAGCTTGTGAGTCAGCCATTTTCAACATTTTTCATCATTTCTAAAAAGTTCTTTTGTGTGTTCGTGTGTATAGTAGTTGTGCTCCGATTAAAACGGAAAGAAAATAATTTTTCATCGGTGAATCCATAAAATAAAACGATTTTCAACGCCAATCATTCGTAAAAGTTCGTGTAATACTTTTTACCGACAACAAAAATCAAAAGTGTGAGCTTTTTTTCTTCGTTGCAACAAAATAAAAACCAAGAAGAAATCAATCAGCAAAAATGGTGGCCCGTCAAGGAAACAATCAAATGCGTCGCAATAACAACCGCAACAATATGAATGGAAATCAAAACGGTGGTGGCAATCGCCAAGGAGGTAATTTGCGCCAAAATTTTAAGAATCAAAATCAAAACCAAGGGCAAAACCGTAGTTTCGGCGGTGGTTTCAAGCAACAAGGCCCAAACAATCAAAACCAACGCAATAACCAGAACCGTAATAGCAATGGCGGTGGTGGTGGAAACAACACACCAAACTTGGGTAATTTCAACCAATTGGCCGCTGCCATGTTGCTTCAACAGCAAAATCAATTGTTGCAAAGCGCCTCGCAAATGATGGACAATCCCGGCTATTTGGACTTCAATGAACCACGCCAAAACTTTTCGCCACAGAAAAATAGCAAAAATTTGCAAAACAGTAACAACCAACAAAATGGCAACAATCGCAATAACAACCGCAACAACAACAACAGAGACAACAATGGTAACAATAATCAAGGGGGACGTCGCGGTAATAACTTGAACAACAGAAACAACAACCAAGGAGGTAATCAAGGAAATTTCAACAATCAAGGCAATTACAACAACAATCAAAGGAACAACAACCAACGTAATAACAATTTGAGTGGAAACAACCAAGGTGGTAATAACCCACGATTCCAACGAAATAACAGCAACAACAACGGCAACAATGGCAACAATGGCAACCAAAGCGGTTCAAGCATTTCTAATTTCGGTGGCTTCGGTGGCTTAGGCAACAACGGAGGCCAATTCCGCAACCAAAACCAACGCCAACTACCATTCCCAAATCAATCATCATTCGATAACAGCTTTGCTGCCAGTCTCTTCACCAACCAAGGTATGTCGAACATGGTTTACTCTCTCGAATTTTTTACATTTAAAATCCATTTTTCGTGGAAAAAATTTCCTCAAGTAATTACAACGTAAAAAGTAGTATTGAATATAATTTCAAAGAAGCAGCGATTAAGAAAAAGCAATTACTGCTCAAGAAAAAACCACTTTAAGTCGATTTTCACAAACATCAGAATTATCCTAATGGATGCATTACAATTTGGATAGGTTTTAATCGTGCTGCAGCCATTTTGGCACCACAATTGACTCCATTGTTGAATCGCCAAGGCGGTCGTCAGTTGCGCCGTTTGCAAGGGGGCAATCAATTGAATGGCAACGGTCCATTCAGAGGCAATGGTCCACGTGGCTTGCCATTGCGTCGTAAATTGGCCAACGGCAAACCCGCCGGCGGCAACTTGAAAGGTGTTCGCAACGTGAAAAACCAAAAGGGGCAAAAAAACGTAAAAGGCGGCCGTAAGGTCGGTGGAAAGGGACGTCGTAACCAAGATCGCTACCAATTGAGCAAGCCATGGGTCACTGATGAAATTAAGGCCGCGCATGAAAAGAAAGTCGAATTGGCCAATCAATTGAAGGGCAACAAAAATGACGAACTATTTGCCGAATTCAAGGTCAAACGAGATGAATTTGTTAAGCTATACGACGCTGCCCGTACTGAGTACAACAAAAACAAGGTAACTGATATTCGTTGAACTAATTTCTCAAATTTATTTCTGAACAATTTCAAAAATCACTTTAGTTAAAAACCAAAGAAAAACTGTCCGAAGCCAAGTTGTTTTGGGGTTGGATTGACTGGTAATAAATTTCGAAAAGACTCGTTCAAAACTCAGTTCAAATCATGATCTCGAATACGAACTGAAAATCATTGGGTGTTCTTCATGAGTAGTCTGTCTTTCGTTAAAATTCAATTGAATTTTCACCCGCTTGAATTTTTATTGAAAATAAAAATTCGAAACGAAATTTGGCAATTGTCGATTCGTTGAAATCGAAATTGAATTCAATTTGTGTTTAAAGAACATCCAAAACAAATTGTCCAAAACAACAAAAGACGTACAGATATGAAACCAATGAAGAAAAAAAAAACCAAAAACCTTTTCAACCACACAAGCCAGTGTGTACCAGTGTTTTTATTTAAACAGACAATTTTCATCTAAAACTCTTTCTTTCTCGAAACTGTTGATTTTCCCCCCTACAGGCCAATGAAAAGAAAACCGAATCGGAAAAAGCAAAAGAAACAAATGAAAATACAGAAAGTACAGAAAGTACAAATACAGAGACCGACGCCGCCGCCGACGATACCGCCGCCACTGAAAATGAAAATGAAAATGAAAATGCGGCAAATGACACAAGTGTTGCAGCCACCTCATAAGTCCAATAAACACAAAATGCAATTTTTTTCCCCCACACAAAGAAAAACAAGTTTGCGTTTAAGTTGTTTGGCAGAGGTGTGCGATCATGCATAGTCTCGTATCGTGTATCGCAAACAATTTTGACAGTTGACAATTCACAAGCAACCAACAATTTCAACATACACACACACACCCACAAAATGCAACAGCCAAGATAACCGTACATTTTTTCGCTTCATTTTCTGATATGTATAAATGGTGAACATTTTATTCTTATTTTATTAACGTAACCGATTTTTTTGAATGAGGGAAAACAAAACGAAACATTATTTAGTAGAAAGAGTTGAACAAAACAAAACAATTTACTTACTCTATATGCACACAAGATTGTATAAGACAAGTAAACACTCAAATTCATACAAATTATATTGTAGCTAAAGGAAAATCATAACAAAACCATGAAGAAGAAGAAAACAAAAGAAATAAAAACGCAGAACTGTTTTATTCGGAGAATTTATGAAAAGAATAAAGTTGAAAAAGTAATGCGAAGAAAAAAACGTAGCGAATATTAAAATCAGCAGTTTTAAAAATATGTTGAATCCAATATAAAATCACAAATCCACACATTTAAACTAGAGAGTCAATGTTTTTTTCGCTGCATGTTTTTATTCTGAACAACAACACACACACACAAAAATATGTAAATGTAACCCAATCTTAAATTTGGTGTACTATTATTTAAGTATGTATCTTATCTCTATCATTTTTGATCCCATCAGTTTTCGCTAGCATCATTCAACAATGCATCAAATAGAGTGTGTGCTCCATTGCCGTCAGTACAATGACTGTGTACTCGACGATGTTCTTTTTTCCCCGAATATTAAAATAAAAGATGAATTATATTCCCATGCACGCATCTATTTTCGATCTTGAATGAATGCCATATGCATTTTTTGTGGTCATCTCGAGAGAAGTTCTCTTTTTTCTCTCGCTGGAGAAGTGATGCGACCTTCAAACTTATTGCTATATTACATCTCCACAATGCACTTGCCAACATCACGGATCACAGAATAATTCCATTGAATTTTCCCAATGCGGAAAATTATTAACGCAATAAAGAAAACAAAAATTGATGAAGATGATGACAAAAATATGGTGGGCAAATTAAACGTTTCATTCAAAAACAAACACAAAACTATTTTTCATGATTAGTAGATAAAGATACATATGAACAAACAAAAAAAAGTTAAATAAAAATAAAAAAAAATTAAACGCTGAAATCGACAAGGATTTCGCTTTGATGGGGTTTTACTTTGATCTGTGGGTTGCTGCTGTTGTGAACACAAAAGCCAAAACAAAAGTCATTCGACTTTTTAGTTACGCAACCATGAAAACTCTGTCCAGTGTGCCAACAACCGGATGGTTCTCCATCCAGTATGCGTCATGGCTCTCGAACCAGCAACACACAAAACCGCCACAGACGCAAAATAACACCATTTTATCCATTTAAAATTAGTACGATATACATTGATAACGATTAGCTTAAGTTCAATTTATTCACAAATGCATATAATTTGACCATTTCAATTTCATTTATATGAGAACGAGAAAAAGGAACAAGAAAATTACATGATGATTAGACACAAAAGAATTGATGGTTATTTTTTGGTAAATGTTTCTTTTTTTTATTGAATGAGTGTTTAAAAATTCGACTCTTTTGTTTCGAACTTATTTTTTTGCGTGAAATTGTTTGAGATTTCAATTTGCAGAGATGAAATAAATAAAAACATAGATTTTATGCTAAATGAAAGAAAAAAAAATTGTATTCCTTAACTGAATCCTTTCGTTTATGATTTTGACTGGATGAAGAAAAAAATCGGAACGATACTTTCACTTCGGATTGCGATCGAAAAAAAAACAAGAGGAAAAGAGATAAAAACCTCGGTGTTGTCGTTTTTGTGGCTCTGGGGCTGATTCTCACACAAATGAACACACACATAAATACATCCAGTGTGTTGTGGTACAAGAGTCCTTGTACACGAGACATCAGCTGAAATAAAGAGATAAAAACACATGGTAGCTCTATCGAATATGTTGTTGACATCGCCACAACCACACCACACACAACAATATTCGTCTTATTTATTTATGGCTCTCCCGAGTGTAACCAAGTGGCAATACTTGACATATAGAACAAATATCCCAAGCTATTTTACCTTACTATTTTTTTCGTTTTCGTATCTAAAGAACACCTAGATCTATTTATCTTATCTTCTATCTATTTATAATGTGTAATTAATCAGCGGATCAATTACAACACACAAATATTATAATAGACAATTTTTAAACGACACACGCAATACATAACGAGAAAGAAGAAAAATAAACAGAAAGTAATTCGATCATTTATTGAATTTCAATTAGTTTTTAGGATGAGATCTATTGTAACAACATATTTTATTGTTTCCAAAATAAAAACGTTCATTGAAAAACAACTGTAAAAAGAGTTCAACAGTGAGAAAAAACGAAATGGTTTCCTTGTTAAAACACAACCTAAAAAGAGGAATAAAGCGTCGGCTGGAGAATGCACTTGATTGCCAATACAAGTAGAACATAACGATACATCGTTGATGTGCACGAACCGAAAGTAAAGCCAAAATCAATGACAATGCCCATACATATAGTCGATATAAAAATGGAGCATAAATTGTTGAAATAGAGCTTGACGTAGAAATGACGATTATTCCCCATTCGGTTCACGTGTGTGTCCGCACATGTACCAATCTTGTGGCAATCATTCTCCACCACCGCGCACATTTACATCGCAACAGCTATTGCGAACAAGGCCTGTGTCAATGTTGAAAAAGTTACATGCAATCATGTGGTGCATCTGCAATTCAGTTTTAAAGCGAAAATCGCAGCCAGGTTTGTAACAGTCGGATTTGTTATTCCCATGATTTTATCATCATTTCTTTTTCTCTTATTCTGGAGTTTGTGTCATAAATCACTCTGACATTTTCCTGTCGAGTGTTGAGTTTTGAGTTTTTGGGACAACAAAGTTTTGAATTTATTCTAGCTGAACGGATTATTTTAATTGGACAATTTTTGAGTCGAATGCGGCATCAAGTACAAGCGACTTGAAGCGCCAGAAGCGTTGGCGTTTGCCCAGCAATTGGATGAATTTGCTTCATGGCAATGTGCAGACACATGGAAAAAATTGCACAATTCCATTTGGATGGTTGACATCATCGAATGAAGAAAAAGAGAATTTTTTCCCTCCCTCACAAAGAAGCAAAGAAAAAGTCTGCGTGCATTAAAATGAAAAGAAAGATTCGCAACAAATTGGATCAAATAAATCCAATGCTAAAATCTTTCTGTCATTCAAAGGTAAAACGAAAATCAATTTCAATAGATAGAGAGAAAAACAATTTACTGTTCCTAGAAAAAACCAACAATTTTTTGTTGCGAAAATGTTGACAATTTCCATACTTTAGTTTTAATGGTCCTACATTAATTACAATGGCAACATAAAATAAAAGCAGAACTTTATCGATTTCAAGTGACCTTGTTTCCAGTGTGCATTTCAATTTAATTGGCAGTTATCTGATTTCCCGTTCAGCATATTCTACTCACGCATTATCCAATTGCCTTTGCCATCATTTCGAATTGAATCATCTCTCTCACACACACACAGTTGAATTATACATGGCGCGTGTAGACAGCGCACATGGCCTAGGTGCCAGCGCTCGCTAATTAATTCAATTTAATTTATTTGCGAAAGTGTGAAAACTTTGAAGTTGGAATTCAAGTTGTACGACAAATTGGATTGATTGCCAATATGTATGATGGGCTGTGAACAGTGTGAATTCTTGTCACACAGCCCCGAATTCCCCATCATTTAACCACAAGCATTCGTGCTTGTTTCATATATTTTTGTTTTGCGTTTCTTTTTGTTTTGAGTTTCTTTCACAGTGATCCAGTCGTGCACAACGGACGAGGGCTGAATGGATTCCGTTTACCTTTATGACGTCCAAACGCGAGACTGACGTGATGCAACTATCAATCTCCTCACAATCTCCTCATTTGACAGCAAGCTGTAATGCCGTGCATAGTAAGATGGTGGTAAACGTTGGGCCGAATATAAAAAATGCAATGGTGCACGTTGTAAGCAATTACGGTGTGTTTCGATTCATTTTAAACCACGTTTTCGTTCGTTTGATGATGACGACACAACGGAATCGGTTAGATTGTGTCATTGCAGTTGCAGGTTCTGGTAAAAATAGTATTTGCTTCGAATCAAATATTTAAAACCTGAATAAAATACCTTGTCCAAGGTAGAATACACATTCAAAATCCGTTTTTTCTATTTTGAACATTTTTTCCAGCTAAGAAAAAATGAAGTTCCTGCTGACAAAGAGTTTTAGCGAAAAAAAAGGTTGAGTATGCTTCTGTTTGAAATTTTATATTTATTTATTATGTTAAAATCTGATTTTCAAAACTATTTGCTAAACCTTACACGCTATTATTCATTTTATTCACTTTGTCTAATTTCAATAATTTAATGAAATTCAAAAAATATTTAATTTTTTTTTAAATTTAAATGTTAAACTTGTTGTTATTCTCTTTTGTTTATTCGAAAAAGAAGAAGAACATATTTTTTTTTAAATATAGTATAGGAATAGTTCTTTAGTTTTTTTCTTCTTGTTTTGTTCAAAATGTTACACTGTATTTTTTGGTTCGGAACAACGATTTTAGCTTTGGTTATTTTATGTTTCTCCACAATGTTTTGCACATAAACAGACAATTGACATTCAAGTTTATTTGATTACATAGAACAGGTTTATTTTTGTTGTTTCAATCAAGCCAAGTTGATAAAATATGTTGAACAATTTTGATTAAAGCCAAATTGATTTAATTTTATACAGTAAACGAATTAGTTGCACAATGAAGAGCAAAAGAATTTTTTTTTTCTTGACAGAAACACTGATATTGATATAGTATTACTTTTCCACATGACCATGTCGTGTAAGAAAAGTATTGGGATCGCCTCGATTTTTTGACCCCCTTAAAATCAGTTTTTTTCGATTTTCGAGCTCTGAAAATCGCAAAATCTAGCATATTTTTAGGGTCGTAGGGTAGGTGCGTGGTACACTGTACGCTGTACGCAAAAAATGAGAATTGCCATCGCCTTAAATTTGTTGACCTATTAATAATCAGTTCTTTTTCGATTTTTGAACGCCGTAAATCGCAAAATCTAGTGTTATTTATGGCTCGTAGTGTAGGTGCGTGATACACTGTACGCTGTACACTGTACGTAAAAAATAAGGTGAAAATTAGTAACTCGTTTGCAATAGTCTCAGCTATTATGTGAAGAAGGTGCAAGTGAGATAAATTGTGACACTTCTTTTTTAAAAACAAATCATGCATGGAGAATTGGATTTAATTGGAAATTATATGTTTGGGAGTGTAGAAAAGTTAACCTTACGAATGTAAGGCATCTTGTTTTGGAAACTGGGTTTGATGGTTCGTTGATTGAATTTCCATTTTTAACAATATTATACAACCCCTGTGTATTCTTGCATTGAAACATCCTCAAAAACTCACTCAGTCGCTCTTTTCCTGTCAATCCTGTCTGCTCTTCACTCGTACACTCTGTTTGGCCGTCGAATCGAAGTTCCGTGGTTCTTTTTCATTTTCTTTCTTTTAAATTTCTTCAATAAAGTTACAAAAATAGTTTCAACTACATTAACTGTGTAGTAACTACGCTAAATACAATAGAATTACTGGCTTAAAAGCATTGCTTTTACCGCAAAGAAGAGAGAAAAAGGGAGAAATTACGTTCACTTTGACGCTGATGGCCCTTTGATGAAAATTCACTAAAGTCGACGAAAAATTTACTTTGTTTTTTTCTTTTGTTTCATACTAAAAACCTATAACGATAGCAGCCAGCACAAAGATATGCTTTTCGTTTCAATTCAATTCGAAATTCATTTTGTTTTCATCTTACACTCTTTCTCCATTCTACATTTGAACATTTCATAACTTTGTTCCCCTATTTCTTTTGATCATTTCTCGGCCAACTTAGAGCAATACATTCTAAAAATCCAAAATAATATATCACTTTTGCACCGCTATTAACTCGGCAGAGCATAGTATTTCACTCTTAATTCATGAGATGTACAATTTCTATTCAGTAAAAAGATTCAAATACCAACTTATAGCTGGTTAGTGGAGCTCAGATCACGTGGACACTTCACACACACATTTTTCTTCTCTATCGCATTCTATCGATTTCGAACTGGTTACGCACGCTCCGGACACTTGGTTTGGATGATACGTTGTGGGGCTTGTATATCGGTCTCATCATCATCATCATCGTTATCATCATCATTTTCATCCTTGACCTTTGCCGTATGTATCACGATACCCGGATGCTCAGTCGACGGTGGTTGTAGCTCATGACTTTCGCCTGGCATTAAATTGGCTAATGCAGCTAACAGATCATGGTTAACAATTGGTTCACCTTCTTCGTGCGGTTGCCATCCGGCGGGCGGACTAGCCGGTGGTGATATCAAAAACTGTTTGTATGGCGCGGGTGGCTGTAGAAATTTGTGAGTCTGCAAAAACGATAGATGTGAAATACGAAATCAAATACGATTTAAAAAATGATAATTTTTTTGTTTACAAATTGTATCACACACTCAATTCAAATTCATGTGTCACTAATGCGACGTTGAATTTTGTCGTATTTATACTAAAATGTGAACTCATTCCACCAAATCCATGTTCAAAGTAATTAAATTAGCATGTGTTTTGACGTGTGTCTCTTACCACAGGCGTAACTGGCTGTGCGAAATAGCAGTTAATTTTCGATTTGCCAACTTGGTACTGGTGTAATTGAATGCGAGCATTGGCAGCGGCAACGGCCGTATCAAAATTAACGCGCAATCGCCTGAAACTGCGAAACCATTGAAATTTTACATTTGACGAAAATAATTTAAACACATTTTCAATCTCTTCGCGTTGCGATTCATTGGTAAAGACTTCTGAATGTATGTTGGTTACTAAATGAACGAGAAAAAAAAAATGGAAATTATTCAAATGAAAAATGGTTTTGAAGTGTGTCTCTTACCAATTAATGAGGTAGGTAAATCATCAAATGAATCCGAATCTGGCGAGTGTTTTTTGTTATGCTCCTCAAAATCCTCGTCGTCCATTTCAAGCGGCAATATTGGATGCTGATTTGTCAAACCGTCTTGTTTGTTGATGAAAATGTTTTCATCCGGCGAAAATTTCTCATTGAAATCCTGTGTTTCGGCCATTGTGTGATATCTCGGTCGCTTGATTTTACTGCAGCTACTGTTGCAACGTTCGATTAATTTTGTTGTTGGCGAACAACAATAGATAGAAAACAAAACAAGACCAAACTGAATTGCCTATTTGTGTTGTCTGCCAAGAAAGAGTCGCCACGTAAATTAACTCTCTTGTTTCGTGATAATCAGCACCAATTCATTTATGCGAATTACGTCGATGCGATATGGGTGATGCAAGCGCTGCTTGTGTTATTTTTCTTTTGAAAATGGGTTTTTTCCGCTCTTTATTTGTAACTTGATGCACGGTTTACGTCAATCACCGATCAACTGTAAATCTATTGTAGTGCGAAATGGATCCGAGAGAGAGAGAGAGAGAGAGAAAGAATGGAAAAAAAGAAGCAAAGAAATTAGTAAAATAAAATAAAACGAACAACCGAATAGCAATTATGAATTTGAGTTTGGTCGGCGTTCTATTGCAATATTTTAATTTAGACAAAAATTCAGCACATGCGCTGACCAATCGCCATTAGCAAATAAAAATATTTGCTCGGAATGTGAAGAGGCAAACGAACGTAAACCAAAATGTTTTTTAGTTGCGAACAGAAAATTATTCGTTTACTCTGGTTTCATCCAAATTCTAAGCATATTCTTTCGCTTGATGTGAACACACTAAACTCTTACTAAGCGTCTCTTACTTTATCTTGGTCCCGAACAAAAAAAAGACAAGTGTATATCTACAACAATTTCGACGTGGTAGGTATTAAATGAAGTCAATGGCAATGGCAACAACGGCCGATGCTTTTGACGCTACTGTCAACCAATTGTCATTGATATATTTGGAGTCGGTATTAATTAGTGGGGTATCAAAATCGATTGTCACGCGATTTTCGTTAATATCAATTAATCGAGATAGCAAATAGTCACAAAGCAAACGGATTAATGCCAAACCAGCTCACACTCAGAACACTGTACCCATATTCCATTTGAATACGGCGCGAATTGAATTGTTATTCAACAAAATAATCTTTTATGATGCACCCAAACGGATAAAAGCGATCGCAAAGCGATACCGGTAACGATGAAATGAAAAAAAAACACGACGACGGTGGATGACAACGAAAATGAATTGAATACAAAACAAAACGAAATTGAACAATTAAGGATTGTTTTCGGCAATCGGTTGGTTTCGTCGGTGCCGATGCAAAGTGGTTTGCGTTTGGCTTCGTGTGGCTTTGCACGGAATGTGTCTCAATTTGCGTGCGACCAAATTGTGCGAAACAATCGCGACGGTCCATCAAATCATCAATTATTACAGTTATCTAGAAGTGCAGCCGCGGTACAATAAAACCACTGGTTCGAATCAAAATTGGCCCGCTTGCATGGCTGCCAAATAGATAATAAAAAATCAAGTACTTTGTCCGTTGTGCCAAATGTTAAATTGACTAATTCACTTATTTGTGCATTTGATACAAATAATTCTTGTTTTATATTCACTTATTATGATTATTCAGCATTTAAGACTTTGTAACACACACACACATACAGGAAGGAAAAGAACATATCTCACAATTAGTTCGATTGAACTGTGCCAAAAAAATACTCAAAAACGATAGAATAACTACCACATATGTACACCAGATGAACACCAAGCATCCAAATGGCGAGCAGAAGGCGCTTATTTTACGAGTGAACACTTTTAGTGGAAACGAACGAATAACTACATCACAATAGCCTGTCACAGTAATAGTGTGAAACGACGACAACGACGACGATAATAAATATTTGCATGGCGTTTGTGACGTTCGGACGGTTGACGTTCGTCGAAAGCGATTCGGTTAGTGGTGGTGTTTATGTAATGTTATGTGCTGCACGTGAAACGTCATGCAAACAGACAAAATATCCACCAACACACATCGTACTCTTGTCGTCGTAAGTCACGCACCTTGTACACTCAATCTAATGTTATTCCGTCGTCGTTGTTGTTATATTGATTTTTTCTTTGTTGTGTTTCGATGCCTGTGGTAAGTTATGAATCTATATAAAAAAAACTTTCCTCATTTTGTTTTTTGTTTGTATTCCTCTCTCCCACAGCACATTGCTATAGTTTGATCGTGAGTGGACTCGCCGGACTTCAACGCTCGAACATTCCAAACCGATTCAACTTTGCTCTTTCATAACATCGAAAAAGAAAAAAACTTTTTCAATGGGTTCTTCAAAGACCCAAATCTAGTTTTACAATTTAATTGTTTTGCACGAAAGTCGAATTCTGACGATTGCCGATAGGGCTTTCTTCAACTTCTATTTCTCAATCGAAGAAATCTCGGGCGGTTGAGGGTGGTGTGAGAAATACGACCATAATCGCGTCGAAAAAAAAAGAATAATATTTTATTACAACTTTTTCGGTTTCTCATGTACGTAAGCATACGAATCAATTCGAACGGAGCGCCACACTGTTGCCCAACATAAATCGTGTGTGTATGTGAGTGTGAATGTGGTTCTTTACCTCCACTTCCACTAGATTGGAATCGCAACGGTGAATTATTATTGTGCCTCTATCGAACTATATAGTGTATAGTGTATAGGATTGTGTGTGTGTGTTTTCATTGCTTTATTTTTCACCCCTTTCCTTCTGCCATTTTCCATTTTCCGTTTTCGGTGTGAATGGATTCAATTGTAATGCTTGGAATTTGTTGTTGTTTCCTTTTTTTTAATGAATCAACATTGCGGATTAAATAATGGGTTGATGACGAGGCGCTGGGAAAATTCACTACAATAGCAAAAAATGGTGTTGCGTGCTCACCCAGCTATGACGCCAGAACATCCAAACAATGTGCACATGTTGAAAGTTCATTCTAAAATGAAATTTTAATTGAAAATGCAAATCCATTTGCCACGTTTGTCGTAATTAAAAGCAAATGAACTTTAAATGCGTCGCCTGACGAAAGCAACGAGAGAAAGAAAAAAAGTTGTAGAAAACAACAAAAAGCACTTGACAGCCATATCTTGCATGAGAAATATCCTTTTGTAAATTTCATAGTTGGCAGGTTTTGTCTCGCAATTCTGGCACACACCGTGAATAAACAAAGAAGCGCAGTAACAACAACAATGCGACACACATGACGGGGTGGAGAGACATAGAAAGTAAAATATTTGTCTCATCAATCTTCTTTCGCACGAAACTTGACACAATCGATTAATTTCTACTCTTTGAATTTTTTTTCTCCCTTTCTTTCTCTACCACCACATAAAACAAATAAGATCGAATTACATCTTTAGATTGTCTAAACTTGTCTCCTTGAACCTAATTTTCGATTTGGCTTGTGCAACACTATTTTATTTTTTCCGGTCATAGGTTTCCACCAAAATTAGACGCTCAGACCACACAACACCAAATTGATACGCATTTCAAAACCAAAACAGATTATCCAATTGGCGATGTGATGAACTTTGAAATTTCGCCACACAATTTATACTCACATGTTTCAAATCTACTTATTGCGATAGACAAAGAGAGTTCAGACACACCAGACGAGAGATACGAAAGAAAAAAAATAACCAGAATATTGCAGAAACTCTGCGCGACACGGAGAGCTGCTTGAAATTAGGAGCTAATCGAACGAAACCTACGCTGCTACTAAATAATGACGAATAATTTTGTTTAGAATTTTCATCTTGACAGCTTCAATTGACGTAATGTATCGCGCCTTTGCCAATAGATAAGGCGTTTGTATACCATAAGCGCACAGCTATCCACATTAAACGCACAGTGAATTTGTTTTGGTTTTTATGGCGTTCGATAGGGATACGGGTGTCGAACAAGCATCGAGCAGTGAAATAAACGTGAAATTTACAATAAAAACTCTGGAACATTGGCTATGATTTTTTTTTGATTTTCAGCTTGAAAATCATTTTTAGGATGCTAAAAAAAATTTGTTTTCCAAAAAAAGTCTTTATTCATCAAAATCCGTCCGTTTTAACAACATTCTACGTTTGGATCATGGACGAGCGCATATGGCAACACGTTTCCTATAAACCAACACATGCTCATTACTGCATCAATTTGTTGTCTGGTTGACGTTTGACAGCCGGAGCTTGGTGTGAATGGTCATTTGATAGTCATTTTACGTGTACTTTTTCTAATTTTAAATCACGTTTTACTAATTAATCCACAAAATATTGAATGAAATTGATGTGCGATTGAAAGCAGTTCGAGTTTGAGACGATATTTGAAGAGGAAATCCAAAGTAATATTCATAATGGCAGGAATTGAGTCGATGATTGTTGAAGAGAAGCAACCACCCACCAAACAAATCGATCGAGAAAAGGTAAACATTTGACAATTTGTTCAATGAACAATGAAAAATTAAGGTTCAATTGATTAATTACATTGCTATTTCCTATCACCTACCCTCATCAAGACGTGTCCATTGTTGTTGCGTGTATTCTGTTCGACCGGTCGTCATCATTCGCCTCAGGAGTTTCAACATGGGAATGTGCCGTCAAATGAATTACAAATTTACACATGGCAAGATGCTACATTGCGTGAATTAACTGCCCTTGTACGCGATGTCAATCCAGAAACCCGTCGAAAGGGTACCTATTTCGATTTCGCTTTAGTTTCACCCGATCCCTACAATCAGGGCTATCGAATGCGTGAAATCGGTGTTACCTGTTCAGGACAACGTAACGCTGACGATGGACTGTCATTGGCACAAGCGAAATTCACAATCGGTGATTATATGGATATAAATATTACGCCGCCAAATCGTGTGCCACAACAACGGCGTCGACCATACTAAACGAACGAGCATTTTCTTTGTCAAGATTTCGTATATGACTACTTTTATAGGTTTTCTGCTGCATTTTCCCCCCTTGACCTCAATTCAGTTGTCTTCTTCTTCTTGCATGAACTAATTTGAGTTGTTTTTTTTAAACGCATCACAAATGACTCACAGCGAAATAGAAAGACTCATCATTTATTCGGTTTGTTTCTCACAATCATTACATTCGCAATATAAAAAAGTATTTCGTTTTTAGCAATCATTTTGTAAAATCTTAATCTAAAAAATAAAAACAAAATTTATAGAAAGAATAACTAAAGTCTTTTACTTAAAGATACGATATTGTGAAGCGTCCACTTGTTCGAACCGGATATGTACTTGTATTTCTCTAGCTTCACTGCGTCGATGTTCTTTTTTTTATTTAGTTGTGATTCGGTCTTCTTGTCTTTCCTTTGCCATTCAAACTGATGCGTTGGCCATTTGGTAGAACCATTTGATTTTCTTGATAATCGATGTATGCACCGTTATCGGCTAAATTTGGACGACCACCTTCATCTTCGATTTCATCCTGTTCTTCTTGGTCACGTTTATTTGGATCGCATTGAATACCCGTTTCATAGTTATACTCCCGCTTCACACCATCCGGATCAACATAACCGTATCGCCCACGTGTAATGCAGTCGTTTCCGATAATTTCTTCTTTGAATGAACCGTCATCGTTTTCAAAGCCCCAATTGATTGTACCATCTTCGTTTTCCTCACGGTATTTACGCAAAATCTGAGCGACCGGCTTCTTTTCACGATCCTATTGAACGATTTTCAAAATGTTTGATATAATTATGTGATTACGAATTTCTCATGGTAATATTTACACTCATAATCGATGTGTCTAGTACTTACATCATGTTCATGGTGATGTGGACGAGGTTTGACATTCAAGAATTCAACTTGTTGTTGTGGCCGACGAATTGGTGTCAATTCTTTTGCTTCGAAGTGTGGTCTTGGTTCGCGGTATTCAGGCCGGGCACGAAGCTATTGGTTTATGAAAAAGTTTAGAGAATTTGTAGAATTTTGGTTGAAAATGTTGAGAAAAATAACACGAAAATATTTCTAAGAAATGACAAAGAAAGAGAATTTCTACCTTCATTTAAGCAACTTACCGGTGGTTTAGTAGTTCCCTGAAGTGCACTTTGAACTGGACGATCTTGATTGACAACAAATCGTTGTGCGCTGCCAGTCGTTCGGACCGTTGTTGGTAGAATTTCTTGAGCTGGTTGCACGAATCGTGGCGTTGTTGAGAAATCAATAAGTGGTCGATGATGATCTAAAACTTCACCATTTTCATCCGTTGTATAAAGAACCGCTGGCAATTGATGTTTAAGAGGCTGTTGTTGGAGTGTCTGAACTTGTGGTATATATGGTTGCTGATGTGGTTGTTGTTGTGCGATGAAAGATGGTGTTTCGCCAGATTCATTCTCTTCCGTCACCGGTTTTGCATCTTCGTTGAGACTGTTTTGATTTGCGAATGGAACGTTGTTTGGACGGACTGGAGTCGCTAAGACTGGACGACGTGCACGCAAGAAGCCACCGTGTGGTGGTGCAACCAAACGTTCATTGCGATACTGGATTGGCTGTCGAACTGGTGTAATAACTGCACCTGGAATGGAAAACCTCGGTTCAAATGGGCCCAGCTGTGAATTGATGCCTGTCAAGCAATAGACAAGAATAATCTGAAAAATGAAAATAAAGCGTCAATAAAATGGTTCGGGCACTCAAGTCAAGTGGAAGACAGCCATGTGAGAAAATATATAAAGAGATCATTCTTCTTAATAAACATGATGAATATGCTAATTAGTAATTACGAACTGCGTCTTCGAGCCACCACCTGTAATCACTCACGATTCTTTACTAAGATTTTTTTCTCTCAAATGAAGAAAATGAAGAAGAAAAAAAAATAAGTGCTTTCTCATTGAACAGACAAGCAAATTATGTGGTCGTTATTTAAATATAAATGCTTTAATTTGCCGAAGTGCGGCGTTCTGTATCAAGTGCACTTCAACGACATAACCTTGGTTTCGGTTGTTATAAATGTTTCAACGCACTTTTTTTCTGTTCGCTTAAATTTATGCTCCGACGAAACGAATCGAAAGCAAAAATCAGAGGAAAGCGAACGAGATGACAAGATGTAATAAAAAGCGATACAATACGAGAGAGATAAAAATAAATATTCAAGTCGCATATAAAATATGAGATTAAGTGCTATTTCAATGAGGTAATTATTATTGACCTATTGCTTGCTTGCCTCTAAAATGCTTTTAACCCAATGAATGAAAAAATGAAAACCCGCATAATACTTCTTTTCGGAATGATCACATGTATTCAAAGGCAAAAAAATAACATGCGTTCAGAGCAGGGCAGGTCACCATACTTATTCAATTTCAACAATTGCGTTTCCTTATGATTCTTTTGATTTTCGGCTTTCCTTTCCACCGGCAATGGAAACAAAAGTGATGCTGCAACGATACGGATCGGAATTACATTGATTAAAATTATGTCAGATTCACAGTTCACCACGGTGGCAACGAAACGAGAGAGTTAGAGAGGAAAAAACGGAAAACGAAATTAAAAGTGTTGGAAGAAAAGAGAGCCAGCGACAGTTCAGTAGCATGTCGTATGATTGGCATCGAATGTGAGACACACCGAGATTGGCTTACATAATTTGTAATATTTGTTGTAAATAGATACACAAGCAAAAGCAGAAAAAAAAATTGCTCCACTTTATGGTTGAAGAGCGAGAGTGATCTTGCGCACCTCAACCGATCGCGCAAAATTGGAGCGCGACGCGATTCAAGTTGCATTCGTCATTCCGTGTTTACATAATGGCGATTTTAATAAATTACATGTGCATATTAATGAAAGAAAATAAGTTCTGGCTGGATGGAGAGCCTTCAGTGCACAGCGTTGCAGAGGCATCGTGCGCGCGCTATTCCGGTGATCGTATTTGGGCATGATCGCGTGGTTGCATTATACATGAACCGAAAATCGCATTATTGTGTGAAAATTGACAGACGACGCGTTGAAAAAAAAAACAGATTCGAACAGCGAACATAAGTCATTTCCATAAAATGCCAAAAGCATTTCGATTCCCCGCGTGAGCGCATAGCACAGAAATTATTGAAAAAATTAAATTGAAATATCAGGAAATATTCATGTCTGTACGATGAAAATTTTACGCGACGAAAAAAAATGTATTCATACAGACAATTTATTCAGGTGTCTCAGACTCGATTCGTTTGTCCATAATTTTGCATGGATTTATTTGTCTCTGCGTTGATCTCAATAGCGCGGGCCACCATTGAAACCATTCGGCCAGTATACAGCACACATTTACTTTGAATGCTGTTTTCTTTCCTCTTCTCGTGTTTTGGATTTTGTGCCGTGTTACAAAACGGGTCGATAAAAATAAAACCGGATCTCATTGTCGTAGAGACAGTGACGATAATCATGCAATTGTATATCGAATTTAGTCATGGCGTATGGCATTAAATTATTCAACAAGTCAAACGAACAAGAGAGCGAGAGAGAAAAAGTGGACAGAATCATACAATGTGAAAAATGTTACCGAAAATCTTGTTAGACGTGGATATAGTCACAATTATGTTACCGAGCAACAATAAGGCCGCGTACAATGTTCAGGAACGAATTCCAATTAGATACAATGATATTATGAATTTAAGCGAAATATTGACAAATGGCTGTGGCAAGAAAGTTAAAATTTTCTGATAAATTTGCTAACGAAATCATAACAGTTCCACATATTTGCGTTTGCGAACACTTCTTTGGAAAGGCAATTAATTTGATTCGCTATTTTGTGTGTGTCGCTCGATGTGTGCGCGACAAATGCTGGGACTTTCTTTTCGCAATAGCTTTTGCGAACACCTGCACCAAAGTAAGTACCTTGGATTCCGAAACGAAAGTGATTTTACTACGAACTCTCTGCGGAAAAAAATGGCATCAGCAGTGGTTTTTTCTCTTCTTCTTTTTTTTTTAAATATTAGCAATTTTTATCAGTGCGTTTCATACGTGTGTGTGAGTGAGTACCAACGTTTTTGCAGTTCAATTACCGCTAATTGTTTGTCTGAACAAATTATGATAAATAATGCAAATAACAAACGGCACAATATTTGCAATGTCAGTGTTTAATCACACCATTCGATTTGATCAGCAGCAGCAGCCGAAGAAGAAACAACAATGAAAAAAAAACACGCAGCTACAAAAATCTCATTTTCATTTTGCTCACAAAACAATGTGCAATCATGCAGGTTGCGCGTCAAAAGCACTATTTGGAATTCGTAATCGTACAATGGAATTGGCTAATTTAGTAGAAAATCTGGTGTTCGCATATTTGATTGAAATAATAGTGACTTTCACAGAACCACCGATTGAATAATCGGGATCAATTTGTCTATTGAACTCAAAAGTTCCATGACACATTTCCCATTTCGGGTTAAAGTAATCATTTGAAGAAATGACCAAAAAAAATTCATATAAAATCCAGTTCGGTTCACTTGAACTCAACGAACGTCTTGCATTCCAAAAAAAAAAGTAGAATCATTATTGTGTACGATACCACAATTCAAGTGAAAGAAGTGAAAAAAACTACTCGCATCGAATGGATTTCAACCGGTCCAATTATTTTAGCACTTTTTATCAGTTATCTTCGAAAGAATCATGTAACAACTTTATTATATCATAAAAATCCAGTGCAAACATAACAATTTGCTGTTTTTTTTTTTAAATGTATGCCACACAACAATGCACGGTTTATTAACGAAATCGAGAAGTATTGAGGGAAAAAACTGTACTTATAAATAACGAGTAGCTACCGTGCTATGGGAAAATGAAGAAAAAGCGATCAGGTTATAATGTGCGAGCACAAGAAAATAATCGAACGAGCCGCTACTGTTTTTGGGGAGTGTAATTCCCAAAATGGGCAAAATGCCCAAAAAAAACACATGTTTCAAGCGTGTGAGAGATAGAACGATTGAATAACTAATTGATACATTGTAAAGCAATGATGATCAATGAAAATTGCGAATTTTCACCCAAAACCAGTCATTTAATGACTATGCAACTTGAAGGTAATTTGCGTATTGTGTTCACTGGGTTAATTATTTGGTTGATGTGAGTTTTTTTTTTTGCTGCCACTACGAATGATGCATTTTTGTTGGAATGTCACCGAAAATCGTGTGGTGTAATTCGCATTACGTGATTATTCTTGAGCATTAAATCAATATTTGTGTTGAGTTTTTATTGGAAGACATGCCAAATTTACGCTTCTTTGATTCAACTAATGGGCGGCAAGTGAAACGCGAGAGAAAAAAAAACAAAACAATTCAATGTGAACCATCACATAACCAGGGCATATCGAATTCAATAAAGTAAACCACAAAAAAAGCGATAAGTCATGATCCACATAAATGGTTTGTTCATTTGATTGTTTCGCTGGGATTTTGGCAATTGCACTTTTGCCCACGCACACACACACACACTCACAAAGCACCATCGCACACAAGAAATTTAATTAGTCCAGTTTTGTTTGTAGCATTTTTTTTTCATTTTCTTCATGCGTAATCGAATATTCACTCAACGATAACTAAATGCATGCAATAATTGAATGTCGGAAAAACGAATCAACTGACGGGAACAGTGAAATCAAAAAGTCCATGTTTTATGTTCCGGGCTTATTGGATTTTATTACTATGCAATTGGAAAAACATTCAGCACAAGTTCATGTTTGTTTCATAACCGTTATCGTTTCTGTATTTTTATTTTTATTTTTGGTTTTCTTTTCGTTGTGCATTGAAAGGTGAGTGATTGTGTGTATTTCATATGGAATTGGATATATTTTTATCGTTATCACTCGGATGGAATCGGAAGAGTATACGAAATGAATGTGTGTGTGTGGTACATTATTATTATGTGTTTGTCCACCATATCCCAATTACCTTTTGGTCATTTCTCAGTCGCTTCACATTGTTTCGGTAAATTTGTGAGCAACTGCATTTCTTTCTTTTTTACTTCTTCTTCAGTGAGTGCTTGGCGCGAGGCCTGCTAGCGAAATTTATGCGCTGAAAACTGGTTATTCAGGAAAAGTCGCATACCATGCACACAATGAAGTCGCATTTGGCAGAGAAAAAAACACACTCACATCGATTCGGGCTATCGTTTAGAAAAATCTATCGATAAGCGTGCAAACATTGTGCGCTAAAATCGTTAGAAAACCGCAAGTGGTATATATAGGTGCACCATACACAGTCATGCTGATAAGCAGATTCAGTGGATAATTAAGTATTTACTGCATAAAATGCTCATAAAACTGATCACATATGAGTGTATACATACATCTCATTCCGCGATCACAATACCGTTTTGCACCGCGGTAACGAAATGAAGAAGAAAAATAAAAGTAGTATTTTCCTATATGAGCAATTATCTATTCATGTGCCCATGCACAGAGCCAAGTAATCATATAGCTTGGCTATGTACTGCATTTATATACATATGAAATTAGTTCAGTCTCACTAAGCACACGAAAAATGAAACAAGCGAGATAAAAATGATAGCAATAATGTTTCTAATGAAAATAGTAGGTATACAAGCCACTTTCGCTTCGAAATCACCAATCAAACAGCAAATAGCATTAAGTTTCTATTTATGCTAAACTGCATCTCTTGTTCAGTGTTTGTGTGCCGTGTAGCTTTTATTTTCGATGGAAATCGCTTGTTCTCACCAACTGGAACAGATAGGCGCCGCCGCCACCAATTGGAACAGATAAAATTCCACATTGGAACCAAAGAACGTCGGGAAAATTTAAAAAAAAACGCGTGATCGATCAATCATTCCGTATAAATCAGCGGTCTGTTTTACACTTTCATCATTTGTCATTGTTTTGACATTGGTACTTAGACCAATTATTGCAATAATCACAGCAAGACTGCTGGAAAAATTGTGTGCAAAAAAAACTGTTCATAATTTCTTTTCACGTGCGATTACCTCATAATTCACAACAAGCCCATAATTAGAGCAACTTATGAGCCATTTCATGGTGATTCGAAGACAATAACAACGAAATTGCATTAAAAACTAATCACTACCTTGACCCTAAGACACTTAATTCGTCGCTCACATTTTAAGCATTGTACTCATAAAACGGTGCAATGAAAGTCGTTGATTTGGAAAAAGAATTGAATAAGTCGCTGCCAGTGAATAAGTCGCTGGTTAAAAATTGAACACATATTTGAGTAGAAGAAAATTAACAAGTGCCAATGCAATTAAATCGATCAATCAGTCGTAGCTACAAAATTACTTTCTTCAACTGTTACGAATGGCTTAACAAATCGCACACAGCCCATCAGCATTTCAATAACCATCAGGTCTATTCAAAAATAAATGTAAGCACTTGAATCACATACAAATGAAAAACACACAATTCAATTGCATTCAAACAGCGAATAGCAAAAAAAAAAGTTGAACAAAAACCGAAGTTAATTTGAAATGGAAAGAAATTACGAAACAAATGGCTGAAAAAACGAGACGATGACCATTCCGCATATTCTAACGAAATTCTCAATTGATATTCCATTTGAGGCGCCGCAAGACAAATAAACAAAATTCAAAGAAATGCCAAACAATCTCGCCGTGAAACGAAAAAACAAACACCTCACTCATTGTGCAATTCGGTGTATTTGATTTAATTTGCAATTCTCATTTGTATGCAAGCGCAGGCACGGAAACATTTTGAATTTATGCAGCGAAGGAAAAGTGAACGATCGATGGAGAAATAATTCGTGGGCCACTTTGGATTTTGAAATCCATGGCGATCGGCCAAAACGGAGAAAGAAAAACGTGCGAAGAAGAACCGTTCAACGGATGCAACATTGATTCTTTACATCATTTTGTAATTGAATAAATTCGAACAACGACGACTATCGATCGAAACATAAAACTCACTAGTTAGTCATGGATGGTTGACGTCAAATGTGTGATGATTAAATCTCTTTTTATTTTCAATGAATTCGAAAGTTTATTTATTTTGTTTGTGATTTTCCAAATGATCTTGAATTTCAAATGGCAAATTTTCACTTACCAGACAGCTGTATACCAAGTATTCCTTCATTTCGATTTGCACTTTCTTTTGTGACAAGAAATGGAGATAGAGAGAAAAAAAACCCAACAAATTCCTTCAACACTTAATCAAATTTTTTTAATCACTTTCTTGTTCGCAGCTCCTCCGTTGCTAGTTATTTGCAATGCTCACGATGGATATCGACTGATCAGATTCATGTTCTTCGAGTTCCTTATAAACGCGAACCCCACCAATTTATGCTTGGTTCGAGTGTGTACGCATTTCGACGACGGCTTCGCGTACATTGCTTGAATTTTCTAAATCAGTAGCTTGACGCAGTTTAAATACCGCCTTTCGAATGAACGACACACATACACACACGTTGTTGCTTCTTAGCCACGAGATCATTCTAAATACGGCAAGAAGCTTGAAGATTTCCAATAAGTCAATTCCAATATGTTCATTTTGCCGCTCAGCTGTAAACTCAACCACCTCAAATGGCAGCTCTTCCTTACGAAATATCCACTGATTTTGAGAAAAACAAAAATTTAATGAATTGGAAGTACACCGTTTTTAATTGCAGCTTGAAATTAATTAAAACTGGCTTCAGCAAATTGACTTAATGAATGGGTGAAAATGAGATAAATGAAAATTGATTAGAAAGCAGGATGACAATTACCATGAATGATTATCCCTGTGACAACATTCGATTTCTGATTTTTACTCACGTTTTTCTACGAATGAAGGGTTTTTGAGCAAATCAATTGACATAGACAATGCGCATATTTATCAACTTCAATTTATTATCACAATAAAATCTATATAAATAGTAGAGACAGAGAAAAAAGCACTTGATGCGTAAAAATAGAATTACTTTTTTTCTGGCTAAAAAACATAAATGTCACCATACCATCAAATGTACGAGAAATGCTTGAGCTATAATTGAATATACTTATTTGCTATGAAATACAATTAAAAACCTAAAAAACACGTTACAATTTACAGAAATGGAAGTGCATTTAAACGAAACTTTTCATCGAATTTAAAACACAATTCATACTAATCATTTTGTAAACGAGCACTTTTTTCTTACAGTGTTTCAGGAACCATTTTTCGTTTTCTTGAAGAAATTTTCTTTTCTATTACACATCTAAACGGCAAATGCATTGAATCATTTGATTTCTTTGTTCTGTATTTGTATTCTACCGGAAATTAACAAGAAAAAAATACTCATAGAATTCGACTTACTTTGTACTGCGATTATGTAAAATTTAGCTTGAATTGTCATAACCAAGTGGTTGTCGTTCCTGATAGCAGAAAGAAAGAGAGTGTTATTGAAATTTTGGTACAGTTACCAATGAATGAGCATCACAACATAAAACAAAATGCACAGAATTCATGAGCAACTATTTTCTTTTTGGACACATTTTCGTAATGATGAACGCCAAAATCACACTATCGATGACCATAAACCTACGATGAGAGTTGAGTGGATTTAATTTTTTTTTGTTCTAAAAATTTACGTGAGAATGGCATCATGTAGTGTGTTCGCATGCAGTTAACGATGGACCGACGGACGATGCTGAGAGAAGAAGACAGATTTTGTGGCCATTTGACTTCCATGTTGTTTGCGCACTGATGAACGAGTAACAAATGGGTTCGCATGAATGATGTGAACATAGAAACATTTAGTTAATGGACGTTTCAGAAATCGATGTTGAAGTGAGCGCACACATAATGAAATTGCTTTATTTGCCTAGTTGTGGTTGACTTTGTTTTCGTGGCCGTCGTTCAGCTGCCAAAATGATCGCCGTTCGATCATCGATAACGAACAATACCAAAGCACCAACCAACCCACACAGTCCCAACAGTAACGGTGGCAAATAGTTTTCAATGTATTTCTGGAAAGTTATGAAGAAATTAAGTGAAGGTAATTCTTTTTTTCAATCAAATGTAGAAACAAACTGTAGGCAACAAATTTGGAAATTGATTTTTCTCTGAAAACACTCACCAATTGCCAAATGTATGGAACGGAAATGAGAGCAAATCCAGCTGAAAAATTGGTCATGCCCATTGCACGTGTTCGAAGTGTTGGCGGGTATTGGAATGAAGTGAATGCTGGTATTGCTGGTGAGATGAAAGACAGATGATAATTTAGTTAGTCGATAAAAAAAAGATGACCATCCATTTGATGAATAAATATAAATAATTGACCTTACCTGCGTTGGCAACCCCAGTCGTGCTCTTCCCTAAATGGGTGAAACAGTTATGAATGATAAGATATTTGCTTTGTAAAAAATATGCGCCTAAATATTGAAGCTTAATTCAACATCTCGAGCCAACAAACCTCAGAGAAAAAATAATCAAGTTTTCACTAACTGAAAAGACACAAATACTAACCCAGCATAGCCAAAAATACGACCAAAGTCCATTCAGCGTTTGGAAAAATGGCAATATACATCAAACAAATGCCAGCAATCAAAATATTATAAAAAATATTCTTTTGAATTCCATACTTGGTCACTGTGAATATCGAAATAAGAATGGCAATGCTCTCGAATAAACCAGCACAAATCTGAAACGAACAAAAACATTGCAACGTTATGTAGCTTTTAGGTTTTGCTTTTGAAAGGCTTTACTCAAAAAGCTTCAAGCTTTTAATGCTGCACGAACGGCTTTGTAAAAATTGAAAAGGCTTTTCAGACATTCAAACTACAACAAATGTTGAATTGTGAAACGGATTAGAGCCAATGTTACGAAGGTAATAATCTTACCGTTGTTTTGTAAATATCGCTCCCCATTTCACCAATATGGAGCTTCAATGAGGATACCATGTGAATATTAAACAAATAGAAATTAATAAATTGACATCCCCAATTCGATTAGATAAAGCAGTTAATATACCGTGATTGCCATATATTGTAGAACAAGTGTATACCATGCAACCATTAGAAGCAACGTTGTTCGAAGATATTCCATTTTGAATAAGTCCAAGAATGATCCGCTTGACTCTTCTTCGGGAGGAACGATTAGAAGCTTTTCATAGTTTGGTGGCAGAGTTTTTTTATTCCAACGGGCTGCCGTTTCTATGATTTTCTTCAATTCTTCAACTCGACCTTTAGCCAATAACCATCGCGGGCTCTCCGGTATAACGTGCCTATGAAAAATTCATCAATTGAAATGACGATTTTCTATCACGTTCGACAATGAAAGTATTTTTGTCACACAGTTTTTTATCAGTTTGAACAATTACCAAAAGAGCAGAAGCGCGAACCAAGGTGTTGAGACGATAAATTGCAAATGCCGCCAATTTCGTGTCACATAAGCAATGCCGGCTATAATGATGTATGCAATCGGCAATGGCAATAGATCTAATGTTCCAATGATCGATGACCATTTTCCAGTGACCATCTCGACGGTCAACACAAACGATATGTTTACGATTGACATTGACACAAAGCCCAGAGCGAATCGAAGTATCATATACGGCATCAATGTTTTGACAATACCAAGTGTTGTACCTGAAAAATCAATACCGTTTAGTTTAATCATATGTTACACTGTCAGAGTTAATTGTGAACTTCATAATAATGTGAAGTTGTACTGTAAAATTTATGAAAATATGACATTCACAGTTGTCCGTTAAAATATTTGAACTTCACGATTAATTCTAATAGTGTAAAGTGTGATAAAACTAACGTGGCTAATGAACGGTATTTCAAGCAGAAAGTAGTGCATTTAAAATCATTGTGGATTGGGGTTTAAAACATACGTTCATGACCATTTCAAGACAATCTATATCATTACAGAGAACATTTTTTTATTTTTATTATTATTTTATTATTTATTAAACGCCGCCAAGCTCTGGCTGAATATAACGTGGGTTTTGATTAAGGTTTGGCCGGAAAAGAGTGCAAGACTGTTACATCTATTTAAAATAATAAACAATTAATAGCAATAACTTTCGATAACTTTCAGTTCTCGCCTCGTCTAACCAGGTTTTCAGCTCTTTTCATTAATTATGCGGTAATCACAATAGTAGGAACATGAAAACGAAAACAGTCATACAACCAAGATGCAAACGGTCCAAGATAACATTTGGTAAACGTTTCCAAAGGAACAAAGGCTATGTGAAGCGTTATAATTACACGTTTAATTTGAGACCATAGAACAGCAAAAGTCGTCACTCAATTTATACCGGTAGATAAATTGACGAGAAGTTTTACGTCGGTTAAGGCAGATCCATGTTGATTGCAGAGTGCCTTGAGTTGACATGGACTATGATTTGAAACGTAAACCAGAGCATTTGATGCTAAATGGTAAATAATTAAAAATTAATTTCACAGATAGGAATATTAACTCGCCAACTCAGTGGATGGCTACAACACAGAACAAAATCCAAATTTACAAAAAATAGGTGTAAACATCACAGATAGGTATCATCATTTCAATACATATAGAAGGAATGTATGGAGAACGATTCGTCAGTCTTTTTGTATTGGATTGTGATTTGTGTGAGATGAGTTGAATACCGCGTGGGTGGTTGGAATTTGGGGTCAGAATATGGCACACGGGCATTATGAATGCTGAAAAGGCAAAGAAGTAACGTATTCTGCGCAATCTGCTCGAAAATCTATTAGAATATTCTTTAAATGAATGGGCAAGCGGAATAATGAAACGTAATTCTGTTTTTAAATAAAGTGCCTCTGAGAAAAATTTTCAGTAAAAAAGCCCCACAAAAATATTGTCTGAATAAGATTTTCATACAAATTTTTATCAGACAATATTTTTGTGGGGCTTTTTTACTGAAAAATTTTCTCAGAGGCACTTCATTTGAAAACAGAATTACGTTTCATTATTCCGCTTGCCCATTCAAATAATCACGAATCGTGAAGGCCATGATGAAGAAAGTGGTGAATTCACCTTTTGATTCTATGAAAGATTCTTTGAAATGTAAACATCGTACATTTGCAGCATCCAAAATATAAGCTGTGTGGAACGATTCAATAAATCATTCATTGGCCGAACATTTTTCCTTTCAGAACTGTTCTTATTTAGTCAAGGTCCAAATCGTGATGCGGCCGCCCGCTTGAGCGGTATGCTTAATGCGTGAGCAATTGGCCAAACGTGTGTTATTACGTAATTAGCGCAAATTATGGCTAATAAAGAAACCGGTTTCAATTTCAGTGTCAATAGAAGCAGTTCACCGGTTTATCGCTCGAACGCACTTCTACGGAAAGTATCAACGTGACTTACCGATTATGGCTTGCAATGCAACGACGATCATAAGCGTGTGTCGTCGGCCGTATTCATCGGATAATGTTCCCGAACTTAGGCTTCCAATGGCCGCGCCAGCCAAGAAGCACAGTTCGATCACGTTCAACAGTGTGGCATCTTCGCACACCACATTCCATTCGGACTGGATTGTTGTGTCGCTGATTTCCGAATCAAAAATAAATTCCGTGCATTTTTCCACTTTATAATCATCGTCTTGATTCGATTTCAGTCCATTTTGAAGTCTATCCGTTAGATTCTTGGCAATTGTACAGGCACCTTGTGGCTGTGATATTCTTTGCCAATCGGACACCGATAGGTTCATTGTCGGTTGCAACTCAGCTGGAACTGCACACCAGAAATCACGTTCCACCGCCTATTCATAAAAACAAACAAACAATCGAGTTAATTTTATTCATATCTCGCTTATAAATAGAATCATGTAATAATAGTGGTTGGAATCGTGTTGATGGGTTTGTAAACCGCGTCAATTACAATTTCAATCACTTTTCATCAAATTAATTTTTCTCGTCCCAGCAACTCATAATGTTTAATGAATTATTCATACGCGTATTAAGCGTGCAGCGTTTGGTGTTTTCGATCTCCAGTGGATGCAATTTAACGATGGATTGCATAAAATGAGTGTGAGCTTATGAAATCGCGCGGTTGCGTGCAAATGCAACGATGATCTGGATTGATGCATATATTGAAGACGTTCAGCGAAAATTTCAACGTGAAATATGATGTAAGAGATTCGCGGGTTACATCGATCAAAATGCGAATAAATCATTTTGACTCGATTCGCGTTCCGGAAAGCGTTTTTCTTGCATAATAATTTTATTGAAATTTCCGAAAATTCTCAATAGTGCATTGGCATTCCATAACGCAATGTTTCTAGGAAGTGCATCAAACAAGCCTATGATTTATCGCTTCCCCATGAACGTTCGATAGAGAGGTTCAATCCAAAGCGTATTTAATGAGCATTTCGCTCAAATGCAGTCTCGATATTGATCAATTTTATACAAAATAATGATATAATGATGAAAATTATAGTTTATTTTCTGTCCACCTATTAATCAACGTCACAACGAATAATAATTCATTATTCACAAACGACAATTGGCTACTTCCACCAGCTCCTTTACTCTCGATACACGGCTCACCGACAAATCAATGTGTGTTGTGCTCGTACTGCTTCGGCTGTTGCAAAAAATGTTTTTGATGTAAATAGCCCAAACTGATACGTAGTGATCCGATATGTTATTGCGTGGGTCGTGCATAGCATGTTAAATTCTCTCTTCGGCTGAAAATTCGTTCGTGCTCATGAATTCACGCGATTTATTTCAATAAGATAGAATGAGAGAGAAAACAACACAGGCAAACACACGTGATTAGGCAACAAATGGATAGCAGCCAGCCCATTCTAAAGCAATAGTCATAAAAAATGACAAAAATATCAACGGAACGCGCCAATACTTGTCAGCTGTGCACAGTTGAATCTCGTTATCTTTTCATTCTTTCTTTCTCTCTCTCTCTCTATATCGCTATCTCTCTCTCTCCCACCCTCTATTCTTCCTTTTTAAATCTCGTGTGTTCGACGTTTTTCCTCTCTATCTATGTAACATTTCAAATTTTACGCTAAATACAACTAATTACAATACCAAATCAAATATTTTATTTCAATTGGATTTGTCATTCGTGATTGAAATTACACTTTCAGTTGCATAGTAAGAAAAAAAAATGAAATAGAGATAATGACAAATAATCGACATATTGACAATAATGATTGCGCTTGAAATGCGTGTGACGGATGGATGCAATCAATGTTCGAATTGTGTTTGGCACACTTTTGATTTTATGTCAAATGAAAAATGTGTTCAATTTTGCATTTTATTGCCTAAATATGAAAAAGAAAAAATTGAATAGCTCAGTGTAAATGGCGATGATGGTTAAGGCACCGCCGTGTGCGATAAATTCGTTGACATTGTGATCGGTCAACGAGTGTAATCTTGAGTAATTAATATTGTTTTTTTTTTATTATTTCAGCTTCTCATGTCTTTATCGCATTATATAAATCAGATCGATTGCAGCCGCGCAACTCAATTAATATTTTTTTACAAGTTTTTTCCGTTTACGAACTCGACTAGACACACAGCGAAACTTGTATTTTGTGTCTCGAACGACATGAATGATTCGAATCTAAACTCGCAGATTTATTATAAAGGAAAAAAATCAAATCGAAATAAAAACTGAAAATACGTTATTCATCTTAACACTTCTCTTTCATTCGGAATCTAATTTACATTCCATCGCGACACGCTACAAAAGTCTTGCAGTTGTTTTTGTTTCACTTCTTGTCTACAGCTTCGATGGAAGTTGTTTTCTTCTTGAGTGCGTCAACTGATGTTTAGTTGCCGCAATCATTGATTTGGATTCTTATACAGTCGTATTGTTTGCTCTTTTTTCTTTCGTCTGGTTCTTCCGGTAACGGGAAATAACCACAAATATCAAATAAAGGGTATAACCACAAATATCAAATAAAGTTAATATACGGCTGGAACAATAATCATCGAAATGTAAACAAAATCTTTTCCGGTGCACCGTTTCGATGCTGTCCCCAACAGCAGACAGGTGACAAGCTTAGTTGATAAACATAACTTGTTTTGGACCATTAAAAATAGAAATAAATCACACATACCACGATCGGCTATTCTATAAAAACTCGGAGCAGTCTTTTTTACTGTTCTTTGGCGCATTTTCGACGCAAAAATAACCAGAAACCGGCAAGTAAACTATACTATGTACATTAATTTGACGTTATCATCATTATAAAGATTTTGAAGCATCATTTCACTGCATAAAAAGCCATTTAAAATGAGCCAATTAAATTATTTGATGGCTAACCAAAAATTCCCCACGAGTCTAATATCTAAATCTAGTGTTAGATTTGATTTGCATTTCAAAAAGAGAGAAAAATCCCGTCCGTCATCGCTTGATTCGTCGATCAATAGTGAGTGAATGTTTTAAGTTTGATGACGTCTCTTGGTGAAATTTGATCGACGTTATCGATCTCGTTTCAGTACGTATTACGTCCGATGCAATGATTTGAAATGTAAACAAACCATCAAATCAATAAGAACGTATTTCGATGACGCTGTTAAATTGCCGTCATTTTATGTGTACATTTATCAGAAAAGTGATGTCGTGCCTAATTGAAAATGATTAGTTGTTTGCAATGATGATGATAGGTTCAATTTCAAACTATAATACCGCTTCGAGTGGACGAGCAAATTTGACCAGCTCGATTTTTATGTGGTTTCATTGACAAAAAAGCACACACATGGTTTGAGTTATTCATCATTCGAATTGGAGTAAACAAAAGTTTCAGTTCATTTAGTTATTTGGGTTGATTGGTGAGCACGATGCGTTATCTTGTCTTTAGCCTTGTCGAATAATCTCTTGACATGCCCCAAACATGATGTGCACACAATCAACGTAATTCATATTGTATTTGAAACTCATCCACCACATCTAAATGTCCATTTGCGAATGTTTACTCGTTTGCTCCCATTATTAGTTCTCTGCATAAATGCTCTGCGTTGTATTTTTTGCTTATCAATTTAGCATTTATATTATGTCTATCATTCAATTTGAACTGTTCAATTATTTCGGAAGTGTTTTTGGCAGATCCGTAAACAGTCACAGGTGCAAAAAATGTAATCAAAAATGAATTTGTACCCACACATCACACCTGACATCAAAACAAGGCCGTTTTTTTACGAATGGCTGGAGGTTGCAAAATTGTATATTCATTATTCATCAATCATTGCATTGGAAGAACAATGGTCTGGTTTTGAATAAGGGAAACAAAAATCATCGGTGCCATTGCATACGCTTGATTCATGCGACCAAATGGGTCACTGTGTTTTTATGAGAGGTATAATAAGAGACTAACAGAAATGGTCTTCACGAATTTAAATTCTGGATTCGTCTAATAAGAGATGGTTACCGTAGTGCGCGCATTGATGCATATGTATCATGATTTTCTATCCGAATATCGTCGAAACGTACGATACCAAGCAGCCACAATCACATGCTTGGCTTGACAAAACCATAGTGCTGAACATGTGGAAAAGGAAGCGAATCAAATTGATGCTTGACAGTGATTCGGTTAAATTGAATTAAATACATTAGAAAAGTAACAGAAAACGTTGCCGATCCATGGATGAGAGATGTTGACTGCTTAACGTCAACCACTAAATTATTATTAATGATTTGTGTGCTTCACACCCAAGTGCATATCCAATCGGTCTCAAGAGCCCATATATACACTGTATGCGTTACGAATTCATCGACAATTCTATCGCCACGAATTGACAAATTACCTTCAAATCTGAACGAAAAAAAAAATGTTTTTGAAATTTGGAAAATCTTTTTCAATCAAATGGAAACTTACCAACACAGAACGCTAAAAATATACGCATTGCATTCGTTCGTAGAAAAACATTACGGTAAATGAAGTGTGGACATTTGGTTTTTCGCATTTAAAATTCTTGCGATACCTTTAATTGGTATTTCTGTATGCAATGCGAAGCAGCTAAACCACACAATGTACAGAAAAAACGGAGCAGAAAATAAACACATTGGTCATACATTGGATAGAAGCCGTTTTGAAATTGCTACAAATTCGTATCATTAAATCGATCCCATGTCATGAATTACACTGAATCTTTTTAATTTGAAATTGAAACTAGCCCAGGAATATAGACAAAAAAAAGCTCAGTTCTTTACAAGAGGCACAGAAAAACAATAATGATTCTAATGAGAAAAATGTTGAAATGAAGGGAAATACTTAATTTTTTTTCGCTGCATATCTCACGTTCTTCATTATTTCAAACGTTGTATTCGAAAATAGGTTCGATTCGGTGAGTTCAACACACGCTAAGTTATGATGTAAACATTTACACATGCAACACTTTAAATGCTTGGATTTTGGATTTTAATTGCTGGCGAAAAAGTGTTGCTTTGTTTTCGGTGTTATTAGGAAATTTTTACCTCGCGATAATGAATGGGAACTGCCACCAATTTGAAGTCATTTTTTTTCGGTATTTCACTTGTGCTACTCACGCAAACGATATGATATTTCTCATTTCATTACGCACTCTATCTTTCACCCTTTCGCGACAAACTGTTCGTCGAAATGTAATTAACATGCGTGTGTAGAATGTCTGGAAAATTTCCATTTCCCATACAGAGTGCACACAATTGGCCGATGGAAAAGAATTCGTTTTATCAATTACGTAATATTTGGCTAATTTGGTTTTTGTTGCGGTTCTATGAAGGTTTTTCTCGTATGCGAACGAGAAAAAAACCCACCGGTATGCACAAACCAATCTCAACAGAGCATGACGTTTGCTTAGCACGTGAGGTGAATGGTTAAAAACCGACAACAACAAAACAAAACAATCTTTTTTGTCAACAAAAACAAAAGCCAAACGAATGCTGCTGTGAGTGCCAATGGGAAATGAACGCATTAAAAACATATTAAATCAAAACGACCAACCGTACGCTGAACAATCGATCTGGTTTTTGAATTTTGGACATTCCATGTACATGGTGTGCAATTTTGCCAAACGGATTTGTTATTCTCTACTGATTTATGGTTGTTGTTGTTTTTTTTTCAATGAACAGACACACTGATTGTGTTATCAATTTTATAGGTTTTTAATCACTTGTAAATTTATCACTCAATAAGTACGTGAGCTAATTTTTTTTTTGCTCGTGTTTATTGATTTCGCTGGTGAGTGCTAATCAATGAAAATGGCTCATAGGACAGATGTGATTCAAAGTTTTCAACTGTAATATTTGCGCACATTTTGCGTTAACGCCGCCACAAAAACGTTGAATGAAAGAAAAACAAAACGGAATTTTTTAATGAGATCATCATTCTACACTGACATTTCGGTTCAAAGTGCGTCCCGATTGAGGAACAATGAAAAAGTTTGATCTTAAATATTGACCCTGCTCCAATTTCTTGGCTCTCATTCTTTGCACGAAGTGTTTACAAAAAACAACAGAAGGTACTTAGATACGGAGTTTTGGTAACGCAGCCGTACACGCGCACAACATTTACCTGGAACATAAACGAAAAGATGTGAAATGCGGACGGCACTTGAAACATTATGAGGAATATCACCCATACAACTTGCCACAAACCGATGTGACCGATCAGCTCCGATATACAATCGCCCGTATCATCCAAACTAGGTGGATCATTGTGTCGCATTTCACTTTTATCGGCGTCAATTTGGTTTTTTGTGCGTTTCGATTGAGACGTGGCACTGTCAATCACACAAGCCGCGTTTAACGATTTTTCATCACATTTATTCGACAAACCACTGGTGACACACGCACTATTTTTACTCTCCACTAAATTCTCACGCAAATTGAACACATTCCGCCAAAAGCTTTTTTTCGACGTTTCTTTGCCCAAATCGATATCGCCGTCCGATATATCAATTTTGGAACTTTTCAATGGTTCGGGCGTTGATGCTGCCAACAGTACATTTTGTCGTAGATTCGCACCCGACGCAACCAAACCATCACTATTTTTCAGCTCTGAAGTCATTTCGAAATGGTTGTACAAACGGTTGTACAAACGGTTGGTACCAGAAAAATGAACGGAATATTGAATTTTAATTTCAAATTACGGAAATATTTCATTCGAATTGTTTCACGCACGCATATTGTTTTTGAAATAAGGTCGTTTTATTTTTCAAAATGTTATTCCAACTTTGGTGCACTAATAAAATTGATTCAGGGGTATAAACTTTGAAACGAGTCGTAGTTTTACACGAAAAGAAAACCACGATCTATCCGCATCGAAGCACAATGATCAACTGAAAATTGTTTTAACGGGAAAAGTGTATTTATTCGAGCTTGCTTCGATCCCCATGTGTATTTTGCTGTAACAGAAGCACTTGTGACTCACGACGTTATTTTTTTACGCTCTCGCAGAACTTCGATTTGCATGTGAATACAAAGCAAATACAAGAGAAACGTCGGTGGCGGCGACAGCGTCATCAGAAATGACGATGACGACGAACTGTGAACCGGGCGAAGAGAACAGCACCGACTATCAACCATACTCACACACAGTGCCGAGTCGTTCCGACAAACAACGACGATCGCTTTGTTGATGCGAATGATCGAAAGCAAACATCTATTTCATACACACACAATGAGCAATCCTGTATAAGGATCTACTATCAAGCTTATACTGACTGTATAAACATTGCAATCGCAAGGTATGGCGTCGATGAGTGAGAAGAAGCGAACGATCGTTATGACGCTTTTCTTACCTCAGTATGCGAATAGTGTAATTTGTTCGATGCAAATTAATGGACCGTATCAAATGCGCGAGTTTTCTATTATTATTTCATAAGTAGTTATTAGGCGCATACCTTTGTGTTGAGCGTTAAATTGGTATTGAAATGATGTCAACGTTACGTAGTTGCATACGTTTTCAAATCAAGCAATTATTGACCGATTTATATACGGGTGAAGAAGGACACACAAGTAAATTTTCGTGTTAAACACATGGGGCGGGGCGTAATTTTATCAACGGAAAAAAAAATCTGTTTTCGAAATATGCAAATTATACCAAAAATATTATACCGTTTGGTTTATATGACATGAGGTACGTGCTACTTCCTTTAAATTTTCTCAATTGAGGTCAACGCCGGGTTTTTCTTAAAAAATCTGCCTTTGATTCTTATTTCAGATAGACATCGTTGTTTCTCGTTTGAAATCGATTAAATCATTTAAACAAAATGTGTTTGTTTTCAAGTTTCATTGTTCGCGCAAATATTGTGAGGTTCGGATGTGTTTGTTATGATTGATGTCGATTCAAACACTTTTCAGCACATCAATAACAGTTGTGATCGCGCCACATTTTTTTTGGGGTAATATTTTGCTGATTTCAATGAATATTCACGGCAATAATACCGAACGGTTCAAAGGTTGTCAAGTTTCGTTGATTACTGTAGCATCATAACAAGCGAGCAGCTGTTATTTTCTTCTCGGCAAACGTGATGATAGTGAAAGTGATTAATTATTTACGTGAAAAATTCTTTTCGTTGAAATCATAAAATTTCACTTTGTTCTATTTTCGGAGGGAATATTCGTCACACGTACAACGGACTAATTTTAGTGATTCCTCCTAAAATGCGCGAAATAAAAGTCACTTTGGAACCAACCAGACAGTTTTAAATGTTATTTATTTATTTATTTATTACGAAGCTTGTATACATTTATGCCAATATGTGTTCATAACAAGCTGAGAACATGCTGGTCAGAGAACCAATGCGGCATAAATTCCGCAATTGGTTCGTCTTTTGCAAAGAGAATACAGTCAGAGGTGGTATGATATAAAAGTGAAACTTTCATAACAGAATTGGGTCCGAAAAACCATGGCAAAACTGGCCTGATTCCGGAGAACAAGGGGAAATACAATGATGAGTTTTTGCAATTGAAGTACGTTAACATCAATGAGAAAAATCAAATTAAAATAACAAACTAAATCTAGGTTCTAACTAATTGGATAAGAAATTTCATAACAATGCTCCGAGAAATCGCGGTTTGAAAGATGTCGAATTATTAACTGCACAGAACGTAACAGATGCTTTAGATTATTTTTAAACGCGACTAGAAATATGTTGATTATTCAATCGAAAGTGACATTCTTTTGAAAACGGCCAACGGATAAAAGTTGCGTGTGGCGGTATACTTATTTCCAGTGGCAGTTAAAAAATTGTTTGTCGCAATTTTGCGGTTTGTGCCCGGCAATGTCTGGTATATGATTTAACGATTTTCTAAATCCGTTTTGCATAACATTTCGGCTGTGCACCTGTTTTTTTCCCCATATCATACATCATTTCCTAGATAGTTGTATTTTGTCGTTTGAAACGTGGATCTTGTTAAGGCATAGAATGGGCGCTTGAAGAGTCATTGTAGTTACATAAATGTTTCACATTAATGTCTTTCGTTTAAACACATGCAAATTAGCGGTGGCACATGTGCGCAACAATAACGTGCTCGGTGTACGTAAAGCATTAATCATATTTTAGTGATTTAGTCAAAATGCTTTTGTGTCTCATGTCTAGTCACAGTGTATGAGAATTCGGGTGCAAATACTTCTTTGAGCCATACCGCATAGCTTTATTTTTATGATACCATTTTCTTGGAATCAGCAGTTGTGACTCCGAACTGTGGGTGGTATTTCCAGGTATTGTGTCGCATAGAATATGTGACAAGCAGGAAGAACATGATTTCCGTTGAACAGCAACGAAGGTGTTTTGCATTTGGATTGTAAAGCTGCCGGCATGTGACCTAACACATTAAACTAGTTTTTACACAAAGTTCAGTAGAATGCTCCAATAAAATTAAGTGATCCAACAATCTTAACAATTTTGTTTTGAAACAAAGGCCAAAGAAAGAGTGTTTGCTTTCAAACCTGGTCAAACCTATCAGCAATGATCCAACCATAAAAAGCGTTAACCTTTGCTCGAACTTGGATGTTGTTAGAAAAAGTCAATTAAAAGCGCGAAATGCACAGAATTATATCCATAAACATGATATGGAGCGGCTTTTCACAAGCGTGAGGTAAAAGTATGGACGGCTAAGTCGATCACCTTGACCGAAATTCTTGTACCGATGTCAACACAGAAAAAAGAAGCGAATTTTCCTAAATTTAGAACAAAAAAAAATATTTATTGCTGCTGATATTCTCAAGACAATATTACAAAATTCTATTCCGAGCAAATGTGCTCTGTATTCCATATGTGCGTTGGCATGTGTTTGCATTTGAAACGTGTCATCGATATCTCTCTCTGAGTGTAGAAAGAGAAACAGAAAAAGAATTGAGTTTATAATTTCATTGTTCGTTGTAGTGGCATGTTGTGTTGTTCAATGAAAATAGATAAATAGATACACTCAATTTGCAGGTTTTTTTTTCTCAAGCGAAAAGATTGCAAAGTATTCTGTGATGAAAAAAAGGCATTTGCCACCATGGGAGTTGAGAGTGAGTCAGTGAATATCACGATAAATGAAAATTAAAAGTGCTGATCGGCAATCGATGAAAATCGATGGATCGTGTAATTGCCTTGTTATCAAATCAATAGATTGGTGTACACACAGCGTTGACGTTCCTTCTTTCCACCTCTGTACTCCAATATCTGAGTGGAACGTGAAATGGTTTGCGTCGAATCACGCACATCAATCGAGAACAGGCCGTCAGCTAAATGAAAAGATTCAATTGATTTGGAAATCTCATTAATCGTTTCGCTATTGTTTGTAAATGAATCACACGATATTGCATCTTTTTGTGAGTGTGTTTTTTTTTGAACCTATTGACTTTATTCGTTTTTCCATTTTATTATTAATACATTAACATTCTTTCTATACATAATTTAATCTTTATTGTTGTTGTTTTTTCTCCTCTATGGAATTTTGCAATATCAAGCAGAATAATTTCAGTTTTCATTTGATTGTGTAGACATGTGTGTGTGTTTAAAATTAAGCAGTGCGCTTGAATGGTTCATTTTTCTTGATTTGCACTAAATATGTTGCATATTTTGTTGTTGTTGCTGTTGATATATTGTATTTTTGTTGTCACGACTTTGATGTTTGCGTTTGCCTACACATTAACTTGGCTACTTAAAGATAAAAGAGCTTAACGATTACAATTATTTAGTTAGATTTTAGTTTGTTTCGTATTGTTTTGTTGTGTTGTGTTTAAATGGATTTTCTTTTATTTGATTTCTATTGTTTTTGTTGTTGTTGTTGTATGGTGTTTTCGAGTCAAGTTTGCCCGCAATTGACTGTAAACTATAAAAAAATGCTTGTTTATTGATTAAGTGAGATATATTAGGTATATATACTGTTTATGTAACTTTTGAACGGTTTATTTGTGTATATCGGTAAACGTGAATTGGTGTATTTGAAAAAAATGCTAGCAATATTAGTTTTGATTGTTTTGCTGAAGAATATTTCTGCTTAAAATCCAAAGTCACGTTACTCAAATTCATGATCTTTGTTTTTTCTTCTTCTTCGCTGTTCTCGCATAAAGTATGCTTGACTTTATCATTTTTCACGCCTAAACATTAATATAATACATCTTCTGCGATATAAGAAATGGCAATACAATATGGATATATTCACTTAAGTACGAATTCAAATACACACATTCTCTTTTTGTCTGTGTTTGCTTTATATTTTTTTTCTCTTCTAAATATGTACTTACATTTTACGATAATGAATTTTTTTTGTTGTAAGTACCGTTACGTTGCGAGAAATGTTTCATCGATCTTACGTAAAATGAAAAATTCCAATTTTCGAACTTTAAACAAGTTCTAATCGGTCCGACAATGAAAAACTCGTACAACACTACTTAAAATAAGCCAAATATTACACAGATACATTAAATCGCTACAAATGTTTGAATTTTGGTTAAAAATCAAATGAAAACTTAACCGAAACGGTGAAACTTGATGGATTTTTGTGTGCCAATATCTAAGCTGTTTGTATTGATACACTCAGAAGTTCTTTTTTTTCCTTTATGGATACTTTCCAAAGTTCAGAACTAAAAAAATCTTTAGACCAACAATTCTGGCCATTGGTGAGCCACTCCAAATAAGCATGAAATCAGTTGCTATCGGTAAATATTTACTTTTCATTGATATTTCTTAATATTTGACATCTCTGTATAACTATAAAATGTTGATGTACCTATTGTTTTTGTTTTCTTTTTTTGTGTGTGTGTTTAGCTTATATGGCGAATCGTATGTTGTTGGCTTTAATATCAAATTATTTGGACCAGCCAAATAAGTGCTTCATTTAAATAACTATCTTGTAATATTCGTATGGCTATATGTATTTAACTCGTTCAATTCTATTTCTTTTGTTTATTAGTTTGATTGTTTCCTATAAAATGAATAATCTCATTGCTGCTTATTATGTTTGGCTGCGTTGTTCAAAAATTCCCTTGTACCATGTCTAGAGCACATAGACACACATCTAGAGTACCATGTCTAGAGTACTTTCTTTGAAAAAAGATGCTCCGTTGGAATGGAACAATTTGTGGCTTTCTGCATCTCTGCACTTTTGCACCAGCTTTGCGAAATGGTTACATCGACTCTTTGTGAGGGGATTTGTACAATTCAGATGCGGAACGAGTTTCAAACAAAAGTTCTTTTTTTTACATACTAACAGAATATATTCTACTAAAGTTGGCTTATTTTCACACTAGAATTTTGTATATTCCAAATCAATGTTTAGTTTTAAATGCATCTTTTGTTCATTTTTGTCTGATATGAATATGTGTCACAACAATTTCACGGTTTGATTCCCAAAGAAATTATTGTCAAATTCACAGAATCTTTGGATTTTTTTCTAGCACTACATGAAATATAGAGCCACTAGATGGTTTTACTCTTTGTAACATTCAGAACACATATAGTTTGATAACTTTTTCATCAACATCAACATCGACATCTACATTGGCCGACTAAAAATTCGCTAATGGATTACTCTACTAATACACCTTTTTAAATACCATTTCTTTATCCAAACGGTTTACTTTTGTTCCTCTATAGATAGACACCAATGTTTTTTTTTTGTTCAACATGATTAAACGATTTCCCATAGAATATCTAATTTTGAATCAACAATTGTATTTTATCATTTTCGTTCCCACTAAATATGTCATTAAACTATAGTTTTCTCGTCTTCATTTCAATTCGAAAACAATTTTTAATATTTTGTTCTCTCTTTGTTTGTCTGATCTCATCAAAGGTCAGTTTCAGAAGAAGAATGTAGTATTGTATGCATTCAAATGCATTACGACAAATATCAAGTAGTATGGAGTAGTCTATGTTTGGACAGATCTCTATGCAGAAAAAACGTAGGCGCTGTGAAATGGGAGATCATTTAAGAATATTAATAAAGTATTGTTAATTCATTTGTTACCATAAAAAAATAGCTTGGGAAAGAAAATCGAAATTTTGAATTTTCACACCCTTCTCCAATTTTAAATTGTTTAATTTTTCGTAGAGAATTGCAGTACTGTTGAGCTACAAATAAAAGTCAATTTACCGTTCTTCATGATGTTCGTCGCCACTATGTTGAGAGGCATTTGAAGTGCGTTTTGCAGCATCGTGTGGCATTGATTCGGGCAAGAAAATGACAACAAGACTTCCCAAAATGCTAGACGATGCCACCAGAGCCATCAAAAAGTATGACTGGATTTTATTCTGCAAGAAAATTTAAAGAATAAAATAAAATCGAACGTTTCATACCGCAATGTGTTAATATTAGACGAACCAAAAGTGATAAGTATGGAACAATAATCAAAGCCACTCCGGCAGCCACGTTGCATGCACCAACACCGGCATTCCGAATTGCTGTTGGATACAATTCTGCTGTATACACTGGCATTACAGTGTTTCCTGCACTAATTGTGAATTTTCCTATGGAACAAACAGAGAAAAACACATTCAAATGTATTTGAAACTATTTATAAAAGGCGATGTTTCAATCCAATTTTAAATGAAAGTCAGCATTATAAATCAATGTTGTTTGGAAATATGTAGAAAATGAATTGGTCTTGTGAAAAATACGAAGAAAAAATGTCTTGCTCACCCAACATCAAAAAAGTGATTTTCAGCCACTCGCTGCTTGGATGCTCCCCGAAGAATGTGATGATGCATGCAATGAAGCAAGCAATGCCAGCGCAGAACATCGTGGAAAATAGAATCCATTTTTTGCCCACGAACATGATGACAAAAATGGCAAGGGCAATTGCAGGTATTTCGACTAGACCAGCTAAAGCCTGAAATTGACAAAAAAGACAAAAAAAAGATTGTTCAATTGAAAATAACTAAATATTTCAACGTTCATTTATTGAGTGTTCACATTCTGAATAACAGGCGGCGCTGTACATAGTACGTGTGCCGTCAATGTGTCAAATCATCAGCTGTTCAAACTCTCTTCGAAATGGGTTTCATGTGTATATACGTATGTGTTTGTGGATTGTAATAGACAGACTGAGATCGAGAGAAAAAGCGGTCGTATAGAGTATATCTCTCGCGCTCAACACATAGCATCTATTCGAAGTGTCATTGGACAACGCGCGTTTTCTCTTCTCTTTTCTGTTCAGTATACGATTCTTTTTTTCTCTTGTAAATTCGGTACGTTCACTAAATTCGGTCCAAAATTAGATTGTGTTATTATCGAGATTTGTGTTCGAAATCAGTTCAAATCGAGCTGAATCAACAATTTGTGCCCACAGTGACATTAGTTTTCTTTTCTTTTTTTTTATCAAATTGTGGCATATTTTCACAACCATCGATATTTCAAAGTGTTCAATGGTGGACGTGTACCTCGTTCATGCAAATCAATTTATTCGTATCGTTTGATGTGTTGAAACAATTATTTTTTAGTTAAAATTCCAAATTTAGTGAACTGAAACCGATTTAAATCTAGTAAAAAAAAGTAAACAAGTAAGAAAATGTCGAGTTCATTGAGTGAATTACGTAATTTTCGATTGAATAAAGGCAGTGCAAGTACCAATGGAACTAGTTCATCAAGTAAATTGGCAACTGGCCGTAAGCGAATTCGTGCAATCAGCGACAGTTCGGACGATGAACATGCAAAGAAACAAACATCACCACAAAAACCCACACAGAATGGCACAACCGCTGCCCCATTGACGACTGAAGACAAAGTAGAACGTTTCCACATCTTTCGGGAAATTGTTGAGCAAAGCAAAGTGGATTCATTGATTTTGCAGGATTTTCTCGTTCGAAACGATTGGGACGTACAGAAAGCATATGATGCGCTGCAAGATGATCCCAAATACAAAAACTCCGGCACACATTCCACTCCAACCATCAAACAATCACCAAGTGTTTCAGCGAATCATTCATTAAATGCCTCCGTCGAGGTGGTACGAGAGCAAAGGCAAAAACAGAACAAGGTAAAACTAATTGTGTGTGGTCCGGGCTTGGGGAAGCCAATTATTATCATTTTTTGAAATGATAATTGGAAACTGAATATATTTTTGTATTTGCGTAGCCTAAGAAACGACGTGTACACGATAGCGATGGAGGCGGTAGTAGTGATGATTGTGGATATGGTGGATCGAATCGAGTGTATAACAGGTATTTTTTCGCCATTCAATTTTCTTTCTGTGCATTCATTCCATTTGTTTATATTTTATTTTTGCAAAAAAAAAAATAGCGACGAAGACAGTGACGACGACACATCATTCCTAATGACCAAAGATCGAAAGAGAGTTTTGGAATTCCTGAACACGGGCACAAATGGCGAACTGATGGCAGTGAAAAGTTTATCGGCCAAAAAGATTGAAGTGTTGTTACCATTGCGACCGTTCAATGATTGGACTGATTTACGGTTTAAAATCGATTCCAACAAATTTTTGTCGATGGACATGTTGAACGCTACGCAAGAGTACTTGAATCAGCGCAACAATATGGCCCGCATAATGAAAAAGTGCAAGAAATTGGTGCAAAAACTGGAAGATGCCGTTGCAAAGGGCGATAAAGTGGTCAAACAGCCGTCTCTTTTGAATCATGATTTAAAGTTGGCCGATTATCAATTGGTCGGTTTGAATTGGCTCGCAATTATCCATTCGCAGCGGATGAATGGCATTCTTGCCGACGAAATGGGATTGGGGAAGGTAATTGCTTGCATCAATCTTGAATTGATTCAATTTTTTTATACGACATTTCATTTTCCGCACAGACCATTCAGGTGATTGCATTTTTGGCGTATTTAAAAGAGACGAATCAATCGCATCGAACTCATTTAATCGTTGTACCCTCATCAACACTCGACAATTGGGACAATGAATTGTCCAAATGGTGTCCGGCTTTGATTGTTGAAAAATACTACGGAAGTGCGGCCGAACGTCGTTCGTTGCGTATTCAATGGTCCAAAGGCGGATTGGAAGGTGTTGATGTTTTGCTCACCACATACCATATGGTTGCGTCAACGCCAGAAGAACGGAAAATGTTCCGTGTGACCCGAATGCATTACGTCATCTTCGATGAAGCGCACATGCTGAAGAACATGACTACACAACGATACATTCAATTGGCTCAAATCAACGCCGAAAGCCGTTTATTGCTCACGGGTACACCATTGCAAAACAATCTGCTGGAATTAATGTCGTTGCTATGCTTCGTGATGCCTTCAATGTTTGCCAATAATACCGACGACATAAAAAACCTCTTCCAGAAAACGAAGCAAATCAAAGGCGAAGAGTTGACGGCATTTGAAAAGAATCAAATCGAACAAGCAAAACAGATTATGAAACCGTTTGTGTTGCGTCGATTAAAGGATGTGGTCTTGACCTGTTTGCCAGAGAAGAAATACAATACAATCAAGGTACCGTTGACAGAAACACAGAAGGAAAACTATCAGGAATTAGTGGAGTTGTATTCGAGTGACGATGGCATTGTGCAAGCAACGAATGAACAAAGTGGCATCTCAATCATGATGGATATGAGAAAGCTAGCAAATCACCCACTTCTTTTGCGTTATTATTACAGCGATGATACGGTGCATGAAATTGCCAAAATCCTATCGACACATCCAAATTACAAAAAGAATCGCAATCCTCAGTATGTTTTTGAAGAATTGGCTCCGCTCTCCGATTTTCAACTCTTTCAAACCATGCAAAACTATCAAATTACCGGTTATAAAATTCCCGATCGTTTGATTGTCGATTCGGGCAAGTTCCGTGAGCTCGACCGATTGCTGCCTGAACTCAAGGCGAGCGGACATCGTGTGCTGGTCTTTTCCCAATTTACGATGATGCTGGTAAGGAATTCGCTCACACATCTCCATCTTATTTTTCATTGGGATTTTTATCTCTTATTATCTTTCCAGGACATTTTGGAACGTTACTTGAACATTCGAAAGCACCAGTTCTTGCGATTCGATGGGCAAACGGCGGTGGTTGAGCGGCAAGCAATCATCGATGAATATATTGAAAACGAAGATATTTTTGTATTTTTACTATCAACGAAAGCGGGTGGTTTGGGAATCAATCTAATCGCTGCCGATACAGTGATCATACATGACATTGACTTCAATCCGTACAACGATAAACAGGCCGAGGATCGTTGCCATCGAATGGGGCAAACGAAACCAGTCACAATTTATCGATTCATCGCAGAGGGTACGATTGAAGAAGGCATGTCCATGGTGGCTAAAGAAAAGCTAAACTTGGAACGTGAAGTGACCGCCGATGAAGCGGACAGTGAAAATGGGGAATCGAATGAACAAGATCTCAAATGCATGGTGCGACTATTGACCATGGCTTTGGGCATGAAAGATGAAAATAAAGTGGAAAACATGATATCACCCATGAAGAAAAAGCCAAGCAGCTAATTTACCCAATCAAAACTCCATTCCCAACAACCATACATTTCAACACATTTTATGTTCATTCATTTTTGTTTGTCAATATTGTTTGCCCCAATTTCCAATTCACTTTATTACACCATTATTAACATATATAGACATTATAGCATAGACGTAATTTACAATTATTGTGATAAATGTTAGTTGGCTGGAGCGCTCCTTTAATTATTACAATAGCACGAATAATTTATACATTTTTATGTCAACAAACAAAATAGCACAGTGTTAATTAAGGTTTTTAAGGATAATTGTCACCAAATCACCAAAAAAGAAATATCAAAGGGATATTGCAACTTTTTTGACCAGAAAAAACGCCATCTTACGTCGTGCCCGTAAATTATTTTACTGTACATTTCGATGGTAGAGCTTGAACAAAAGTTCAACACTATGCATAAACTTGGAAAGAGCTTGATAAACTTGATGAAATACATATATTTTATGGTAGTTGCAATACCCCTATGAGAAATATACAAAACAGTGGGAAAAAAAACAAAAATACAAATATTCAAACGAATTCATTTGATGTTTGCAATTTTATTCTTTTCATTTGAAATGGAACATTAGTCGATGACATTTGGAATTACGTTCCTGAAATATGTAGTTCATTCGCGTTCTTATTACTGAGGAGTGGATGAGCCAATAGAGAAGATTTCTTTCAGCATCTCCGTGTGGGAACGTAGCGATAGAAATGTGTACATCTCCATAACAGTTTATTTCGAAACCTCTTATCGAGGTCCTCAACCCTAACTTGTTCATCGCCTCTGCACACTTATCTTTGATATATGGATTGGCATTTCGATCAATTAGTTACGTATGTTGGAATCAATGGAATCAAATTTAAAATGTTCCATAAAAAATTGGCGAGAATCCCAAGCAAATCTTTAATTAGATTGGGTGGCGCTACTCAGCGATTTGATTCGTGACGACAGATTAAACAAGCCAATAAACAATTTCACCGAATCTCAAATGACGATGATGATTTCATTTTTCTTTTTTAAATCGTTGCTGTGAAAACATTCAACATTGTCGTTATTCATAACAATATAACATGGCCGACAACAGCTCTAATCCGTGGATGTTGTAAAACCGACATAAAAGAGAGATTGAAGTCAGGCGACGAGGCAAAAGGGTCAATTATCAAATGAGAAAAATCGTCTTTTTTCTGAGGCGTGAGAGGGAAGGGAACAGCAGTACGTTTGCCAACTGTTTAAACCAATTTGTAAGTCGGACATTTTATTTCCATTTGACATAGCTCAGACTATTGACTTCGTTGCTCCGGTCAAGTTTTTATATGCATGCATACGCATGAAACGATTATTTACACACCGAAAAAAAAACATACAACAAAAAATATTTTGCTGTTTGTGCGAGCGACAATATTGGCAACGAGCCATGTGACATCGAAGCACGTCAACCGAATACAACCGAGAATAAATGTTATTTTGAATAAAAACATTTTTTTCGGGCAGTACCAACAAAAAATGACGACTTTAACGACAATAACGAAATGCATATCATTGAGAGTGAATTTCAAACATTTATTCCGAAAAATTTATGCATTCATTTTTGAATACGTTTTGAAACGTATGATTCACTTCTACTATACGTTTCTTTCATTTTTGGAATTGAGCACTTACCGAATTCAAATAAACATTTCCACCGAACGAATTCATGTTGAGAATGAGACCGTAGTACACCAGATTCATGGTGAACCAAATGCATGGAAAGCAAATGGTGATCAAACGTAAGTACGAATTACCAAACAAGGAAATGCATCCGTCATCCGTTTCACTATTGGATGGGGGCGGTTTCAACAGTTTCTCCACATTTGGTGGACATTCACGTTTATTGACCTCACATACTTTTCGAATGATTGTTGCCACTTCGGCGGTACGACCTTTGCATAGCAGCCACCTCGGCGACTCGGGAATCACAAACCTAAGTAAATGCAAAAGAACAAAGAAACAAGAATGGAAAAGGGAACGAAAATAAATCGTAAAAATTCCGCAAATTATTGTAAGAACTCTTACGTATTTAATTCAAATGAACTTACCATAAGAAGCAGAGAAAAATGCCCGGAATAGCGATGCACAGTTGTAGAAGTCGATAATCTTGAGTAAGATAAGCTATGCCAGAGATAAGCATATAAGAGACTGGTAGTGGAAACAGATTGTACATTCCAGCAATGGTTCGCCATTTCCCATCAACAAATTCAATGGCCAATATTAGTCCAGCATACGTAACCGACACCGATACCAATCCAAGTAATCCACGTAACGCTAAATGCACCCGAAACGACAACGGAATGTAAAGCACAAATCCTAGAAAAATAAACGGGCAAATAAATCAGAATTAAATAGAAGAATTTAAAAATCAAGATGTAATTACTATTTACCGAGGGGCGAATCACTCGAGATTTTTACACGTAAATTACTTTCTCGATTATTTTCTCTATTACAAATTACTTTAGAGTGATTTGCCCCTCGCTATTTAAATCTTAGTTTAATGATCGCTAAATGGTAGGCACTTACCAAAAATCGTTTGGAAAATCACTGACCAAAAAAGCATGGTTCGTCTGCCGAATCGATCAGATAAGTAACCTAGAGATGTATTTATTGAATTAATATAATCAATTCAAATTATGCGACCTATATCTCTCCCTACCTGATATGATGCCACCAGTTGCAACACCAACCAGAAAAAACATTTCGGCCACATTTTTCAAATATTCGCTATCACACACCAAATTCCACTCGGACGTCCAAGTGTTGCCCAAATTGTCCGCCATATCGAATTCCCATTCAGTGCATTTAATGCGATCCGTTGTATTTTGAACCAGCGCTTCCTTTCATAAATCGAATTCACAAAGCATGTTTCAGAATTGTTGTTGAACAAATAAAGCAACGAGTGTGAATGGTTTTTTTTAATTTAACAGCCCAAAACGGCGAAGTTTTAACAGTTAAAAGCAGAAAAAAAATAACTAGCGAATAAAAATTCAATTGACATTACCAACATATGCGTATTTGAAACGTGGTTCCAGTTGTGATTAGTTGTGTGGCAGTTATCTTGCGATTGGCTGATATTTCGCCATACATCATGATCGATGTGACTCAAATCAGCTGGCCGCTTGCACCAAAATCGTTTATCGGCTGCCTTCAAACGGAAAGAAAAGCATAAGAAAATTGTTTGTAGGGAAATAATAAATCAGGGATGAGTCACTACCGCAGAAAGACTATATTCATTTGCTATCTAAATGGTTCAAGACCATCGAAATCTACATATTAGGAAAAAAACATCCGAAGGCTGATGCCAGAAGTTCTAGAAATGCACTTAAAACGTCGCTTATTGTTACATTCAATTATTCCATAATTACTGACGATTTTTCTTTGCTCACCGAAAGTAATTGCTACAAATTGAAAATAGGTCAATTCAAGAGTCAACTTGGGTCAAACGGGAGAGTATCTTTCGTAAAATCTCATACCGTTCATTCATATGTATTCGTCCATTTCTGTAATTGGTTTTTAAAGTGTCTAAAATGTATTTCGTTTGTAAAAGTTTACACACGTCTTTGCACAAAAATTATTTTGTAAATTCGCAAATAAATGCTTTTCTGTCAATAAGTCCCATTAGCTTAAAAATCAAACACTTAAGATTTCAATTGAATGACCATGTTGTTGAATGACGACCAAATGGGGAGATGGTAAAATCAAAACCACAAATGTTTGTATGTGTGTGTTTGACGGCGACAGATCGAAACGATGGAAATTGAAAAATGTGGTGGGCTTGGATACTTACTTGATAAATGGGCGACGATATGTGAAATGTGTTGGGTATTTGGAATAGAGATAATAAAAACGTCATAAAAAACTGATATTTTCCATATTTGCCAATCATTTGTCCGATGATGTCGCATTCTTCATGTGAATGTTGACGATTTTTACTGTTCAGCTGTTTGCTTTTCGCTGGATCATGACTGTGTTGTTTATCTGGTTCATCGTGCAATTGCCGGTGCGACGTGCTATCGGGAATCGATGTGCGATTGCTTGACATTGTGTTGAGTATTTATTTAATGTCCTCTTTACTCAGGCGTTCCCTTTCCTTCTGTTTTTCCTCCAATCTTCGCTCTGCTCTCGCTACTTTGTATCGTTTCAATGTGGTTACTCTGCTAAGCGGAAACTTTTTGCTTGTGTTTTGATGTTTGCACCGCTATTTGTATTGACATTCATTCCAATCGGTCAACTTCAGCATCGGTGTATGCATACAAACACCCATTCACATACATATACACAGACTTGATCGTTCCTTCGACCACCGCAGTTTTTCCTGTGTATCCTTAACTGACCTGTATATTTGCGAATCAAAACAGAAAGCATATTTAGGTCAATGTTATTATTCACGTTCTGATGCTCCAATGGAGTTTTTATGTGATTTTTCTTTTGCATTACGATTGACGGTAATGGATAAATTGCGTAAGTAAATAATTGCCGCGGGTTAAACGATTTGAAAACAACCGCAAAAACCGACATTGTCATGAGCCACAAATAGCACAGAGACTAAAAACAATTAAATCCAGATAATCAAGAGGTTAAACACATAAACAAGGGACAATTAATCGCTTGTCACCGCACATAAAAACCGTTAATGATGTTACTCCAGTCAATTTGTGCGCTATAATTCCATTGTGGCTATAGAGTGATGTTTTAGGTCTATATATAGTAAGTACGTTCTGCCTCTCTCATTTGTCTATTTCGCTTGTAGTGCAAGCATCCGAAAGGGATCTCCGTCGAAAGAGCTTTTTGTGTTTGAGTGAAAAATGCCGTTAGTTTCATGATAAAACATTCATAAGTATCTGGATGATATGATTTATTGATAAGGTATGAAACGTGCGCCGTTCAGCATGTGCCGTGATGTTTTGTTTTGTTTTTCATTAGTTTTGATGTATGGTACCTAGTAATAAAACGTAATAGTAGCACCTTATTCAATCCAGAATATTCTCATTTTTTTCCCCGTTTTTAACTTGATTGTGACAAAGTGCGAAACAAGTTTTTCCCTTCCGATAAAATACAGAATTGTTGCGATAGTCGTATATTGACTATACATCAGTGCCGAGTTAGCCATATGGCAAATGAGGCAGTTGCCTCGGGCACCACGTTCTTGGGGGCACCACAAGCATGGAATTTTTTTTTTTAATAATCTGAAAAAGAAAACACGCAGCCAAAAATGGGCCCAAAAATGTTTTTGGTGCCCCAAAAATGGTATTCCTAAAAAAAAATTTTGCTCGCTACCGCTCGCATTCGATATGTACGTTCATTTTATCAATAATTATTTGTATATATAACGGGAAAAAATTGCAAGGGGCACCAAAATCATTTTTGCCTCGGGCACCAAATTTGGTTAACTCGGCACTGCTATACATAGTTTCAGTAATAAGTTAATTGAATAAGAATTAAAGTAGCAATAATTTGTAAAACTGAATTCGACACTTTGACAAAACGCTTATGCAAATATCTGTCGAACATATCAAGCGATGCGAATGCGTATGTGTGTGTGCCGTTATTAAGAGAAAGCAAACTTCGAACTAGAGCTCACATCAGGCGAATCAAATGAACATTTATCATTTAATTAAGACATTCTTCAATTGAAAGTGAAATGAGAGACGTCTCTCTCAATTATTTACATCACATTGTTGTTATCATTTTTTATCGTTTGTGTTAGGAATCGTCTATGAAACGGCAATCTTTTTCCATTTTTTACATACCAACTCTCTCTCTCTCTCTCTCTCTCTCTCTCTCAGAATCCGATTGAAATAAATCTCAACCGTATTAAAGAACTGATGAGACTAGAAAATGTGCATTCAACGAACAATTCCAACGATTTGAATTCGTCTGTTAAAACATGACTGAGCAATGCGCATCAGAATGTAAAGAGTGTGTTTTGGCACGACCTCACGACATTTTATGATTTTAGTCTACTAATTAAAATTGTGAAACGTTTTTATCAGTGCTCATCATGTGGCGATCAATTGGAATTCATTAGGGCGTTTTGCTGCGCTTGAAATGAACAAAAGAAGAAGAAGAAGAAGAAGAAGAAGAAGAAGAAGAAGAAGAAGAAGAAGAAG